AAATTACAGTCAATTACAGTGAATTTATATGGCAATTACATAAATCAAAAACTGTAATTACAGAAAAAAAATTATGTAATAGAGAGAAGTCTAAAATTTAATGTATAAAAAAGCAATGATAGGAAATTATAATAGAACATATAACTTAAACTAAACATAGTGTTGTAAACAAAAAATGCAATAATATTTTGTTACCTTGGAAGTGCCTTCATCAGTATTTTTCTTCTTACTCAACTTTCTTTTCAAAGAGTTCAAAAGTTCATCCTTAGAAATTCCAACATAACTAGATTCGGAGTCCTACAAAGAAAATTAATGAAATCTAAGAATATTCTTACAAACAATGTTAAAAAATTATTTCATAAAAACAAACCTCATTGTCACAAAATTCATCATCATTTGGAGAACTTTCATATTCAGAAGAAATAGAATCACCAAAAAGATCTTTAATATCATTAGGATTACCCATCTATTAAAAAACAAAAAAATTGAATTAAAATAAGATAGAGAAATACACAAAGCATGCATATCAGAAATCATATATACAGTCACAGGTTCACATCACAGTTTCACAACTCAAGGTTAAAAAAATGTACAGATTTTAACAGTAACATGCAGTTGCAAATATATCTAATTTGCAAAGTCTAGTCAGAAGCACAACATAAGAGCTAAATCAAAGCCTATATTGCATATAAACTAAAAAAGAGGGTGATTCGTCAACATTCGCACAAAAAATACAGACTACAACACTACAAGACCTTCGCAATCTTGAGCTCAAATCACAATAATGGCACCTCCAATTCGACCACATCCACTTAGTGAATCACCAAAACCACCCCCACGACAAACACCACAAAACGACAGTCACTAGAGGCCAGGATAAATCACTAATGAATCATTGCTGAATAAATCATTCAAATAAATAACTACTGAATCGCTTGCAAGAGCTCAAGAGGGTTATTGAGTGGATTAGTGAGTTAACACAAGAAACAGTATCCATTAACAGATTCAAGCAAAATGCTGCATTTGTTAATTCATAAACAAAATAACATTAGGAACTAGTAGTTTTTGGTCATGAATGCAAATGCAAGTATCTCTGGAAAATATGTATGAAAAACAGATAAACATGCGCTGCAGTTCTTAATGAACATCATAACAAATAGGCTAAAATTCTAAATTAACGGCAGAACAAACAGATTCTGCACAACATATGAGAACACACTAAGAAAAAATCTGGATGACTTGTGAATGACAGGAAGGAATTGGATACTCAAACAAAAAAGGGGAATAATGCCATTGACAAAATGACTTGTAAATGACAGTAGACTAGATCTTATTTTGTATGAACAATTAGATCTACACCTAACAACCTAAAAATATCATTAACATCTAAGCCATAAGTGCAAAATTAGCTTCTGAATATTGGATCAAATGAACCATGTCACTGATTTGGATTAAAAAGTACTTCTCTACCTTAAAACAGAAATAAAACAAACAACAACAATTGTAACTCAATGTCTCATAACACATTCAGTAACTGGATCAATAAACTACATGATTCACAAAATAACAGATCCACTGAATCCAAACACTCAAAACTCACCTAAGATACCAGCTTCAAATCTAAGCCTCAGCCAAAAGTAACCTACAATCCAAAACAAAATAGAGATTAAACCTAAAAACACCACAGAAAAAACAAAAACACAGGGGAAAAACCTAAAACGTTGTAGAGCTGACCAGATCTGAGACTCGAAACAAAAATAAAACGAAATCCTCACGAGACAATCACGAGTTCATCACGAGTTCATCACCTACTGCACATGCTACGACTACACAACTCATGGAGTTCATCACGTACTGCACAAGCTACGCATGTTCCAAACCCTAACCCGTGTTGTCCGATCAAACAACAACAGTGAAATCCTAAAAAACAAAAATAAAACGAACAAATCAAACTAAATCCTCACGAAACAATCACGAGTTCGTCACGAGTTCGTCACCTACTGCAAATGCTACGACTACACAGCTCATGGAGTTCATCACGTACTGCACAACAACAGCAAAAACACGAGAAGGATGGGGAAGGAGACGGTGAAGAGCAAGAGAGAAGAAAGGAAAAACTCACGAATCAAATAGAGGTCAACGAGCAGCTCTACATCAGCAGAAAAAGGACGACGAACTCTCCGGCGAAAATCCTCAACACCGGCTAGATCTACGCCGGCGAAATCGCCGTGGCGGCGAAATCGTCTCATCACAACGGCGACCTTGCCGAAGCCTCTCTGTCTCTGTGTGTCTCTCTCTCCCCCAGCGAGTGAGTGATTAGGGGAGAAATATCAGGACAAAAGTGGGACCCACAAAAATCACGGAGAAAGAAATGCAGGCGCGGAGATCAAAATTTGAAAAGTACAGGTGGGACCCACAAAGACTGAAAATGTTAGGTGCGTCTCTGGAAAAATCAAGTGGGACCCACAACAGCCCAAAAAAAACAGGCCCAACAACCCAGTCAACCCAGACCACGAACGCAAAAAAAAGCCCATATGAAGTAAAGAAGTCCATCTCTCAGCACGAATCTTGAACAGATCAATGGCCCAAAAAACGACAGATTCAGCCCAAAGAAAACTGTCGACAGAGGAATAGCAGTTCCGAATAAAAAAGGGCGAAAATTTACAGCAGCCGACGACGGGGCCTCTCGAAAACAAAGAGAAAAATGTCTCAAATTTGGGTGGAATACGGTCTTGAAAAATATCTCAGATTCACTGTGCTACTACTTACTCCTACAGGAAATTGGATTATTATTGTGATGAAAAGAAGCGAGAAACCTAATTCGCGCGTACGCGTTGCCGCCGCGCACGCCGGCCCACTAAGGCCCATGCACGTAAGCGCTTGTGCTTCTTTCTTTATTTCTCTTTTTTTTACACCGCCGTTTCTTCCTTTTTCTTTATTTTTTCGCTGATTGTTATTCCTACCGTACAGATAGATTAGTCTCCTATTTTTACTAGCGATTAGTTTACTAGTAATTTTTAAATCTTAACTTTAAAATTTTTAAATTTGGATATGAAAGTTTTCAAATCTCGAGTTGAAAGTTTTCAAATCTCAAGTTGAAAGTTTTCAAGATTTTCAAATCTAGACTTGAAAGTTTTTTAATCGAGTTGAAAGTTTTCAAATCTTGAGTTGAAAATTTTTAAATCTTAAGTTGAAATTTTTCAAAATTTTCAAATCTGGACCTGAAAGTTTTCAAATCTCGAGTTGAAAGTTTTCAAATATCAAGTTGAAAGTTTTCAAAACTTTCGAATCTGGACTTGAAAGTTTTCAAATCCGAGTGAAAAGTTTTCAAAATTTGACTTTAAAATTTAAATCTTAAAACAAAAGTTTTCAAATCTAACTTAAAATTTTTTAATCTATTAGTAAAAAAATCTCCGAATTTTTTTTTGAGAATCTTCCCTAATTACTCGTCATTAATGTTAAGTGTATGTTAACTAATACTATAGAGTAGTTAGGAAGGTAATACAGAGTAGTTAGGGAGGTGCTCGCTGCTGGCGCGCACGCGCCAGCTAGCAGCCGCAGAAGATGCAGATTTGGATCGAGCCTGAGAACATATACCACATGGGCCGCAAGATTCCGTGGCCCGTGGGCCTCTGATGATAGCCTACTACTGTAGTACTGTATATTGCCCAATCAAGACAGTAGTGTCGGAATTTTTTTCATTTTTAAATTTTTTTCTTTTAATATTTACAGAAATAATCTATCGGCGCAAAAAATTACAGAAATAGGCCCTGCCGCCCTAGTGGAGGGCGACAAGCTGACGTGGCAGACGGCGGCTCGACAACGCCGTCTGCCGCCGTCTGCGAAAATTGCATTTAGCCTAGGGCGGCAAGGGGCTAAATGCATTTTTCGCAGCCCTAAAGAGCATTTGGCTCATACTTTTTTGCATCTGGGTCCCTTGCCGCCCTAGATGCAAAAAGTACCAGCCAAAAAGTACTAGGCCTAGGCTGGCGGCAAGGGTTTTCGTGCAAAAAAAAACCTCCCTCTCCCGTCTGTCGTCACCGCCCGTCTCTCCCCCGTTTGCCACGTCAGCTTGCCGCCCTAGTGGAGCGCGGCAGGGTCTATTTTTATAATTTTTTGCGCCGATGGATTATTTCTGTAAATATTAAAAGAAAAAAATTTAAAAATGAAAAAAATTCGTAGTGTCGTCGTGCAAAGCCTGTAAGATTTGTCGGTTTGGAAGTTGCAACAACTTTTGCAGTGAGCTGCCAAACAACCTGTCTCAAAACAACATATGCATCCTTCATCCAGTTGCACCACCTATCTCCCAGTTGCCTATACTACTACTGTACTGTATATTCTACTATGACTCTGGTATCTGCTATTCTGTTACACATCGCTAATGCTCAGCACGTATCTACTCTATCGATCTGACAATTATAAAAAAAAAAGATAGGCAGGAAAAAAACCATCGTATCATATAAACAAACAAAAAAAACTCAATCATATCGGTCGAGAAAAGGCAAGAACCCTACCTTTTCACACCGTCACACGAGTACTCATCCCTTAGGCCTAATCGGTTTAGAAGGGATTGAGAGAAAATAATTCCACACCTCAATAGGTGTGGAACAAATCCCATCATATCCCTGCCTAATAATATCGGTCTGTCAACTATCATTGGATAACTGGACCAAAACCGGCCACCGAACAACGTCGATGCGAGACAGATAGCACAGTACTCCTACTATATACATAAACTCCTCTGAAACTGATCAATGGAGCAATAAGGTCATCAGACAGTCATCACCTCACCTCACCCACCCACCCCCACCAGCTGATGAAAGCCACAGCACAAGCAAAATCACAAAGCTGGTATACAGCACAGCAGCTCAGACATACCCTGAATATTCATTGATCATTATTCACTCATGTACCAGAAACATTTCTTACACGACAAGGGAACATGAGAGAGCATATGAACACCAGGGATCAATAAATGAATGAATCTAGTGACAAACAAATCACATCACAGGTGGTAACAGTAGTAGTATTAATTCATCATCAACCACCAGCACAAATCAATACATTATCCAAATACAACACTAAGAACCAGTTAAAACTGTGGGGGAGAAAAAAAAATACTCGAGATAATAGCGAGCTGTAATTCACAACAATGGCATTTTAGAATCTCAAACGGCAAACACAATCATCATCATATTCTTCCTAGTCTACAACACCTTTACACATGTGGTTTTTTCTTCTTCTTCCCTTTATGTTACAAAGGCCACCCTCCATCACCAGGTGAGGTGAGGGTGTGTTCCTCAACTCCTGAAGCCAAAGTTGGACCACCTCCTCCCAGCATCTTTCTTAACACGCTGCGAGTTGGTCACGAAAAGGTTTTCCAGCGATTTCTGCTTCCTGTTCCGGGACCGCCCTGCCTCCTTCAGAAGCTCCGCAAGCCTTAGCTTCTCGTCCTCGACATCCGGGTTTGCTGTGCCGAGCTTCTCTTCCCTCACCTTAAGTACGTGTTCCAGTATTTCAATGGCGTCCTCAACCCTGAAGGCAAAAGGGAAATGCACTTACTCATGTATCAAGTTAAAATATTGGAAATCTAAAAGAACAAATTCTATCTGTTTTCTTTTTGCACAGGGAAAAACAAGTTGTGGCAATTCCTAAATTTATAGATGCAACCTCACAGGTATATAAGCAATCAATACACCCACTCAAAAAAAAGGGGGGAAAACAGCACGCCTGTAAGTTTGGAAATCGACTGAGTTGATGCAAATCACCGCAGGTTAATAGCATTTCAATGAATAGTTTATATCAGGCAACTTTATAAATAATTGGACAGTTGTAATCATACACTGGCATGCAGCAACATGTGGGCAATTTGATGGTGGTCCACTAAACTAAATGATGCCTTCATTTATTTGTTGATTGATTGCAATCTCTTTGTTAATGCCATCGAAATTATGCAACCTTACATAGGATGATAATCTAATTGATCAACCAATCTTGCCTATCCATCCAAATAATACTACACATGAACTAACCGCCTATCCATCCAAATAATACTACACATGAACTAACCAACATTCAACATTTCACGGATTATTAGAGGAGGAAACCCATAAGCTGACACCTTCAGATAGCAAAACAAATTCAGGGGATTACTTCTACAGCTGTGAATGATAAGGGTAGATGCCAACATAACTCAATAAGCATATTCAGGTGCTTGTCAATGGCATTTCTTGGATTTTCCCCATAACCATCAAGGGATTGCTACCAAGATATGATTTGATCCTAATTCTATATGAAACAGCTGTTGGTTGAGGAAAAAAAAGTTTCTGGTATGAACACATACCTGCCCATAGCATCGTAGATTGCAGCCAAATTACTGTAGACGCCGAGAGTATCTGGATGAGAGGCACCACACTCCTGTTCTAGAACTGCCCTTGCCTCTTCAAACAACTGTGCAGCCTCATCAATCTTGAATAGCTGCACACAAGCTAGCCCCATCTGGTTCAACAGAACTCCAAAAAATGCCGACTTCCTCTCCCCGCTAGCTCTCAATTTGGCAACCGCATTTTCAAATGAGTTCCTTGAATCGGCATACCTCCCTACCATGTAGTACAACACACCCATTTGTGCCTCGATGCCAGCAACAGTGCTCCACTGTCCTGGTGAGTCCTCAAGCAACTTTAGTGCCCTTTGCAAAAGCTTCAGTGCCTCATCAAGGTCTCCAAGCGCCTCATAGATGGCAGCAATCTCCATTAGGCCTCCAGCAACCTCATCAGGGGCAGCGCCAGGCGCGGGCTTTGCATAGACACGGAGTGCATTCTCACAGTAGGATTTGGACTCGCGGAGCCTCCCTGTTCGGTGGTAAAGGTCTGCGAGGCGGACAAAGACAGATGCAACCGAAGGGTGGTCATCACCACGGGCAGACTTGAGTACTGTCAACGCCTTCTGGTAGGAGAAGACAGCCTCGTCGAAGCGGGCGAGGGCAAGGTAGGTGTTGCCTATCGCGACATCGATCGTCGCGACCTCAATGTCACGTCCATTGGCGACCATGGTCATGGAGGCAAGCACAAGGTGCTCCAGGGCACCATCATAGTCACCCTTGGCGTCAAGGATGAGTGCCATCAGGCGGCGGTCGGAGGCCTCCTCGAGCGAAGCGGGAGCGCTGTGCTCCCGGTGGATCTCGAGGGCTTTGCGGCACAACTTCTCTGCTTCATCGAACTGCAGGGCTTGCACATGCGCTTCCGCCAAATACCTGCTCATAGTGCAAAATAAATGTTGTGTTGGTCAAGTGCTAGCTCTTGCAGATTATTGTTACTTCTATCTCTACTTTTTTTTTTTTTGCATAATAATGCGATGGACTTGATGAAATTTATGGCGAGATCGGCGGAAATCACAAAATAGCAGAGGGAAATTAAAAAAGATGTCGCTTTTGAAGAGGTAGATTGGAGTTGAAAAGCAAAATGGCGTTTCTAACTTTTAAGAGAGGAGATCTAGATCGAGAAACGGGCGAGAAGGAAGGGTTTTTGACCTGCAGGTCTCGGCGACGCGGGGATCACGCTCGCCGAGCGCGGCCATCTGGATCTCGAGGCCCTTGCCGTAGCAGGCGATGGACTCGTCCATGCGGCCGAGCATGGCGTGGGTGTCGCCGAGCTGCATCCAGCCGGAGAAGGCGGCGAGGGCCCACTCCTCCCCCTTCTGCTGGTCCTCGGGCGGCTGCTCCTCCGCCGAGCTCTCACCCTCAGGCGGCGGCGGAGGCGGAGGCGGCGTGACGACGGCGACGGCGCGCTCGAGGACAGGGATGGCGTCGGCGTGCCTGCCGAGGCCGCAGTGGATGGCGGCGGCGACGTGGAGGCTCATGGCGAGCTCGAGCTCGGCCCCCTCGCCGCGGCGCTCGAGCGCGCGGGCGGCCCTCTCGGCGAACTCGAGCGCGCGCGCGGCGCCCCCGCCCTCCCCCGAGACCATGGCGTCGCGGGCCTGCTTGAGCAGGAAGGGCCCCAGATCCGGGTTGTCGAGCGCCGCCTCGTCCGTCTCCGGCTGCGCCGCCACCTTCCTGGGCTTGGCCCGCGACGAGGTGGAAGGCGACGGCGACGGCGGCGCCCGGCTCCTGGGCAGCGGCGACGACAGCCGCCTCGGCGGCGGGGCCGCCACCGGTGGCGAGTTGTCGGCCGCGGCGAGGCCCGGCATGGTCGGGTGAGGCGAGCGCGAGGTGGGGAGTCAGAGAGGGACACAGCTGCTTGGCCTTGGCCTTGGCCTTGCTTGCAATGGAAGAGAAGAAGAAGAGCGGCGCGGCGCGGGGGTTTGGGTGGCGTCATAATGAGGAGAGCGGCACGAGTAATTAGGCAGCGGTTGATGGCCAAGTTTAGTCATTAATCAATTAATTAAGGTCCTCGAGGTAGGCAATTAAGGTGGCTGGTTCATCTCTCTCTCTCTGTCGCCCAAGTCTTCTCGTGTACCTAGTTGATTCGTGTACTACGGCCTAAGGCTACAATGTACTGTGGCTGTGTGCCTGTGTGATGCGATGGTGAATGGGAATGGGCTTGATTAGGGTTGATTGTGTTGACCTGTCTCAGAATGACAGGTGGGCCATGCGTGGTTAGCTTGTGATTAAGGTGACAAATTGTTGGGGGTCTTCATCCATCTTGATCGCTGACAAATCTGCCTGGTGTTGCAGGCATACAGAGCATAACTGAGAAAAATTATTGTTACAGATTACTGCTCCCTCCGTTTAATGTTTGGACTTTAGAGAAGGCGTCATTTATTGAGAGTATATATTTTGACAAATAAATTTAAATAAGTGGCCTAGATAATACACTAGGAAAATTATATTTTTTTAAGTGTGGAGCAAATATTTCGTTTAAATGGTTCAGTAAATAATCTGAAAATAAATGCTTGACTTAGCTACTCACTTGTCTATTGTAAGTGTATTTTCCGAACCACTAAACGATGTATTTATAAATATTTTTTACATAAATATTTCTTTATAAGTATCAAATATTTTGTTCACGTTTATAATAATTAGTATTTAATTGATTACATGTTAATGTTAATGATTTTCTCGTTTCAAGTATCGTCTTGACAAGCACAGGGCACTACTACCCCCAGCTCAAAGCTCTGAAAGTTCGCTTGGTCGGTATCGACACTGATCCTATGATATCTGCTTCTACGTTCGTATACATTAGCATGTAGTTTAATTAATTATATAGTACGTACAGTACAGTGTATGAGAAACATTATAATTAAGTAGAGTAGGAGGAAGGATTAAGGAAGGAGTGCATTACATTACGCATGCATGCCTACTTGCAAGTTGCAACCACCATCGGAAGAAGAGATACAACGAAAATGATGAAATGGATCATGGAGGATCATCAGAGCTGTAATGCTTCCCTGGCATGCACACCCTGTCATGAACTAATTAGCTCGATCATCACACTGTATATGTTTGTATGTCCTAATCATTGTTTTCGGATCCATCCAAATTATCCTGACAGATCTTAAAACACAGCCCATCACAACGCTGGTTTCGTACATGGATATGTTCTTTTCAGACACCAATTGCTGACAGTACATTAGTGTACTCCATAGGTTCATCTTGCTGCTGCCATTACTTGAGTGTAGACAAAGAAAGGAGAATTATTGCTCGTGCATGCCTCGGTTGGTCCGACATTTTCATTGCCATTCGAGCACCCTATGGATTACAGACTGACAGTTAAATTGGTTCGCTAAGTGTGATCAGTGTTCAGTAACATTTTGCTCTGTTCTTATCTCCAAGTTCCCAACCCATCTCCCTCGTTTTCCGCGCGCACGCTTTTCAAACTGCTAAACGGTGCGTTTTTTGCAAAAAATTTATATATGAAAGTTGCTTAAAAAAAATCAAATTAATCCATTTTTGAAAAAAAAATTAGCAAATACTTAATTAATCATGCGCTAATGGAGCACTCCGTTTTCCGTGCGGGGAGTTTAGTTCCCAACTCCCCCTATCCGAACACAGTACTCCTCCGTGAAACCTGTCGGTGTAAAATCCGAAGAGAAGTTGTCTAACATGTTGGTGGGCCTTGGGCCTCGTCGTGGGCTTTAGATTTAGGTTGAGGCCCACTTATCAACAACAAATAGTACAAAGGCCACAACAAGGGGATGACGAACTGCCGCTGCTACTCGCCGTCGCCGTCGCCGTCGACTCCTCGTCGCCGGCGTCCCCAAACCAAGCAAAATGCCATCTCCGTCTCTCCTCCTCCACCACCACCACCACCGCCTCTCCCCTCGCTTCGCCCCCTCCCGCTCCCCCTCCCCCCGAACCCTATCGCTGCATCCTGCTCCTCGCCTCCGCCTCCGCCTCCGGCTTCGCGCCAGCGCCCGCGGCGGCGGGGGCAGCACACGGGACCACGATGACGGCGCGCGGTCCATCCCGATAGCGCGGTGCTACGAGGCAGCCCTCGCGCGCCTCGACCTCTCGGGAACCGCGCGGCGGGAGCAGGCGGTCGCGGCGGCGGCGGCGGCCGATGGAGGCGCGGCTGCCGAGGCTCACCTCGCCGCTGTCGCCGACGCCATGGTCATGGAGGCCTTCCTCCCTGGACCCGACGGCGCCCGGCGCAGCGCCATGTCCACACGGCTGGTGAGCGTTTCGGGGTTCCACTCCCACCTGTCCCTGTATCTTCCCTTTGCTGATTTGCTCCACACAACCGATTGATGATGAGACCAATGTATTTATTTGTTCCCTTACTTGTTTACTGCTTCTGCCTAGTGTGATGCTCGAAGTTGCGTCCTAAATTCCACCCGGACTCAGCATCCCATCAGAATTAGTGTAACGCACCTATATCTATTTACTCTAAGCTTTGATGCTTTATTTTGCGCTAAATTCGGAGTATTGGTTGCTCTGGATTTCGTCATTTCATACATATTACGTGAAATGTTTGTTGGCATGTACACAGCCTATTCACCACACGGTAGTACATATGATTTTTAAGAACCTGTACAGGGTGAAACAACTAACTGTACATGCTAAGTTCACCATGTAAAATTAATCTCTTGGAACTATTGGTTGGTACTAGGAGTCCAAGTGCATTAGTGACTCAGTGTCTCAGCGCAAGTGGCCGGCTGGGAATTTTATGATACAATAGAGGTGCTTGTACTTGTAGCTTAACAACAAATCAGTATCTGTGCTTTTCTATCATGTTGTGTCTAGGAAGAGAACTTATTGCCAGTTTTGTATATATCGAACATGGTTAGATGCTTTAATTTCGATCGGAATGTCTGTCCTTGTTGGATCATGAGGAAGTTCTGGCATTTCATTGTAGATTTTGCAAGCAAATGAAGTTACAGAGAAGGCCAGTAAGCTAAAGAAAGACCTTGGCACTGAATTTTTCTCTGAAAACGAACCTGATGCAGAGAGTGTTTTGGCAATGGCCTTTAAGCAAGTTGTAATGGATCAGCTCACAAACTTTCGGCTTGAAGTGTTCTCCCCAGGTTCAGAGATAGATCTCCAAGATTTGAGCAAACCCCGAAAGGTGTTCCTCTGTAAAGTTTGGGACTTGTATATTATTTTGTTTCGTTTGTTTGCTTGTTGCTAATTTGTGGATGCACACCAGGTGCCTGCGGATTTTAGTATCAGATCATCAGATGAAAAACTTCTAGCTGCTCTTGCGGAAGCCATTTTCTCCTGTGTCATTGAGGATGCCAGAAATAATTACCTAGGGGGCACTGGTGGTTTGTTTCATAAGTGGAAGTCAAACTGCTCATTGGATTCCTCTGTTTGCATAGACATAATTTCTGAGTCAGAAGTAGTGAACAGTGCTAGGAGGCGCTTAGATAGTTTTGATCTTGTACAGTCTTCTCATGTAGCGGGTAAAGCAAAGAATGGATGGTGGCCAGCTCCAAAGTCTGAAAGGTTAGTGAAGATTGGTGGCCCTGATTTTATGCTTTGGGCCAGTGAGTTTGTGTACACATATAAACTACAAATTGATGCCAAAGCATTCAAGAATACAAAGCTTGGGGGTCATCATGTGTTAGCAAATAATAAGGGGGAAGTTCTCTTATCCCACGCCCAAATGGTACATTATTATTCTCTCCTTGTCCTTGATGTATACATTACTTGTTGCCATTCTTATTTATTGTATGCTATTCTCCATCTCCCAAACCTGTAGGTGGAGTTAGCAAATATTCTGGACATGTATTTTGAAGATCAGTTCACATTACCTGGAAAAACCTTCTATTCCAACTGGAATTCAGAACCATCAAAGATTAAAAAGAACAATGTATGCTGCTATTTTTTATTTCAGAGCTTACTTGTGTTAAATATTTTTTTTTTATTTATGTTCATCAAGCATTTTTTTTGGTGCAGGGTTATTTGAACAACCTTTTTGCTTTGTTGGCTGGTAGCTCTATTGTTTTTCTTGTCGGCGCCATTGCTCAGTTATGCTGGCCTCAGTCTCTTAAAGATAAAAGATTGGCCACTGTTAGTTCATGTGTCTCATCATCACAGAGCTATTGTTCTGATATCCACTCTCTAGATAGTAGTGAGGTATGCTTTCTAGTTCTTGAAATGTTGTTGCTTGCCCAGGGAGAATCCTGTTTGTTTTTAAGTGTGGAAACACTTTGGTATTTTATACTATTTTCTGGATTTTTTTTTACTTGATAACCCATTCACAAGACATTGATCGTCATTGTGTTGTAATTTAGAAATAACTACTCAACTAATTGGAAGTGTCCCAAACCTTTTGATAGTGCAATATTGTTCTCTACGTCCAAATCAAAGAAAAGGAAACAAGCTACCTCGATTTTTAGTTGCTCTGGGATATTTTGATTGTCTGCATTATCCTATGCAACATAGCATGTAAGAGCCGCTGCTTTAAAAATAAAGGATCTCTAAGAAATGGTCTGAAACTCTGCATGATTCATGTAGAAGTCATTTCATCAACTTGTTATGGCTTCATGATGTGTGTTCCCATTAGGAACATCATGTAGCATGTCTCCTTTTTGAACTATTACCCTTTTGCCAGCAAACCTAGTTGCTGTTTAAATTTAATTAAGGGCATATCTGGTGACAAATCTATCATAACTACTTTGTTGATTATCTAACATATCTGTTGTATGCAACCTATTTACCCCTGGGCAGTTGCAGGCTTACTGTGTATCTGTTGTTGAGAAAATTAAAGACTCATTTGGTTGTACTGGTGATCTAATGGTTGATGCAAATATTGGTGCTTGGGTTGGAGAACTGCCTGAATTCTTCAAGGGCATCAACTGTGACAGTCATGATGATTATGTCGATATTCAGAGTACTGGTGCTATTAGCCAAGGAGAGCAACCCTCATTGGTGTCAAGTCCTATTAAGATGTCTTCTCATCTGGAACAAAATGATGACACTCAAGAAACTCTGCAGAATATTGCTAGTTTTCAGGTATGCTCATTTCCTGCATAAAAAATCTCTTTGTATCAGATGAAGAACTTGGTATTTTTGGTAAAATGATGTGCCTACCAACTCAAATGTGTATTTGCCATTAACATAGTTCATGAAGAGGGTTAATCACCATAAAAGAGATTGATGACGATGGTTTGGAAGTAGAACTGAACCTAAGGGGTAGAGGGTTGGCAGGCTGAGGAACTTGGCTAGGGAGGATAGACTGGAACATATGGCTGAGATGGACTTGGTGCTAACTTATATGGTTTCGCTTTTATAGGGACGACATCTAACAATCCATTCAAACCTTTCCTTTAAATATAATAATTCTACCCCATCTGATAAGATCATATCCTATCTCCAATTAAACCTAAGTTGCTAGCTAAGCAATGTGTTGCAGATAAATATTGTAACTGCCATCTCACACCAGCCCTGATGGGCCCGTGACCTACCTTATGGCCATATGCAGTTATGCACATAACAATATCACTGTGTGAGGTTTTTAGTCTGTCTATTTTATATTGCAAATTTCCCCAAAATATTCATGCTAACAGGTTTACCACACATCTGTTTATGATGCACTGTCACTACACATTTTCAGTACTTTTAAGTTACCATGTCATTTCTTTATTTGGTTCCTGTTTTTATTGTTCAATTTCCTTTCATGCTTGGTAGCAAAATGCACTTGTTTTGCCATCTTTATTATTCTAAAACAATTGATTGATTTAAGTTTTGCTGTTCTTTACATTAATTTCCTGGTTTTCTTATTTTCAGCAGCATATATCCAAGATCTAAAGTGGATGTTCTATAAACTATAATACCCTGTTTGGCATATATTCATTTGTTCTTTGGACATAACTCATCAGTCATGACTCAAAAGAAAGAGACTACACTTTCTCTTTTCTATTTCGTTTAATACTATGACCACAATGAAATTAATCGTTTACCTTGAGTGTTACAAGATAGCACAATAAGACTGCAAAATAATAATGTTTTCGTTCTTTTGAATAAGTTGTTTGCAGCATCTGTTAACTTTTCCTGCAAGTTGGGTTGCACGAATCACCCAATGCCATTGTCTTATACTTTTGAAACTATATGATGGTAGAAGATTACACTTGACTTTATGATGGAAACTATTGTTCTATTGTTCATTTCCTTGAGTTAAATAGTTCAGACTTACACTATATCACCCTTTTTTGATACAAACTTGCAGGTGGTCATGTCAGAAAGAGGTAAAGTAGTTGGATTTCAGCCAACAAACCGCCTAGCTGTGAATCATTGGGCAACAAATCCATTAACGAAGCTCCTGTACGAGGGGCGAAAGATCTCTCCAGGTACCATGATTGAAGTATCAAACCATGGAATTTTATTGTTAATACCTGTGCTAAAGCTGTATTTTGTCTTTGCTTAATACTATGGTATGGATATTGTCAGCCTTTCTGGAGCCTAGGCTTAGAATTTCTCGCCCAGCTAAGGTTGTCCCAGTTGAGTTGCTGATGTCGGTGAATCCAGAATCCTTTTTTGCTTTGGTGAGGCCTGTTCAAGATCCATGCTAATGGAGGTACTTTTCATTTCTCCTCCAGTTGTTCTCCATCTACTACCCTCACCCTCTCTTCTCTCTCATGTAATTCTATAATCGCCAGTACTTTATTTACCCAGAGTTCTGTAGTTGCTGTCCTAGTTAAAGCTAATGTCATTTGTTGTCACCCAATCTATGCTTATCTTACCCTTAAAACAGGATTTTACATGCTTTGTCATTACATGGTGCTGTACAGATTCATGAACTTTTTAAACATAGTAGACTGGGCAGTTTTCTTGTTGGTTAGTGGATGCATTTTATAGTAAAGGATATGGAATTATAAACTCTCTAAATAGTAGCTTTACTCTTTGTCTTGCATGCGCTTGCGAATCAAATAGAAGAACTGCAAGTAGGTGTTGCAAGCTATGGACCATGAATCATTGCAGCACAGGCTCTCACGTTGGGGTTCTCTATGTGGTTAAAGCATGGTTGAATCGATCCACATGTAGAAGTTATCAGTTATTACTTCTTAATGACTCCAATCCAGATGACACAATGGAGTCCCTTTGTGGAATATCAGCACCATGCCAGATTGCAATACAGCTATTCGTGACGATATGCTGTCTGTTCTGCTCATGTTGGAGTTTATCATCGGTTTTCTGTTTCTGAAGTCTCAGGTAATTAACCTCGAACCTTCTGGGTAAATTCTTTTTATCAGTAGTAACAATGGTAGCTCTTCATCATCGGTATCAGGATGCTCATTTTGAGTTTTTTTTTTGGGGAAGAATTTGCCTCAAGCCCATTTTCCAGTTTCTACAGAAGGCTGGAAGCAATTTCATTTTGCGTAATCAAGATATCACCTGCTAGACAACTTTGCAAACTAACATACACCCTGTAAGAGTTGTCAAGTGTACAATTATAGATCACAGTGAAAGTAGAATGAATGGTAACCACTTCAGTTGACATCATAGGTCTTGGGCGTCTATGATGTAACACTCTCTTTCGCACACAGCATATTTTGTATGAAAAATATTATATAATCGATCTCTTCTACTGAACTATTGTTCTATGTGCTCGTATGCACCACAGTAAATTAGGATGCTAAATTGATTTGTCGGGCTGCAAATCTGAATTCACAATCGTGAGCTAGGCATAAATTTCTCCAATTGAGTTCATTATCACTTCCTCTGTGATAATTTGGTTCATTCTCTCCGTGTGGTGGGCAGCATCCCAGTATATGTACTTGCTGGGATGTGTGCATGCTCTTCGGCCTCTGCATGTTTGCCCAACTTCAATAACTCCTGTTCCACAACAACCTCTTGAGGTTTCTGTCAGGCCTGTAGTTCAGAAGAAAATATTTTTTTGAGGTTATAATACCAATAAGTGCACACTTTAATAAGGATGCTCTGAAATATAGGACAACTTACCATAGTTATTGGGGCTTATTGTTGCCATGCCGATGGTTGTATAAGTATCAACAAATGTAGCCCTGATATTTGGTTGATTCTTTAGAAGACGCACCACTTCAACTAGCCTCTCATTAAATGAGGTTGCCAGCAAGTTCATGTTTTCATGGCATCTGGTTGTACCTGTGCCTAGCAATGTTCTAGCAATAGGTAAACACCCAATTGGGGGCACTCCAACAAAGACAAATCTCCTTCCTCCAAGTGCTGCCATCACCTGAGTAACATGGCAATGATTAGGTCTTGAGCAAAAGTTGATATAACTCTTTTCTGACAAGTGCTTACCTGGGTGTAGTTAGCAACGCGTGATATCAGCTGGTTTTCGTACTGTGGGCCGCTCTCTGCTGCTGACTGGTTTGAGGCAAGATAGTGAAAAAGCAGATCTGTTGTTCCAGCACTTACGACGAATGTAGCCCTCCTGACTAGTTCTTCTGCTCTTCTTCGTCCAACTAACCTCTGCAGGTTCCTTTTGTAACGCCAAAGGTCCTCTATTTGGTTGGGAAATGACAGTGCATTCTATCATGAAAAAGGAAAGAAAACCTGTCATGACAGTTCATTCTACCATGAAAAAGAAAGAAAACCTGTCTAGTCACTACCCAATGCTGGCCCTCAATAATCAAATTAACTTGGACTACTAAGTAGTCATGATTCACATATCAAACTAGGTTGATCATGCATTATCTGCTTGGTTATCCAATTTTGACTACTAAAAAATATTTGGTAGTAGCTTCTAATTCTGTCCCTGGCAGATTGATTTAATAGCTTTTCCTTACTTTCTGACGGTGAAATATTTGTGCTTTGCAGGTTATGCTTACCGAACTTCTGGCAGTGGCCTCGTCATACCCGGAACCTGCTGATGCAAAACTCACACCCCTCCTGAGCTGTCCTGACCTCAACCTTGGGTCGCGGAATCCTGGAATACTCCTCGCTATACCTAGTTTTTCCGCTGCATAACCACAAAGCTTATCCTCAAATATCCCTACTGAACAATGGTGAACACCACTACTAACTCAGGTCACCTTCTAAATCAAAGCACATCTGCTCAACTCTGAAATACTTGTGTAAATGGAGATGCAAGGCAATGGGTGTATTTGTGTCTGTACCGAGTATGTCCGTGATGAGCCGGCCGTTGCTGAACCGGCCGGTGGGCCTGCCGCCGAGGAAGTCGGCGCCGTACGGCAAGAAGTTGGCCTTCATCGCCGTCTGCAGCCGGTTGTTGTTGCCGGGATCCACCGTCGAGTCACCGAACACCAGCATGGTGGTACACCCGGTGGTGGTGTAGTTGATCACCCTCGCCGGCGGTGGCGGCACTGAAGACCAGCCCGGCTCCTGCGGCGGCACCACCGTCCGCGGCGGCGCCGGCTCCCTCCTTGGTGGCAATGGAGACTGCCACGGCTGCTGCTGCTGCTGGGGCGGCGTTGGTGGTGCTGGCTCCGGCGTGTCAGGCTCCTGTGATGGCGGGGAATCCGGCAGCGGCGGCTCCGGCGAATCGGAATACCCCGGCGACGGTGGTGACACCGGGAGCCCAGGCATGGGCGGGTCGTCGTATTGGTCGTCCGGTGGCTGTGGCGGTGACAGCTGCGCCGCTGCCATTGTTATCAGGGAGAAGTGCCATGCGACGAGGAGCAGCGCCGCCGCAGCCACCGCCAGCCTCCTCATGGACTTGCTGCGTTGCTTTGCTCAGTTCAGTTATGTGCTAGCTTGTCAAGGTCCAAAGACAAGAGTGCATGCATGTATAAATAAATGCTCAGCTAAGTAAAACTGCCGTTGCCTGTCAAGGTGGCTTGGTGCCATGTAGGTAAGGGAGCGACTAAGGGTGTGTTTGAGGATTGGGGAGATTGGGGAGATTGGGGAGATTGGGAAGATACGCAAAACGAGGTGAGCCATTAGCACATGATTAATTGAGTATTAACTATTTTAAACTTCAAAAATGGATTAATATGATTTTTTAAAGCAACTTTCCTATAGAAATTTTTTGCAAAAAACGCACCGTTTAGTAGTTTGAAAAGCGTGCGCGCGGAAAACGAGGGACAATCTCCCCAAACACTCACAAACGAACGGTGCCTAAATTTGCTTAAGAGTTCGAGCTTGCTTTGTGTGACATGACTAAATTTAGAAGACATTTTCAGTGAAATCACCCACTTGTTAGTGGCCAGTGGGAGATTAATCGGGAGAGATTCTTGTAAAAAAAAAAGGAGATCGGAATAACCAAAGAGGCACATACTGCAAAATTGCAAAGAAGAGCAGGTGGTGGTTGGTTCAGTGGTTTGTGTGATCTTTGCGTCTGCCATGCAAATTCGCTCTTCTAGAACAATCTTCTTTTTTTCTTTTTTTTCCAGCGAAAAAGGTACTGTGATTTTGTATTTCCTCCTTCTATAGTCAACAACAGATGTCAAAATATGCATATTCTTCCTCCGGTAAAAGAAATACAGCGTTTCAACATTTTTCAGTTCGATCTTTTAAAATTTTGATCATCAATAATTTTTGAAATGCTTATTTTGAAAATATAAAAATGGTCAATGTAGATTTGTTATGAAAAAAAATACTTTCGTAATCTCATAAAAATGATACATGTGTAGATTTTATAAGTACCTAGCCATGAAATTGATTTTCTTCCTTCACAAGGTAGAACCGAAGGTAAATACTGAAAATAATAGCAGGAGAGTTTTCTTTTAATAACAATTCTCACCATCATGGCATCGTCTGCTTCAAAACTAGTACTCGCAAATCCATATTCCTCTAGAAACAAGTAAACAAATAGACATGTCACACCAATACACCCAATTGTTTACTCATAAGGGATTACTCGCAAATTACTCGCAAGAAAATTCCATTTATTATGCCAAAGGACATGAGTGTCAAAATTTTGACATTAATTAAACAAAAAATGCAAACATTTATTATGCCAAAGGACATGAGTGACAAAATTTTGACATAAATGCAAGAGCCTCAGCTAGACAAAATTGTCATTTACAAAAGAGAGTCCTACATTTATTCTACGACAAAATTCAAAGGAAAAAAAAACTCTTCTAAATGTCTATCCTATCCTAACCTTGGAAATGACTGAAAAACAAAAAACCCAACTTCTTCACGTTGGAATCCGGTCTGCCCACCTATAGGCCTGTAGGGATATAAACCTTCAAAAAATAATTGAATTCTTCATACCTCTAAATTCTAATATGATAATTTTTGTATACTGTATGATCTTTTGGTATCATGTCATGCACTCTAAAACCTAAGAAAGATGATCTAAATAAATAAATAAATAATGAGGATCAATTTCCCTCATGCTTCGGCTGCTTATTGTCATTAGAGCTGGTGCCCTGCTCCAATGAGGCCTTCACAAATCTGCCTCTGACACGCCTTCGCGTGTCTGCTGTTGCCTTGCGGGAGGCGTACATTATCTGCTTGACAAACCTGAAAAATTCAAAAGTGTACCAGCAACTTGTAATTGCAATCTTGTTTCAAAAAGCTCGTACTGAACAAAATATTATTCCTAGGCAACTAAATAATATTTCAGATGCACATTTGAGAATTTTAACTGTTCTTTCTGAAGACTAATCTGCAATGTAAGCTACAAAGTGAGACGAAAAATGCGTATTGATACGTACCTCCTGTTGCTCTTTTTCTCCTTGTATCTCTGCACAGCTCGCTGTCTCTTCTCCGGATCAGGGCAAGATTTCTCGGGCAGCACGATATGCGAGGTCTGTTGATCTTGGCCGTCAAACATGTTTGAGCTCCCACCCAGCAGCGAGCCCGTGTTGGAGCTCTGAAAATTCACACAGGGAAACTCTGAACCTGTGTTGTTGTTGCTACTGTTTGTGTCTATCACCGGTAACTGATCATATGCCGTTTCGTCGTTTATGTTCAGTGGTTGCAGAAGACTATGATCTGAAGATTGCGGTATGAGCTGTGCGAGTTCTGAAGATGAAGTTGCTGCTCCTATCTCGTTGTTGATGTTCGCGTCCATCATCGGTAACTGAACATAAGGTGCGTTGCTCATGTTCAGAGGCTGCAGAAAGCTAGTATCTGATAACAGTGCGATGTCTGAACACGATGAGGATGCCATTTGCTGATGATCAGGGTCCAGATAGGATCCCAAATCGAAATAAGAAGGATCCAAATCCAGATAAGAAGGTTCCTGCGATCAATTGAAGAAAACAAGTTTGTGAGGCGGCATCAAACTGTACGATAATTTTGATGAATTTGAAAGGGGGTGAAATAAGCAGAACCATCGTTTACTTGCAATGCTCCTGGTTCCATTAGTGCGACTGAATCAAACGAGTTTGTCCAGGCTTGAAAGTAATCTTGCTGATTTGCATTGTCAACAAGTAAATCTTCTCCACCTATTGTCGCCATCTCTTTACTAATGTCAGGATTCGCATCTTCAAACATCTCAAATGAGACATGTGTGTATATATATATTAGTATGCTTATGTTAATTGAATGATGGTAATAAGATGATATGTTAGTCATATAATGGAATGCTATATATTAATGGGATTGATCAAGGGATGAATTAGGTAAGGAAAAGAAATGCAACTCACTTTTGTTTAAGAAGGCAGATCACTTAGAGATTTAAGAGTTTACCATTGGCTTCTTTTAATACCAGATCACTTATTTTTAATACCAGATCACTTAGAGATTTAAGGAAAGAATGAGTTTACCATTGGCTTCTTTTAATACCTCGGGATAATAACAATAATTTGTATAGCTCATACTATTGTCGTATGGGACGAATGGGAGTGTGTCGGTGATCCACGGCTCATCCGTCGCCGCCGCCGCCGGCGGCGGCGGCGGTGCCGGCACGTCGATAGAGAAGATGCGGGCCATCTCGGCGGGGCCGGGGATACCGGTGTAGGCGGCGGCGGGGCGGTGGCAGTGGCGCGAGGCGTCGCGCGCGCACGAGGCGCAGAACGCCTCGGCGTGGTGGTCGGAGCGCGCCACGGCGGGCGCGGCGTGGCACGCGTCGCAGAGCGGGGCGCGCCGGTGCGCGCGCGCGGCCGCGGCGTGGTGGGCGGCGAGGTCGCAGACCAGGCAGAGGCGCGCGCCGCCGTGCTGGGCGCAGTGCACGACGGCGCGCTCGCCGCGGCACGAGTCGCATGACGGGACGACGGCGACACCACCACCACCACCATCATCGCCGGCGTCCATCACGACGTGTATCGTGACGACGACGACGACGATGACGACGTACGTTGTCAGTAGCACACGCATCTAGGCGGCGGCGGCCGGTGCGCGCCGCGGTGGCGGCCACCGGCGGCGATCGAGGTGAGCGTAACGTGGCGGACGAGGGTGGCCGCAGGGATCGTTGGATGGGGGATCGATGGACCTATTTATAGCCCTCGATGGATTTAGTGTGTTAAATATAGTACGGAGTAGTTAGCAACAGAACTAACAGACCGACGTACGGATCGGTTCATCATATCCACCGACTCAAACACGTCACAGTGGACGCCGATACTTCGTTTCGTGGTACGTACGTTTAGACACGATCAGTTTCGTTCCCAATTATAGGAAAGGTTTTCCTTTAAAAAAAAATTAGTATAGGAGAGCACGTACCATGCCGTCTTTTAAGGTTCAGTTTTATTTTATTTTTCTGATAAATAATCCCTCTATACAATTATCAATAAAATCAGGTCATATCTTTGTTCGTTGAAAAGATATCTCCTGACTTTGTGTAGTTTACAGTTATACCACGGACCCCACTTTACTATAGTCCACATGTTACGCGCTGGAAAGCGATCTCCTGATTTTGTGTAGTTTACAGTTATACCACCAACCTCACCTACATGTTACTGCAAGTCGGCCGGTCTCTTCATTCGTCTCCGTTCGGTTTTTGGTTTTGTCGCCGTTTTTCTTTTCAATCCTTTTTTTTTTTTGCACGTGGAAGGGTTTTTATGGGTGGACCCGCTTTACTCCCGTTTTTTTTACCATCCGGTAGTTCTTTCGTCGCTGGTTTTTCCTTCGATCTCCAGCCGCCGTGGAGCCGAACCTTACTGCAACTTCGATTTGCCTCTCGATGTTTCTTCCTCCAATTAATTAAAAAATCGATTATCCACTCATTTCTCATTATTTTCTCCATGATTTTGTCTTTCAATTCGACTTAAATTTGGAAAATTATATCCCTATTTAACCGTTAGTGGCCGTCTTTTTCCCGAGTTTTTTCAATTCGGCTTTAAATCTTCCCTGATTTCCCCTTTTAATTCGGGAAATTCAATTCCTATCTAGAGCAAGTACAATAGCAGGTTACAAGTCAACTATAAGCACATATATGAAGTAGAAGAGAGGAGAGTCACGGCTTTAATTCGGGGAATTCAATTCCTATTTAGAGCAAGTACAATAGCAGAATACAAGTCAACAAGTAAACTATAACACCATATGAAAGAGAGAGGAGAGAGAAAGCGTGCTACAGATTGGTAGCGAGCTACTACACGGATTCCAAAAGTTATATGTGTATAAGAGGTGAGACTATATATTAATAATATAGTAAGCAACTATTGTATGAGTTGACTATTAAATTGGTTATAAATGATTTGGATTTAGTAGTTAGCTATACTATTAAACTTTTGCTCTTATAAGTAACTATTTGATAGAATGAGCTATTAGATTGACTATAGATGATTTGGAGCCAGTGGTTGGCTATACTATTAAACTTCCTCTCAACCATTTGGAGCCGGTGGTTAGCTATACTATTAAAACTTGGGAGAATTTGAACCATGCCACACAAAATTTTGTAAAATTTGTGATATGCCACCCTGACCCACATGTCATTGACTCATGTGGGTCCTACATGTCATTGAGATACGGGTGGCATATCTCAAATTTTGCAAATATAGGTTGGCATGGTTCCAACAAACCCAATCCGTGGTAGATGATGTCCGGCAAGCGAGCTTCCTGGCCATCTTTATTCCCGAGTTTTACATATTTTGATTTTGGAAAAAAAAAGGGAAAGAGATGATTGAGTGGATCAAAAGCCCTAAACCAATTTTAAATTTTAATAAATAAAGAAAGATCAGAGGTGATTGAGTGGATAAAAACCCTCAACCAATTTAAAAAGATCAAGAATGATCCAATTTTAAAACATCTTTGCCGAATTTGATGGGAATGATGGCATCGGCATCGGCATCTTATGGACAGTATGTGCGAGCTGAGCCGGCTTCTCTCGTGGACTGGCCGTAAAGAGACTGAAAATCGTGGACTGGGCCGTAAAGAGACTGAAAAGGAAGAAAAGATTGGGCTTTAGTCCAAACCGGGACTGAAAATGAAGAATTTATTAGCTTTCAGTAAAAAAAATATTTTTCAATTTATTTCTCACCTCCCAACAACTATATATTCTATTTCTGAAAAAATATCTTTACTTATTACAACGACTGACATTTTTCATAGCATTAGAGAAAAAAAACCATGCATGATTATGTGTTGCAAATGCTCCTTACTCCCGTAGCACGGATGAATGATTTACGGGATTCAGTTTTATCTAATTTTTCTCATTTTATCTGATTTTTGTATCGAGTTCTTGTTTATCGTAAGAGGATTTAGTATGAATAATTTCACATTATAATAGGTGTGAAATAAATTCTCTAAATCACCCTGAGATTAACTGAACAAAATCACCCCTGGTGTGAAATTACCCTCAATTATTTTTTGTGTGAGAGATTAACCGAGCAAAATCACCCCAATCCTTTTGTGTGAGAGATTAACCGAACTAAAATCACCCCTCGTGTGATAGATTAACCGAACAATGCAAAATAGAAAAATATCCCCAACCATATATACTCCCTCTATTTCAAAATGTTTGACACCGTTGACTTTTTAACACATGATCGTTCGTCTTATTAAAAAAATTTGTGAAATATGTAAAACTATATGTATACATCAAAGTATATTTAACAATAAATCAAATGATATAAAAAGAATAAATAATTACTTAAATTTTTTGAATAAGACGAATGGTCAAATATGTACTTAAAAAATCAACGGTGTCAAACATTTTGAAATGGAAATGGAGGGAGTATGGATTAAGAAAGACACGTTAAGGATACAAGGAACCCTAACAAACATTGTGTCTCAAAACGGCAGCAACCAATCGTAGACGCGATGATGGCCCACGTAATCTGATTTGGTTATACAAACGTGTTGCCACACTGTGGCAGCCTCCTCCTCCGTGTACTTGTGAACGCTCCAGCTAATTTTGTCATACACGCCTAGCACACTAGAGTCAGTGTCATAACGCAAGCTACCACACGTAGCTGATAAGTCCGATCGTCGCCGCGCGCCGCGCCATGGTGCCGTCGTTCCCGCAGCCGGCCAGTGCGGCGGCGGCGACGCGGCCAATACCGGGGAGCTACGGCCCGCCGCTGCTCGGCCCGCTCCGCGACCGCCTCGACTACTTCTGGTTCCAGGGCCCCGACGACTTCTTCCGCCGCCGCGCCGCCGACCACAAGAGCACCGTGTTCCGCGCCAACATCCCGCCCACCTTCCCCTTCTTCCTCGGCGTCGACCCGCGCGTCGTCGCCGTCGTTGATGCCGCCGCCTTCACCGCGCTCTTCGACCCGGCCCTCGTCGACAAGCGCGACGTCCTCATCGGCCCCTACGTCCCCAGCCTCGCCTTCACCCGCGGCACCCGCGTCGGCGTCTACCTCGACACCCAGGACCCCGACCACGCCCGCACCAAGGCCTTCTCCATCGACCTCCTCCGCCGCGCCGCCCGCAACTGGGCCGCCGAGCTCCGCGCCGCCGTCGACGACATGCTCGCCGCCGTCGAGGAAGACCTCAACAGGGCCCCTGACCCCGCCGCCGCCTCCGCCAGCTACCTCATCCCGCTCCAGAAGTGCATCTTCCGCTTCCTCTGCAAGGCGCTCGTCGGCGCCGACCCGGCGGCGGACGGCCTCGTCGACCGCTTCGGCGTGTACATCCTCGACGTGTGGCTGGCGTTGCAGCTGGTGCCGACGCAGAAGGTGGGCGTCATCCCGCAGCCGCTGGAGGAGCTCCTGCTCCACTCCTTCCCGCTGCCGTCGTTCGTCGTCAAGCCCGGGTACGACCTCCTCTACCGCTTCGTGGAGAAGCACGGCGCCGCCGCCGTGTCCATCGCTGAGAAGGAGCACGGCATCAGCAAGGAGGAGGCCATCAACAACATCCTCTTCGTGCTCGGCTTCAACGCGTTCGGCGGCTTCTCGGTGTTCCTGCCGTTCCTGGTCATGGAGGTCGGCAAGCCCGGCCGGGACGACCTGCGGCGGCGGCTGCGGGAGGAGGTGCGCCGCGTGCTGGGCGGCGGCGACGGCGGCGAGGCCGGGTTCGCGGCGGTGAGGGAGATGGCGCTGGTGCGGTCGACGGTGTACGAGGTGCTCCGGATGCAGCCGCCGGTGCCGCTGCAGTTCGGGCGGGCGCGGCGAGACTTCGTGCTGCGGTCGCACGGCGGCGCGGCGTACGAGGTGGGCAAGGGCGAGCTGCTGTGCGGGTACCAGCCGCTGGCCATGCGCGACCCGGCGGTGTTCGACCGGCCGGAGGAGTTCGTGCCGGAGAGGTTCCTCGGCGACGACGGCGAGGCGCTGCTGCAGTACGTGTACTGGTCCAACGGGCCGGAGACCGGCGAGCCGTCGCCGGGGAACAAACAGTGTGCCGCCAAGGAGGTGGTCGTCGCCACCGCGTGCATGCTCGTCGCCGAGCTTTTCCGGCGGTACGACGACTTCGAATGCGACGGCACCTCCTTCACCAAGCTCGACAAGCGGGAGCTCACTCCCAGCTAAGCTTTGCTGCCGCCATTCTCTCACTCGATCTCCATGCACATATGCATGAAGAAATTAATTAAATTCAAGTTGCTAGCTCCATTTTTTCTCTTTGAGCTGCTGATAAAAAAAACATCTCTATTCTTCTGTGCAATAAGCCAATAATTAAGCATTAATCAGAGCGTACAAGTAAAAATTGTTTTCACTGTTTTATGTGGATATATATATGTACAGGGATCCACCAAAATTAATTTGATACTACGTAGTACGACATTTGTTTAGGGATCAACGATTCACGTTTCACTTTTTTTTACAGCGTCAACATATATAAACACATAGATATGAGAGTATTTAATATACTTATTACTGACATACTCGCTTCGTCCCATAAAAAAAAACCAAATCCTATGTATGAATGGAGTATTCTAGTAGTACAGTAGTGTAAAAAACCGCCAATAGATTGATCCTGAATTTCAGGTCAAGGAGACAAAGCAACTACTCCATAGAATCATAGTATTAGGATATGTTTCATCCAGTAAAAAAATATATTTGAAGATGGGGAGTAAGAAACACGAAACGGAAAAACGAGTGAAGAAGAGAAGACATTTCAGGGTCTGCTTGTTTCTGATGCCAAAAGCATTTTTTTAGATAATGCCAAATGCGTGGACAGAATGCTTGTTCTAATACCAAATGCATGGACAGAATGGTTGATAGGTATCTGCTTGTATCTTGCTCGATGGAAACCGCATGGACAGCGACGCATTTCTTCTCCTTTTGCATGTTACTACTGAACGGTTGACACAGGATATATTACTGGCGAAAAAGTACATGTTAACATGGGTTCAAACAGTAACACGCATTTCAATCAAGTGTGCAAGTGCAAACACAAAATGATCGTCTGTAACCGTAGCGCGTAAACAACAAGACGTACAGTTATACTACCTCCATTCCAAAATTTTGACGCCGTTGACTTTTTTAAAAATGTTTGTCCGTTCGTCTTATTCAAAAAATTTAAGTAATTGTTAATTCTTTTTCTATCATTTGATTTATTGTTAAATATACTTTTATGTATACGTATAGTTTTACACATTTTACAAATTTTTTTAAATAAGACGAACGGTTAAATATATTTAAAAAAAGTTAACGGCGTCAAACATTTAGGGAAGGAGGGAGTATATGCCAAACATATCCCTGTATGGCTATATTGATTGGCAACAAATACAGTACTATTGATCCCGTGTTGTGCCAACCACAACAGCGACAAGTATCCTGTCAATTTGTGGTGCTAACAACTTGCCATTGATAAGTCCAGATTAACTAGAATAGACGCACCAAGGCACATACATGTAAATGCTAGCTCCTGGATAGGCAAAATTGATCCAAAGACCAGCTAAACTGCCAAATCGTTGGGAAAGTTTACATAAATGTGTCTCCCTTGCAGGTAAACAAAAACATATAGTGAGCTGAAGAAGGCTAGTTCTTCGTGCAAGAGATCAGCTGTGCAATCCTCATAAAAGGGATCGGCTGATCATAGCTGATGAAGAAAATGAATTTGTTGATTTCATGAATAACAGTGGCACTAAAAGGCATTCTGAATATAAATGAAAAATACAGTGTTAGAAAGACACCAAAAACAAACAAACAAAGACTTGCAAGGAAAACAGTACAAGACAAACAGTCACCATAGTTCTACTTCTTTCACATGTGAAACATGGCTAGGAAAGGAAAATGAAAACCTAGACATGTAGGAATTGAGTATACGAGAATTGCCATGGTTTGTAATTTGTACTCTGTAGTTTGTACCATAGGCATTGCATTTATTCATTTACTATGGCAAGAGAAGAACAGAGAACCAAGAGCAGTTCAAGAATAGATAGCAGTCTGTTAGAGGAGCGAGTTCAATGCAGAAGAGAAGTTATAATCAATTGGTATGGAAACAATGGATGTATCAAATGGCATCGGAAAATGTCGTTGCTGCACTCACATATCTAGCTACAAAAAGGACAGATGGCTTGAAGGAGGAGCTAGCTACGTACATCATGATGGTATTATTCCAAATACAATCTGAAACAGGTTTGTAGCCTGAGTTTAAATGATAAAAAAAGGAGTAACTGAATATAATTTTAAATGGTTGGTTTGCCAAGTCAGTAAGCTATACAAGCACAGCAATGTACAAGGTTATGAATATATTACCAACAATAATCTGTCTCAATGCAGAAAACATGTCGAAATAACAAAGCACGAATGAACAGAGCAACGTCTGTCATACAAAAAACTAAAATTTCTTGTGTGGTCTTAGCAGAGCCACTTATAGCCAACCCAAGTACAGCGAAACGTAGTCATGGCAGCTTAATTTCTCAATGAAATTCATAACAAGCACATGTTCATTGATTATTAATTAAACATGTTTTCTTTTGCTAAGGCAGGTAAATGTACCTGCCCATGTTTGCCTCTATATTGGAATTAATTTGTTTGTTTTCTTTCCATATAAAAAAGTGCTGGGAAGCTTCTATTGCATTTGTATACACTTCTTATATATTCTGTAAATTAGTTAACTTATTATTATTATTATTATCTCTTACTTATGGAAGAAAAGTAATTAACCAATGTTGCGTGTCCTCACAAGGATGTGTTTGTTCTAGTTCTCGTAAAAAGAAAAGAAAAGAAAAGGAAAGGAAAGAGAGGAGGTGGGTTTGGCCCAACTAGAAAGGCATCTCGTACGTAAGCCCACTTAGCCCAACTAGAGAACGTTGTAGGGGTTGCGGGAATCAACAGCCGCCGGGAGAGGTTAATTAGGGTTCCAAACTTGCATGGAGCGAGAGATCGAGATGAGCGAGATGGAGACGGGTAAGGCGATCGAGTTGGTGTTGAAGCGGTTGGATGAGGTGCGTACGCGCATGGATGGGGTGGAGAAGCTGTTGCGTATACTCATCTGCAGGGAGGAGAAGCGAGCGAAGGTTGGGAGGAGGAGGAGGAGGTCGACAAGATGCAGATGGTGACGGCGGCGGCAGGTGGCGGTAGCAGCAGCAGGAGGAGGAAAGCCATCAAGAGAAACTTTAAGGCTAAAGAAGCAGACCGCAAGGAGACGGAAGAGGAGGGCAATCAGGTGAAGAAGATCACCAGCCAGCAGCTGTAAGTGTATTTAAGTACTCCCTCCATATTTTAATGTAGGATGCCGTTGACTTTTTAACACCACTCGTCTTATTTAAAAATTATATGTAAATATAAAAATACTTATGTCAAAAATTTTATGCAAATATAAAAATACTTATGTCATGCTTAAAGAATATTTGATGATAAATTAAGTCGCAATAAAATAAATTATAATTACATAATTTTTTTAATAAGACGAAAGGTTAAACGTTTGTAAAAAAATCAACAGCGTCATACATTAAAATACGGATACGGATAGAGTTTTATCTGTACCGATGGATGATCCGATCCAGCTATTATCCATCATCCATTCTGAGTTTATTGGTAATGATGATACTACTGATATGGTCAATTTAACCCTAACTAGTTAGTATACCAATGTTACTATGTGATATATCTGGGCCTCCCAAAAGGAAGAGGAAGAGGAAGAAGGAAGAAGACGCCAGCGAGAAGAAGAAGAAGAAGAAGCGGCAGACGGAGGAAGCAGAAGCGGAGAAGAAGATTGAGGCGAGGAAAGCCAAAAAAGAGGCGTACGAGCGGTACCTGGCGAATTTCTTTGATTTTGAGCCCTTCCCACGCACACCCGACCACATCCTCAACGAGATGCCCGAGGAAGAGCGTGCCGGAGAAAATCAACTTGCTGCCTTCGCTGATAGTATTATGGAACGTCGCAGGCTCCTATACCAGAGATGCATCAAGGACTACATGGACAAGGACAAGGACGATCACGAATAGCAAGTGTCTTCGTCTGTCTGTGATCAAAGCTACTACTACTGGAGTATCCTATTCTGAGTTGGACTGTATCGTATCGTCTCACTTCATTATATAATAATGACTATGTCATGATCGATGTAATCGGCACTGAGATATATTAATATTAACTACTCCCTCCGTTTCAAAATGTTTGACACCGTTGACTTTTTAGCACATGTTTGGCCGTTCGTCTTATTCAAAAAATTTAAGTAATTATTAATTCTTTTCCTATCATTTGATTCATTATTAAATATATTTTTATGTAGGCATATAATTTTACATATTTAACAAAAGCTTTTGAATAAGACGAACGGTCAAACATGTGCCTAAAAAGTCACGGTGTCAAATATTTCGAAACAGAGGAGTATATATTAGTACTAATATCAGATTCTTCTACTGCTGACTTCCTGAATGAGACGAACATTCGATGCAAAATTAGAGAATGGTTGGTAGTACGACTGAGATAGTCAGATAGATGATCACGTTGGGTGTGTGTGTTTGTCTTGGAGGGCTGAAAACGACAGTTAAGCTTAGACCTGCTGGCCGCCAGCTAGACTCCATTGTTTCGCTTATTTGCAAACAGAAAATAATTTGCAAATAAAACTTTTATATATGTGTTCTTAGTGATAAAATGCAAAGGCTGAAAAAACTACGATTAAAAAAAACCTCAAAATCAACTTAAGGTTGTTCAATTTTGGTTTATAAGCATACGCATAAGTCAAAAGATGAGGCTGTTAGTGTTAATTTCCCAGTGGCCAACAAACTGTTTTTGATCAGTGAAGAAATTAATTCAAATGAATGAATGACGGAGTATTGGAGCTTGCACACTTAAGTATCTTAGTTACATAAATGTACGAGCATCTCCCTCACAGCTAAACAAAAACAACGCAAGGCTAGTCCTTCAGTTCTCATGCAGGAAATCAGCTACGTAATCCTCGTAGAAAGGATCGAGTTTGAACCAACGTAATCCTTATAACCAACGTAATCATAACTAAGAACAGTGGCACTAAATGACCACACTCTGAATATAAATGAAAAAAAAAAGCACCAAAAAAGATCAAGAAGAAGAAGCTGCTGCTTTCAAGGAAAACAATACACGACAAATAGTCACCATAGTTCTTTCACATGTTAGGAAAAAAGAAAATGAAAACCCAAACATGTAGGAATTGAGTATACGGATTGCCATGGTTTGTAATTTGTATTATGTACCATAGACATTACATTTACTATAGCCAGAGAACAGAGAAGCAAGAGCAGTTAAGGAATAGAGAAACTATCAATGGGTAATTCCTACATGTTTTTATATTAGAGGAGCGAGTTCTATGCAGAAGAGAAACTATCAATGGGTAATTCGGTATTGGAAACAAACATGTATAAATTGACATCGAAAAAGCTACAAAGAGGACAGATGGCTTTAAGAAGGAGCTACAAGATGCATTCCAGCCAAACTTGAAACAAGTTTATCACCTGAGTTTAAATGACAAAAAAGCAGTAACTGTTCCTCGAGTTGAATGTTCACACCAAAAGTTGGTTGACTGGATCACGGCAAATGATGGATATGAAAAAAAAAAAAAAGGGTGCAGAAATACCATCAAAATGACTTATCTTTACCATGGAACCTGGAGGCAGGTCGAGCTAAAAAACATACATATCTAACAAAAATAGTACAACAGATACACATCATGTAACTGAATAAAATTTTAAATGGTCAGTTTGCCAAGTCAGTAAGCTATACAGGCACAGCAAAGTACAAGGTTGTGAATATATTACCATCAACAATCTGTCTCAATTCAGAGAACATGTCGAAATAACAAAGCACGAATGAACAGAGCAACATTTGTCATACAAAAACTGAAATTTCTTGTGTGGTCTTAGCAGAGCCACTTATAACCAACCCAAGTACAGGAAATTGTAGTCATGGCAGCTCAATTTCTCAATGAAATTCATAGCAAGTACATCTTCATTGATTATTAAACATGTTTTCTTTTGCTAAGGCATGGTACATAACTAAATGTGGGGTTTCTAAAAAAAGAAAAGGTAAATGTACCTGCCCATGTTGTCTCCCAGGCTAAAAAAGACCACTTGGCCAATAGCTCAGCAAGCAAAAACAAAAGAAATAAAACACTGCTCTTCAATTCAAAAGGAAGATAGTACTATCTTCTCATGAATGGATAAACCGCTACGCACCCATGGCAACCCGTTTGCCCCTCTTGGATGTTGATGATGCATTCTCTGCCAATATCCTAGACAAAATGTCTGCTTGCTTTGAGTACCCTCCAGCTTTTAAGCTGTCCATCAGGGCATCGCAACCCTTTTGATCCACGACACCTCCTTTGTTCTTGATCTTGCAAAGCATGGAGTATGCAGGCAATGTCTTCTCCTCAGTGTACAGGGCCTCCAAGACTCTGTCATAGGTTGAGAAGCTGACATCAAAGTCCCTGTCCAATGCAAAATCAGCCAACTTATGTGCCTCCATCACTTTGTCATTCTCGCAGAGGGCAATCAGCAACTTATCTAGATCAGGCAAGCATCCATTTTCCACCATCAGATTGACACGGCCGATTGCTTCCTCCACATGGCCCCTCATGAAGAGAGCTTCCAGAATCTTATGAGCCATGTCCATGTTCTCTGTAACCCCCTTCTCAATCATACTCTTCATAACCCTGCTAGCAGTCTGAACCCGGCCACTGTTGAAAAGCGCTACCATGACAGACATGAACAGGGATGGGCTCGGTACATGCCCTTGTTCCATCATACTGTCAAGTGCCGTCTTTGCATCAGCTGGCTCATTCTTCTTCAGGAAGCTATCAACAAGCAGTGCATGCGATTCAGGGTCAGTACGGACACCACGGCGTGTCATAATGGCAAGAATCTCCTGTGCTGCTTCTGGCACACCTTCCTTTGCATGCCCACGGATAAGACTGTTAAAAGCAGCCTTGTCATCAACGCCTTTCTTCATCAGCTGCCTGAAGAAAGTCTCAGCCTTGCTGGTGTTCCCATTGCTGCACAAATACTCAATCACTGGATTATAAGCTGGCCCTTCAAGCACAGGGCTCTTTGGGCTCAACAGTGTCCCCTTCTCAAGAAGCTCATCCATCACCTCAACAGCACCATCACACTTTCCACCCGCGCACAAGCTCTCCATCAGCACCCCATACTGTCTTGGATCCACAAGAACATGCTTGAACTGCCCACTCTTCTGGTGCACATCCAACGCACCATCCAAGTCACCCGCTCGGCATAGCGTCGTCACAAGCCTCAAAAACACTGACTTGTCCTTTGGAGTGAGCCGCCGCTCCGCCATGTCATCCATTGCCTTCCGGGCCTCCACAACCCTTCCCTCATCATCACAGAGCCCTGGCATCAGAGCAGCAAACGTCTTCTCGCTCAACCTCAACCCCTTCTCCCCCATTTCCGAGAACAGCCCCACTGCCTCCTCCACCTTACCTGCTTCAACATATCCCTTGATCATGACATTGTACGACACCGAGTTTTGTGCAAAACCAGCTCCTGGCATTTCGTCAAACACTTTGCGGGCACTCTCCAGATCACCCGCCCGAACCCAAGCATTGAGAAGAGTGTTGTACGTCGTCACATCCGGTGTCACCCCGTGATCCTTCATGTCCCCGAACACCCTCAAGGCTGCCTCCATCTTCTTGCACAGGCCGAACCCCCAGATCAATGTGTTGTAGGTGGACAGGTCAGGGGTGACGGCGTCGGCGATCATGGCGTTGTAGATCCGCCTGGCCATGGCCTCTCGGCCGCGGCAGAGGATGGCCTTGAGGACGGCGTTGTAGGAGAGCGCGGTGCGGGCGATGCCGAGGTCGGGCATCAAGCGGAAGAGCTTAACGGATTCCTGCGGGATGTTGGCCTTGCCGTAGGCGGCGATGAGGGCGGCGACGGTGGCCTCCTCGGGGGCGATGGAGAAGGAGGGCATGGTGTCGAGGAGGATGCAGCGGGCGTGGTTGAGCATGCGGTGGGAGGCGAGGATCGGGATGAGGAGGGAGAAGGTGGCTGGCTCGGGGCTGAAGCCGGCGCGACGGTAGGCGAAGCGGAAGAACTGGAGGGCGAGGTCGGCGCGGCCGGCGGCGGCGGCCCCGGAGATGACGCCGTGGACGAGCGGCGCGGCGAGCGTCGGGGAGAGCAGGCGGATGGAGTTCTCGAGGCGGGTGGTCCACGGGCGGCGGCGGATCATGTAGAGGATGGTCTCGTGGAGGGGCTCCTCGCGGCGGGGCGGGTTGGGGGTCGCCGCCGCCGCCTCCGCCGGCGTCACCTCCGGCACAGCCTCGGCCTCGGCCTCGGTCTCCGGGGGAGGTGGTTCCGGCGTGTCGAGGGTGGAGAAGGCATGGCGGAAGAGAGGCGCGGAGGGGTTGTTGCGGGAGAGGAGGCGGAGGGGGAGGTGGAGGTGGTGGCGGCGCGACATGGCTGCGGCGGCGTGGAGGAGTGGAGCTCGGGGAGAAGAGTCGAGGGTTTAGGAGGAGGAGGAAGAGGCTCGACACCACCCACGCTAAAGAGCGTGATGGGCCCATATTTAATTGGGCCATTAAGTGACTTGTGGTTCTGGGCCTTTTAGAACCCAGCCCAACACGGCAGTGTAGAAACAAGGGATTCATACGGGCCGGGCTCAACAGTCAATACGCATGCAAAAGATCGTGATGGGCCTATTTTTCATTGGGCCGCGCGTCATGATAATTTGCTTTGTTGTTCTATTATTGAAAAAGTACACCCAAGGTCTCTCAATTTGTCATCGAATTATAAAATCATCCCTCAACTGTAAAACCGGATACAACGCATCCGGTTTGGGTCTCCGCTCGGTCGGCTACGTTGCTATCATCACATTCTTGTAGCCAAGCTGGAATCAGCATCACATTATGTAACTAGTATACAGCTAAACAGTTTAAACTGGTAAAAGAAAAATCTAGGCCTCTTTTGAAAGACAGGATTGCACCTAGGAGAAGATGCCTAAGTTTCTAGTGTGCGATCGATTCGACCAACGGTGTACTTGTAGAATGCCACCAACTCCACGGCAGCAAATGTAGAGAGCACACATAGCAAGAAGATATTGAGTTTTCTTGCATAGTAATACTTGCACCTGCAGGTCAAATCAAATCGGATACATCAAATAATAATTAATTAGAGATTGTGTAAGTTAATTCGTGAAGAGTTAACTAATTAATTACCAGAGGAGGTCATCTGGGTTGGGCTTGACGTGGCCGATGAGTTTGCAGAGGAGCTCTGCATCAATCTGTGCCTCCTTGCTACGTTTCTTGTATTGCCAATTCAACGTAGCAAGCTTGTAGAACAGCTCTTCCTTCTTCTGCTTGACCTCCAGCTTAAGGGCCTCCACCTCAGCTGTCTCAAGAGCATTCGGAGGAGGCTCTACATGACACCGCCATGAATGCTGTCGTTGCACACACAAATTAATTAGTAATTAGTAGTACTTGAATGAAATTAAGCTTGTTTATGAGCATGGAATTACCTATCCACTTGTTTCTTGTGGGCACAGATGTGCTTGTCTTGATGCAAATGATTATGCACCAAATAATAAGATTGAAATTGACAGAACAACTAAAGTCTGTAATAATTTAGACGAGGAGGGTATTTGAATGTAATAATTTTCAGATGAGAAAATTAAGTAGGGGAAGCATGCAATCGAGGGGGATTTGGACGATGCGAACCTTTGGTGTTGATGGTGGGTGATCGGCAGCAGCATCGGAGCTCATCAACCGCCGAAAAGTAGTTCCATACGAGGACGACGACGACGACACAGGCGAGCCGCCGCCGCCGCCGCCGTAGATAAGGCCTTGCAACAGCCGCCGCCGCTGCCCCTCCGCCTCAGCAGCCACCACCGGTGAGCCGCCTCCAATATTCATCGAAGCGCGGCGTCCACCACCGCCGGCGATCTTCCTCGCCGCAAGCCGAAGCGCCGCCATCGCCGCCGCCAGCTTAGCTAGCTCTCCCTACGTACGTATATGGTATAAAGACTTCTCCTTATAAATATACCAGTAGGTATCGGTATCGTATTAGTCACCGCTTACTCAAATTTTAGATTCCAAAGCTATATATACTCCAAATAAATATGAATTTGGTAAAATTCGTCAATTTGGATTCTCAATAGCGTTTAGTATGGATTTGATTTTTTTCGTTAATTTGTCTGTCTGTACAGCAGCAGCAGCATTACATTACATGCATGCAACTAATTTGGTAGCCTATCTAGCTAATTGAAGAAGATGGCCGGCTCCAGCCGTGGCTCCGTCAAGTCCACCACCGTCTCCTCCTCCATCTCCGGCGATCGCCAACTCTCTCCGACGCTGCACTTCACGGCTAACCTAGTGCTGTGCATCGTGTCGCCGGCGCTGCTGCTTCTCCCGATGCGGGTGACCAAGGTGGCGGCGGCGGCGTGCTTGCGGGAGGAAGGAGCGATGGTGGCGAGGATCTGGACGACCTCGCTCATGGTGGGACGCGACTCGGGCTCCCACTGCAGGCACTCCCGCGCCAGGTGCGCCATGATCTGCATCTCCTCCTGCGGGAACCGCCCCTGCAGCGCCGGGTCCGGCAGCTCCGCCACCACCAGCCGGCTGTCGCGCAGCCGCGGCGCCGCCCACAGGACCAGGCTCTCCCCCGCCGCCGCCGGCGGGCGGTGGTGGTGGATCGGCTGCCGCCCCGTGATGAGCTCCAGGATGACCACGCCGAAGCTGAACACGTCCGACTTGAGCGACGCCTTCCCCACGATGGCGTACTCCGGCGCGAAGTACCCGAACGTGCCCAGCATCCGCGCCGGCGAGCTCGAGCAGCTCGTCACGCCGTCGTTCATCAGGCACTTGGCCATGCCAAGGTCGGTGATCTTCGCCCTGAACTTGTCGTCGAGCAGGATGTTGGTGGACTTGATGTCGCGGTGGAGGATCCGCGGCGCCGCCGCCTCGTGCAGGTACTCCACCCCCCTCGCCGCGCCGAGCGCCACGCCGACGCGCGTCGCCCAGTCCATGGCCTTCCTCCCCTGCTTGAGGTCGAGGCAGTCGCGCAGGTTGCCATTGCCCATGCACTCGAACACCAGCAGCCGCTCCAGCTGCCGGCCCTGGCTCTCCATGCAGTAACCCAGCAATGGCACGACATGGCAGTGGTTCAGCCGAGACAGCAGCTCAACCTGTTCGACCAAATGCAAATCGAACTTCAGATTGCCGCCACTGCAAATGCAAGCAAATTGGATGTTCTTGGGATTTGTCAATGAGATGGTACTACCTCGGATAGGAACTCGAAGTCTTCGTCTGCGCCTCCGAGGGGCCTGAGCTTCTTCACGGCAATGACCTTGGCGTCGCTAAGCTGTCCACGGTACACCTTGCTTGTTCCTCCAACTCCGATCAGATGTTCATCTGAAAATTTCCCGGTTGCTTGCTCCAATTCCGAGTAGGAGAACCTGACGATGACACCGGGAAGCGGACCACCTTCATTGCCACATATTGGATTGCAGCTGCACAGAAACTCTGCGACAGAGAATTGAAAAACAAGCAAGGATCAGTGTGCTGCTCTGAGTCTGAATACACTGTCCTGAATCAAACAGGCTCTGAATATTGGAGCAGATTCAGACAGGCACAACATCTAAGAAAGAAAATTCAGAGATACATGCTTTGCCTTGACTTACCTTTAAGTACACTGATCCTTGGTTTTGGCTTTGGTTGGGGAAGAGGAGAAGATCGATGACTGACGAGGTTTGATCTGCTGCTCCAGCTGGTGTACTTATCAAAGGAGTATGCATGCGAATGTGGAGAGAGCGCATCCTTGCGACGCAGGTAGTACGCCGTGGTGCCAAGGAATGCAATAGTGGTGAGGATCACACATACTAGCAGTGTAACTATCACTGTTTTGTTAGAGACGTGCTTCTTTCCTTCCTGAGAAATTCCTGGACAGCATATGCACATAAACATTCAGACATTCAGTAAGCACAGAGTTCATCTGAACACTCAGTCCACAATATAATTTATGTATCTGAATTGTAATACCGGATGTGCAGTTACAGGAAGTGAAGCAGCCCCTATCATGTACTGCAGTGTGTTCTTTTTTAAGGGCTTTGTCAGAAGCACATGTGCAGTTCCATGATCCTGTGCCACCATCATCATCTGCTGCAGAGATATCCGACTAAGGCGCAATGCAATTGTGGACTGTTCATAGAGTACATGATCAATTGTTCATACCTTGTAGACAATGGCAGGAAGAAGAACAATTCGACGACAAGCTGCTATTTGAGTTTGGTTCACCTAGTGGATGAGCTGTGCATACACATGTCCAGCTTGTTGTTCCAACTCCCTCTGCAGTGCCATCTGTGCAATAACAAGTGTACACATCTTATATCTCATAACTACCCCTTCCAGTTCATAAGCATCAGCATGCAACAAATTAAAAAGATAAATAAATTTTGTTCCATGAGAAAGTGGTGCTTACCACTCGATGCTACTTGGATCAGAAGTACACAGCTGAGGGAGGCCAGGAGAAGTTTCTTGTGTACATCCATCAGCTGGAGAATGGGGAAAAACCATCAGATTGAACCCATCTGATTGCTATGCTCTGAAAAATGACAAAGGCATGTTTGAATACATCATTTGTTTGACTGAAATCGAAGACAAAATTGCCTCGATACATGCAAAGCACTAAGAACAATTCCAGATGCATATTAATATTGTTAGATGGTACATGGTTGACTGGCTATTACTATCAAATTATACCACTACACATCCAGAGGAACATATAAAACACAAAAGAATTAATATGAACAAAAATAAGGTTTACTTCTTATAAAGTAATGCATTACTAGACAGAGGTGCAAACCATTATTACCAATTAAAAATACCTATTAAATGCCAAGCTATGATTAACAAGTAGCAACTTGAAGGAAAATGGAGGCCTCAGAGGTTTACTTACAACTGACTTGACTTGTTAACGCTAATCAAATCCAGACGAAGCGTACGACACAGACATGATCTCTCTAAAGGTTCACAAGAAAGGCTGTGTTTAGTTTACACCAAAATTGGAAGTTTGGTTGAAATTGGAATGATGTGACGGAAAAGTTAGAAGTTTGTGTGTGTAGATAAGTTTTGATGTGACGGAAAATTTGGAAGTTTGAAGAAAAACTTTGGAACTAAACACGGCCAAAGAAACCAGCCAAATGTACAAGAAAGGACTAATTTGAGTTTCTTCAAACTGTGTCCTGGTCCAGGAGTAGAACACGAGAGAGCAAACAGGGAAGGCAGGGAGAGAGCGAGAGATGAAGTTCTAACTTGAGAGTTCAGACTAAAGTCTGGACTAACAAAGAAGGCTGCTTATATGCAGGCAAGGCATTCCAAGAAAGAGACAGAATCTATCAACAATAGTTTTTCAAATGTGTGCTTCCAAAAAAATGGAATTTTTCAATCATAGCATTATTATAACACATTCACTGCAGCACCTTCCAAGACAGGAGACATCTCAACCTACAGCACCACTATGCACAGTAGGAAAAAGAAGTAACAGGCCTGGAACGAGCAAAACAGCAGCCATCTTTTTCCATGCTACAAAGACTCGAGATTGCCTGAACTTAGGTGTGGTGTTTGAATAGAGAGATTCATTTCAAACTATGGATTAAAACTTGAAATGACATCTGACCTAAGATCTCGAATGTGATGGAGGGCAAGTCTGGCGGTGATCGGTGATCAGGAGCCTGAAAGCCACCTGGGCAAAGAAGATTGTTGGGCATTCAGCACAAAAAACACAAAGCCATAGGTTTCTGTCGGCCAAGGACAACGTGGAGACTTCTTGAAGAGATTAATTGTTCATTCAAAGTGTTTCTTAATCTGATGGTTACATCTTAACTCTACCTGCACTCTTATGGATGTGTCTTCTGCAACTACCACTAGAGTCTGATGCTTAAAATATGTTTTCATCTTGGAAGTGCGTAGGAGCTAGCTTCCATTTCCTAGTTCTCTTGGTTGCGTGATTCATCCAAATAATCATTAGAAGGCTAAATTGGTTGCAAGATACACATCGATAGCATTATACCTAGGCATATAATAATATCTATCATGGACAAAATAAAATTATTCGGTTGGTAACTTGACTAACTACCAATAGTGGCAAGAATAGGATTAAATACTACAAGGAAAGAATTGGGAAGTAATAATATAATATGCTCATTTTTTCCCTTTTGAGAGACATTTTTTCAAGCAGCATGAAGACCTGTTCTTCAGATGCCACAAACCAGTTACTTTTTTCTTGACACCGACACTAAATTAACAAACTTAAATTTGCTTCTAATTGATTACATTTTCTCTTAATTGCAGCAGTGACAGTTAAGCTCGGTAGGCAAAGATCCAACAATATGGTAAGTACTAATTAATCCGTAACACCATTGTGTTTAAGGTCATTGACCAAATCAACATGGTTAGCTACTAGCCTACCACGTATCCTTTAACCGGACACAGCTCCTTAGAGGGGCGTGGGTCCCTGACAGGTGGGAGCCAGGGCCACCATCATGGGCCCACAGGTCAGTGGCGCACGTCCCTCTGACGTAGCCTCACCCCCAACCTTTCAGAATTAGTATATCCATAACACATGCAGGTCGCTTGCTAGTATCTCTTTCCTAAGATCGCATCAAATCCTGTGTTAAATTGGAGGAAAACATCATCTTGCTTTCATTGGAGTAACTGCTGGTATAGTAGTACTCCATTAGAGCAGGTACAATAGCAGTTATAAACATATTTTAATGAGATAAAAGATAAGAGAGAAGAGCGGACTACATATCTGTAGCCAGCTGCAGCACGGACTACAAGACGCAGTATGACAGGTAAACAACTATTATATGAATTGACTATTAGATTGGCTATAGATAAATTGAAGCTAGTAGTGGGCTATACTATTAAACTTGCTCTTAGAGTATACTGGTATTAGCTAGAGCTAGCTTGGTCATGGCAGAATTGCATCGCAGAGTGAGAATTCTTCGATCCAGAACCACTGAATTCATCCTAAAATACAGTAAAAAAACTAGTACTACTGCTATCTTGGATGGGGTAAAAAACATGTATTCACCTGAGAGTCTGTGAGACTGTGACCACATTGGAGACCTAAGGGCAAGTTTTATAGTAGATGTGACTACCACATCCAATTTCATGCATTACATAGATAATTAAATTAAGAGGTGATATGTATAATAGGTTACCTCTACCACACAATCCCCAATATCTCTAGTACTCTCACATGTTTATTGAAGTTTGTGTAGGGGCTGCCCCTTGCATGAGAGGTGACTATTTCTCTCTCATCCTTCTTCTCTCCTCCACCTCACTATTTAGTCCTATGTGACATCTTGGAGCTTATACTTGGATGTCCATAGTACTTACCCTAAATTACCCTTCTGTATTCTAACTAATCTTCTTCCTTTTCTTTATATGCTGGCACAGTGCCATTTCCACTAAAGAATGGATCACAGTTCAACACTTCAACTCTCTAGGTGAAAAAAAAAAGTTACCGCCTTTCCTCGAAGAAATTAAACTACTTCACCCTTCAGGACGAATGATTCTTCGACGAGGAAGAGGCGAAGGTAGATCGGCAGCAGGCAGTGGACGGCATCATTCTGTCAGGGAGGAACAGAAGAAACAAAAAGGGAGAGAGAGAGAGAGAGAGAGAGAGAGAGAGTGAGGGAAAAGGCATCCCAATGTTGGTTAGTCTTAATCCAACCCTCGGTTGAGCAGATAAGGAGTCATCTGATCCGTCCATTTTTAGGAATCTGTAAGCGAAGGTTGAACCTTGAAACACAGCATGATTGGAGAAGACGGGCGGTTTGGAATTTCTCAAAGTGAAATTCGAACTCTTCTTTTTAAAAAAGATGTGACATATCGAACTCGAAGCAAAATACTGTGCAATTTCCTCGATGATGAGGCAAGGTCAGCGGAGTGGGTTCTAGAATTGGCGGCTACCAGATGGATCAGGGTTGAGAAGTAGAAGAAGAAGGGAAGAGAGCGGTATGCAGCTTGCCTTGTCTGAAGAACAAATTCAAGGACACAACTCACTAGAACTGTTGTATTGATTTGCTGCAAGAACCTGCATGTTTTGAGTTTCTGCAGGGAATTCTGGAGGTTCAATTCCTACAATGCTGAAACTCCTCAAGATTCAGTTCAAATCCAAAGTGGGGAAGAAGCAAAGCGATTCAAGAAGAGCCGCAATGTGGGTGTTAAATAAACACCAAGATGAGAAAAAAATTTGAAGAACAGAAGCAGAAACCGAAATTCAGGCCAAAAATCATCATCAACACAGTGGGAACTCTTTCCGGCAAGAGAAAGATTTATGCGCATTGACTAATACTAGAGATTAACAGGGAAGGGGGGAGACGATGGTAGGGACCTAACCTCAGACGCTGCTGGTTCCATGGTGATGGAGCTCCATCTCCAAAAAGGTCCAAAGTGGAGAGCCTCTCTCTGTTAAATTGGGAGTTTGGAGTGAGCAGAGCAGAGGCAAGGCAAAGCAGGTGCAGCCTTGAATGCACTGTGGACTCACTCTGCCTGCTGGGAGGGGAGGACAAGTTAATGTGACATGCCTTACATTAAGAGAGAATTATTACTAGTGTGGGAGAGAGTATGAGGCAATGGGGGAAACAAAGTCAGCCGCTCCTCCGCCCTTAATTTTGTCTGAATTCCAGTTCACTCCATTTGCATTTGCAGCGCACTACGTACAACGCCTCGCCTCACGGCTCACGCACGACACCGCCTCCGAATCAAACCTCAATCCATCCATGGCGCCGCATGTGCCTCACCAGTCACCACCTCATCATCCACGTACCCGTCACTCGCATCGCACGTCTCATCCAAACGAAACCGCGCCCAGTCCAAGTGAAGAAGAGAAACACGAACTGCCAAGTCCTATAGACTTGTACTACTACTACTCTCTCTTTGAAACAGTCAGGCAGCCATGGTGTGTCTCTCTTTTCTGTGTTTAGCAGTGGCAAGCCATCTCGTTCAGGGCTTCTTGTGATCATAGGGCAAATCCCCTTGCCTTCCTTCAAGAAAAAGAGGACATTCCTCCTTTCAGTCTCAACAACTCAACAAGGTGGGGGAAAAAAGAAAGAATGAAAAAAAATGAAAGCACTAGCAGAGGCCTCAGTTTCCAAGTTCCAACATCCACAAGTCTTCAAAAATCAAAATAAACGTCGTAACATGCACCAGCATGTGCCACTAAGATTAAGCAATATACAAAATGCACCCACATTTCCAACTAAAAAAACACTCACATTTCTGTAACAACAGGGTTGACAGACTGGATCCAATGCTACAACAGGTCAACTCATTGACAGTAAAGCCCCTTACTGTCAATGAGATAGCAGAGACAATACCCACATGTCAGAACAAAAAAAATATCAGCAGCCCATCATATTATCTTCAGCAGGAAAAGGGGTAACCTCAACATTTCCAGACCCGTATCAACAAGGTTTGATATTTGCAGGAAAGGTAGACTGATTATACAAGATGGATATTCAAATTGATGTTAGCACCCGTCATCCCCCAAAAAAGAAACCCCGACCCACTGTACTTCTATTGATGTCCGTCTCTTGCTATCAGAATACTAAAGGGGTTAGATCGACTATAACTCAAATCAGTTAACTATTGCACTAGTAACCTACAATTTGACTGAACCTTCCTCACTACGATTCATCGTCAGAAAGGCACACAACCTCTGTGCTGGAGACCGTCCCTCTGGCCTCACTAGTCAGCGCAAGCCTAGCTGTTAGCCATGTATTCAGTGATGCTGATGCAGAAGAACCTGAGGGATTGACACCTGAAATTTGAGATCCAGCGTGCTGGCTTCCAGCACCTGCATTCAGTGGACCTGAGGTCCTGTGAACAACCGTGTTCAATGACAGGGGTGCCGTGAGGCTAGGATTTGAACTAGATGGGAGCACAAATGGCAGTAGGGATGCTAGGATAGATGGTCGTTGGTGCTGATTTCCATGACTCGTGGCATAAGGTGACGGCATCCTAAGCTGCTGGAGATGAGGAGAGGGAGCATGCGGTTGTGCCCCAGCAGCTCTGTAGGTGCCATGTGGCATAGGCATTGGTGTACTACTAAAAGGTGATGATGACATTGCTCTATACATATTGCCAGGTAAGATTGACTGCGGTTGGGTAGCCTGTGATGATGGTTGAACCACCAGTGAAGGTTGCACATATGGTCCTGATGAATGAAGCACCTGTGGTCGAACTGCTGATGACAAGGTAACTGGTGATGCTGTGACTTGCTCTGCTACAATCCTTGCAGATGGTTCCTGAGAAGACTGAACCAGCTGCCCAATTGTGGGTCTCGTGGATCCCCCTGCAATAATCAAGGAAGAAATGAAGTGTTACAAGCATGGTCAGAGGATTGCAGAATAAATATCTGAGCCAGCAACATATCCTTAATTAAATTGCCTCAGCTTGCAGATCGATGTAATGCTACCAGCTAAGGCAGAAGGCACATAGCGGTGTTCCAGAACAAGAAGCCACATGTATCAGCAATTGACATTCAAAACAACGAAGTATACAGCATGCAAGGTACATGAACGAGGTAAGAAGAACATGCCCAATACTTTTGGATAAAGTGGAACACAGATACTATGATAAAAAACTATCAAACCATAAACTTGATCTTAGGGTTTCAAGCTGAAAGACTAGTTATGACCAGGACAATATTATGGAATACAATGGGATATAATGGTAATATATTGTTGGATACCTTGAGCTGCAGATAATGGTAGGAATTTCCTTCGAAAATTCTCAGCCAGTGATTGGTTTATAAAGACTTTCCTGTAGATAGTATCAAGTTCTGCCTCCTTCTGAGCGTAAAAAGAATCTTCCTTTTGAAGTAATGAGTCATATTTCTGTTTTAGCTTCTCCATTTCTTGGTTATACTCCACTAGGAGTTGTTTTCTCTATACATAAGAAGATGTGTGGCAGATAAGAAAATTCACACAAATAACACAAATAATTTAAAGAAAAACAGAGGGTGTAGATAAAAAGGTGCAAACCTTTTGTTCATGAACTTTACTAAGAACATTGCTGGTATGTTTTAATCTTTCCAGCTCATTTTTGAGAGGTTCGTCACTAAATCTTTGATAATTAAACACTAATGGTGCCACTGGAAGAGGCTGGGTGGGCTGTTCAGAACTTAGTGCAGAGTTGGACTGAACACCTATCTGATTCATGTCTTCAGAGCGTATTCCTTCAAGTTGGACAGTCTGTATTGTGGATGATAGATCCAGTTGGGGCTGCAAATCACAAGTTTCTGTCGTGCAAGATCGCTGCACTAAGTTTGCTCTTGTTTCTGCAGATCGCTCTTGCATTGAACCTGATGGTAGTTCAGACTGCCTTTCATGTGTTGTTTCCATGCACAAAGCACCCGTTGGTTCTACTCCTGTCTGCAGATCCCATGAAGGCACTACACTTTGATGGGCAGTAGTAATACTTCGTGGCACAGGAATACCAGACAGATCAGTCCTTTCAAATGGAGCATCCTGTGTTGAGGTTAATCTCTGTGTCTCACATTGCAAATTCTGAGCTGCTGCAGCACTCAACATACCTTCTTGATTTGCCTCTGCAAGTTGATTTGGCACTGGGGTTGATGATTGCATTAAAGGCTGCAAATCTTCAGCTGCAGCAATGCACAATACTGCTCCTGGATACTGACCCTGCACTGAGTTTGGAGGTTGCATTTCTGGCTGTAAATCCTGAATTGCTGAGCTCGACATACCTTCTTGTTCCAGCTCTTCAGATTGATCCTGACCTGAGGTTGATGGCTGCATTTCAGGCTGAAATTCCTGAGTTGCCTCTAAACCTACAGGACTTGCAATTGAATGTCGTGAAGTTTCTGGACTTTGTTGGGCAGGGTGGCTTGTATTTTGTTGTATAGGTATATTTGATTGACAAGTCTGAGTTTCAACTTCTGTCGAAACTACCAAGGCAGCTGTTTCGTGAATGATGTAAGTTGGAGATTCTGAGTGTGAAGGCTCTTCGGCAACAATGTCATCAACTACAACTCCGGTATCAAGTAAATGTTGTTGAGTTGTTGCACCTTCCTGCAAGAAAACAACTGCTCGATCTGATTGACAATCTGTTTGACTTATGTTGTTACTTTCAAGTGAAGCATCAAACAATGAGGTTGATGGTTGCAATTCAGGTTGGAAATTCTGAGCTGGCTGTGTGGTAAGCAAACCTGTTCGTTCTGCTTCTGCAGGTGGAAGTGGTGAAGGTGCTAGATTTTGTTGGGCAGACAGATCTGTGCTCTGTTGGGAAGACATATTTGATATATTTCCCTGACTTCCAACCTCACTCAAACCTTGACATATAACCAGGCTTTGTGGAGTAGCAAAGATTGGAGATTCCAAATGGGCTCGAACATCACAAACAGTGTTACTATCATTAGCATCAACTATCTCTCGAGCATCTCCTAAATGGCCACAGGTTTCACCTCTCTGTGACAGAACTGTTTCCAGCTGATGTTTTGTTTGACTGTCGTCATCAGGGTGCATCCTTTGGAGTGAAGTCTCCAGCACTGAGGCTGATTGTTGCCTTTCAGGCTGCACATCTCGGGCTGTCTCCCTGCTCAGGGTACTTGCTGGTTCTGCTTCTGCAGGTGGATTTTGTGAAGATAGTGAACTTTGTACGAGTGGTACACTTATACTCTGCCGTTCAAGCATACTTGATTGATCAGTCTGGGTTTCAACTTCCGTAGACACCAGCAAGGCAGCTGGTTTGTGTGCAGCAGTATAAGATTGTGTCTCTGAGTCAAGTGGATCTGCAGCAGCAGTGTCATCAACTTTTGCTGTAACTCCAGCAGTAGCATCAACTGAGGTTAAATGACAGGAAGTAGAACCTTCCTGCAATGGGCTAGTTGATGTATCTGGTTGATGAACTGTTTGATTATTATTATCTGGGCACATCCTTGCAGATGGAGAATCCAATGTTGAGGTCGTTGTTTGCATTTCAGGTTGCACATCCCAAGCTGTTACTCCCAAATTTTCAGTCAGTTTTGCTTCTGCAGGTGGCTGCTGTGAAGTCTCAACAGTCTGTGAGCCAGGCAAGGTTGATAAATTAGATTGAGTAGCCACTTCCTTAGAAGCTGGGAAAATCGTGAGGTTTTGTGTAGAAGCAACCATTGTTGACTCCAAGTTGGCATAAATTCCAATGGCAGGAGAAGTTGCAACTCCCGGCAATGTACTAGGATTGGCATTGTCCCTCTCAACATTCTCAGTACTTGTATATTCACTGGCCGAAGATTCCTGAGACATTTAAGGGTGATCATTATCATATGTCTAACATTAGTAAAGAACATACAACTACAATGAACACCATAATAAGTCCAGTACCCAATGGTACACGAAACAACAGAGCAAAGCATGAAGCACTGATGAAGCATGGGCAACTAAAAAATGGCCAATATGTTACCAAGTGTTGAAAGCTGCAATGAATTATACAAGCTGCATCAACTGGTACAAGATGGATGTGCTTTCAACAAACAAACAGTCAGTCTATCCTGCATAGACAGCAAATAAGCCCCACTCTTAATGCCTCGTGCACCATGCAGGACAGGTAGGAAGCATGGTGATTGTTAACATGTAACATCAATATGAACTGAATGAGCAAAATAGGTGTATAATCATTTAGTCAAGTGTCATATTAGCTATAGGAGATTAGGAGATAACCAAAACTGAGCAATCTTGCTGCAGCACCCAGCTCAAGCAAGTCATCTGAGTTGTGGCAGCCCCAGTTCAGTACTTCCACAAGGAAGACCAAAACAGTTGCATGTTCCCAAGTGTGAGGTAGAACTGTAGCATATTTGAAAACAGGGGCATATGGGGCATTAAATTAGTAACCATAAAGACTATGGCTCCTAACTATAGGATTTATTGCACTGCAGTTAAATTGTTAATATTACAGAATCATCACTACCAATGATAAGATATGCACACCACATACCACACAAATGTCACATTTGATAGTTCCAGAATCAGAAAACGTTCCAGAGACAGCAAGAATATAAGAAACAAAATCTTGATGTATAAATTGGAAATGACCAATGCAATACCTGATTAATTGAATCATCATTTGAAGGCCTAATACTCGGTGATTTAGCTTTTTGTAAGCCAATGCCATCAGGACTATAGCAGGTGTTGTTTTCTGGAAAATCAACTACTTCTGGTGCTGGTTGGCCAGCGACCATGACCACTTCAACAGAACCATTTCTCACTGTCTGTGCAGAAATGGGTTCTGATGGAACTACATTCCTTACCAGTGTATTTACCATTTTCAATCTATCATGACAAAGCTGCTGACAATCTGAAACAGCGCTTCCACTGACATGGGAATTGCTACTTTGTTCCTTCAAATGGATGAATTCTTGCATAACAAAGTTTGAATCTGGTAGAGCAATCTGCTGATCAAAGGTGTGATCTAATTGGCCTGATTTTGCTTCCAAACAAAGTTTTTCCTTCAGCTGTCGCTCTTCAGCCCATGTATTAGATTGCAGTGACTCAAGTTTGCTGTGCTGGAGTCTCATGTGCTCCAGAAATGCATACATCAGCATAGTGAACCACTGAACAGTTTGTTTTATTGTGTCATTTCGGGTCTCTACATCAGCATGACTTCTACAAATATGTTCCAGAACTAAATTGCACACTGTTTTCAGTCTGGCAGTTTTATTTTGTGTGTATTTCTCTAACTCTGAAATCTGAGACTGTTGTTTATCAAAGATACGGTATTCTCTTACAGAGAAAACATTGTCAATTAAGTTGATTCTTTTCTCCACAATGTCAGGAAGTTCATCAGTTGAAAAATGGCATTCCATGTGAGTTCCTGGAACAGCTATCAGTTCCTGCTCTTCTGAAACCATTTGTGCAGCAACAAATGAGCCTTCTTGAAGTGCACCATTCATGAAATTATCATGAAGATCCATTCTCTGCTTAGGGAAAATGTGGTCATTTCTCAAGATATTAGAGGTCTCCTGCTGTGAAGGTTTGGTCTTTTCTACTGATGTTGATTGACAATTGCTGCCAGTTGCACCTGCTTTCTTTGGAAATTTTCTCTTTAGGCTGTCATAGACCAACCTTGCCAGCTCCTCATTGCACTCGTATTTTAACCTTTTTTCAGCAAGGGCAAGTGACTCTTTATGATCCACCTTAAAGTTATGAATAGAGGCAACTCGCCAACACTGAAGGAAAGTATTTACGAGCATTAGCATTTTTGGTCAATATGAATCTGAAAATTAAAAGAACGACGATATTGGGGGTGGTTATTCGTACCAAAGCTATGTTCAACGCATGAAATATGTACTTTGGCTCCTGAACAACTACATGATTATTCAAAAGATATTCAAAGAACTGCTCAACCAGCAACGTAACATTGTCCTGCAATAGTAATTAATGCGAAAGCATTAGGTGGTGATGACAAGCCAAAGCAACAGAAAAATTACAAATAATGAGATCAGCGTTAACAAAGGTAAGAGTTATATGATAAAACCAAAAAAAAGACTTAACAAGAATTATTTTTTCCCATTAAGAGCAAGTGTGACTGAACTGCGGACAGCTGGAGTGTCAGACACAGCCAGCTTTTCTACTTCAGGTTTTTTCCCCTAATGTCTCATGATTCAAGGTGTTAATAGTTAGAGCTCCTTTACAGTGGACTTTTGCCTCCGTAATCTCTTGACTGAGTTTTGAGGGCTTTTTGTTCACTTATAGCATAAGTGAGCTAAGTCCATGAATAACTGCACCTCTACAAATTTTTCATGGTTGAATATCTTAAGGATTTAGTTGTGGAGAATCGCTGCTTTTAATCTAGGTTGATAGCGCTACTCTTTATATGATTGATGCTACTCTTAAGCTTGGATGAGTGTACCGTCACCATCATGAACTTCAAATTTTTAGTAAAGATCAAAGAAAGATTCCACAACTCATTATTTTCCCACCTTTGGGGAAAATGATAGTTTAGTAGGAAACAACAACATCCACTCACTACTTCAATGAGAACTTGTCCTGCTATTTTCGCTCCATTAAACTGTATTGTATTCTTCAAATATATTTGATATAGTCATTACACCATGTAATAGGATAATGTATGTTATTTTCTGTTTATTTGAAACCCGTAGGCCATAGCAATGCATAAGCACCTAACTAGTACACATCATGCTTGCAAAAGATATGATAGGATAGATATGACTTCAGCGCATGATGCTAAAGTGTATCATAAGGAAAAAAAATTGACAGAGCTTAGGATATCCGTACCGGTAGTTGTAACACCTTAATTAATTTCGACAACTCTTGCTTCATTTGGGCATGAAGATTCTTGGGTGTACTCATCAGGCTTTCCGACCCTTCAGATTGAACTGTGTTAGAAAAGTGCAATGTGCAGCCGCAAAAGAAAAGGAAACAAAAAATGCTATAGGCATATTCACAGCACATGAAAATATTATTATTATTATTAAATAGTGATACCTGATTTTTGCTGCGTGACATCAACTGGTTGAAGAGCAGGGCCAGATGTAGTACAAATATCAGGCAATGCATCATCGTTACTTTTGTCAGATACAACTTTTGAAGATGAACCCATAATCTCACCAACCTTTCTATGCTTCTTTCTGGCTTCATTGATTTCTTCAGCCGGAGCATTGACCTCATCCATGGTCTGGGACTTTGTAACTCTTGATTGCAGTGGCTCAGATATACAGCTCACATGAGGGGATCTTCCATCCAATAAATTTAACCAGAACTCAGCTGGATTATCCTCAAGCACAGAGATTCCCTCCTTTTCACCCATCAGAGTAATATTTCTTGAATATAGTTCCCCACTCATATTAGCTTTGCTTATGGACTTCCTGTGTACTTCAGTGCTGTCTTCAACAGTTGTGGATAACTTTGTTAAGAACTCAACGATTACTTCATCAATAAAGTGTCTCTCCATTTCAGAACTTTTACTTGCATGGTCATCTTGCTGGACCTCATCAAGTCTACTGAAGAGAAATGCAGCACCCCATCTGAGTAAGGAATGTTTTAAACTAGTCCTTAGATCTTGTATGTTGTTATCAATAACAATGCCCTGCCTCGCAAGAACAAGACTCTTCTCCTCAACTGTAAAAGGAGTGTACAAGCGAAAAATGCTCACACGCTCAAATTGTGACTCTATCTTGATCTTTTGAAGAGCCTTCAAGTCGTTTAGTGGGTTGTTGTCAGAACCATATATGATGATGGCATCAATAGATGAAAGCTTAATGCTTGGGAGGCACGCACGATTTTCAATCAGAAAGACAAATCTACCATTAGTCTTGTTGTTGAACTTATCAATTGCTGCCTGTTTCCTTGACAATACTGCACGATATTCAACACGTTCATATGATTCTGGGCCAAATCTGTGATGCATAAGATCTTCCAAAATATTTCCCATTTTGTTTCCACCTGCTCTATCAGACTGCCATAGTGCAAAAAAAGAAGGTTCAAGATATGCTGAAGTAAGAAAATAGGAAATGCTATCAAAGTCACAGGCTCCAAAGAAAATCAAGGGAAAATTGGAAAAGTATAAGAGAAGGGGACACTAACTGACACTTGAGGAAACAAGTTTGAACCAAGATGAAATTATCACATATTGTTCCTTTTTTGCTAGTACTTGTTATGTGAAAAACAATTCAGCATGCCATAGCAACACCATATGCTGCCATGACTTGTTGACTCTGTAGATACTACTTATATAGCCAAGAGCCCAAGACCTGATGGATACACCGTAAGTCCATAGCTAATGAGTATGCAGAGAGGTTCACTACAAGGGACTATTTATGGTGTTCATAGTTCAAAAGCTAATTTCAACAACCCAACTTCTAACTGGTAAGAAGTGTTGTTAAATATCATCAGTTCATCTAACAGATAACTAGACATCTTCTTCGATGATAAATCATTCATAACATAGATTAACTAAGGAGTAGAATACTAAATTGTTTTTGCAAAGCTAATTTCTAGCTAGTAAAACTTATCATTGCATAAGGCAGAAGTAAAAAAAAGGGGGAAGGACATCAGTATTGACCTGGAAAAGAAGAATGACCCTTAAACTCTTCTTCTTGATCTCGTTAAGCATTTTGTCGAGAACCAGTAGCTTGCCACTTGCATGCACCACCGTATCTATATTTTCAGTTACATTGCTATTGTTGCTAAGTGAGCTTCGCAGAAATTCATTAACGATGTAAGGGTGATCGCAGCACTATTAAATGATGACAAGGATCAAAGTCAGAAAACAATGTCGACAACTTTTCAGGAAAAAAAGGTAAATATACATGCAGATTGTATGTAGATTGACTACTTATTATCATGTGGCCATATTTTTTTTTTAAAGTAGACCTTTTTGAGAGACAGATAAATATCATGAAGAGCTCCAACGCTATCAGTTTCCATCTCTGACCGGAGGACGGATGACTTTGAAAGCAATATGGAACAGTACATCTCTAACTGCGGTTGTGAAATGCAAGATGGAACCCAGTACTCCAAAAATTTTGAAGAATCTGTTTTACGCTCATATGCAATATGATGTGTGAATCTTGCTTTTGACATCACAAGCGCATCATCAGCATTGACATAGTCACTATAACCTTTATCTTCTGAATTAAGAAAAGCTAGCAGGTTCATGTACTCAGGAACATTATCCTGCAAAATAGCAAAGAGATTACATGGCTTATTCGTGGTATACAAGCAATCTTACAGGCCAGAGTTGATAAGAACCTTGATTGGGGAGCCCAAAAGCACCATTCTAAAATCAGTAGAAATTTTCTTGAGTTGTTCAAAATATTTGAATGCAGAGTTTTCATAATAATCAACTATAACAGCTTCCCAGCGAATGCGCTCTATAGTTTCAATATCCTGTGTCATGGAAGAGAGATCATGATTAGATGGAAAAAAGGAACATCATTGTGATACAGAGGTGGTTGTTATGCACTCTTGATAGGCAAGCAGCATTTTCTTGTCATGACCAGCAGAAAACCTTGTTAACAATTACCTCTAGGATAGCATCAGGATGGGATAAGAGAACTTGTAACATCATGCAGCGTCTGTTGTCATAGAACTCCAGGTCTTGAATTAATTTGAGAGTATCTTTCTGCCCATCATACACAACAACATTGATAAATGGTGCCAAGTGATTGAACTGAATCTCCCATGCAGAAAGAGAAGCAGGAGTCGTGACGATCAGTAAAGGTTGGCAGACATCAGGTAATACAGTCAACGTGAACAAGATGGTTTTTGTTACGTATTCCTGCATGACACACGAGTTAAATGATATTTCTTTTATGTAGAAAGAAGCATTGAGTTCAAAATATATCAGGCAATCACTAGATAATTTTCCTATACGTAGAAACTACTCTCTCTAGTGAAAAAAATAAAGTAGTGGCAGGATTCTGTGCAGTCAAACTTTTTTAACTTTGGTTATTATCTTCCTATTGACAATCGATTAGAGGTGTGAAAATGGGTATGTACAGGTTTGTCTTGAAAAATACTTTCATAACATTGTAATTTCACTAGGTTCTATAAATGGGTGAGTATTTTGCTGAAACCAAATTAGGTTTAACCTCCATGGGTATCAGGTGTAGAAATGTACAGAAAAATCTCAAAAGTTGTAGATGTAGGGAAGGCGGTATTCTCTGTTGAGTAAATATACTTGGCAAGAAGTGGGATTTATTACTACTTGCATATTAAGCAGCCATGTTGAACAAGTTTGGTGAGTGGGTGCACAAGAACTTTCGAACTGAGCACTCTACAGGATCATGTGAGGCTGCTGTAATTGCTGAGGGTTTGGGATTGCAAATTTCTGCAATGGTGGATCATGCACACCCCATGTGCCCCCTCACCCAGGTGGACACTCACTCGTCAAGGTATGGAAAAAAAACACCCAGATTACTCTTCTATATTTCTATAGAAATGCAAAATCCCAACATAAACTGAAACACATTTCTAAGATATGAAAAAAGAACAGATGAATTTTAACTGGTTTGCACAGAATTTATACTCCATTAAGGTTCAGGAAAATACAGTAGAAATCAGCAATCCTCATTCCTCAATTGAGTTTTGGGGACAGTGGCAATGCCCACATTGCTTGTTTTGTTGGATGGAGAAACAAACCAGAATATGTGGGGTGAAAATAGAACAAGAAGCTGCTTTTCAGCCCAAAATATTAAATATATCACTTTAGGTATAGTAGTGTAATGCTGGTAATAACTTGCATAATTCCTAGCTCCTACCTTATCATCAACAAGGACAGCACCATGAGATTTGCACCAGAACTCAAGAAGTTGATTGATAGAAAACAAATGATCGTTGTCAAAACCAGGAGGCCACTCGTCTGGTAATCTCTGGAGTTTCTGAAATGTCTTATGCTTAACCTGCAAGGGTGATCACTATTACAGTCTGTGTTTGCAAAGAGAAGGTTCATAAAAATATACCCGTGTTTATAAAGAACAGGTATAACCTAGATAGTATTACTAAAATGAAACAAAGAAAAACGAGGTCATAAATGCCCAGTGTTGGATAGGTGAACAGTAAGCAAAAGCAAGCAATGAATGGTGCATGATGCATCAAATCTATATGAAAAATATTTCATTCGAGAAATACCAGGAATAGAACAGGGGGCTGGGGTTCACCAAATAGTTTTTTTTTTACCTAAAAAATAAGAGTGTGGGTGGAACAATTCATATGTGAACGTAACAGTGATCCCAATTTTAAGTTTTCAATGTTTTGATAGCTTAGCATCAAGAATCCAAGATTGATCATCTCAAATAGAACAGGAATCTAAATATCACATGACATAACCTAGGTAATATATAACTTAGAGAACGTACAATACATTTTTGTGATGTTTGTCGTATTCATACAGTGGACTATAAGACTAAAATGTATATGGCACGAATATCAAAACGGTTATGCTATATTGCATTTATTTAAGATGTTATCAACAATTATATTTACTCTAGACAATACTAAGAGTACAACATATAAAACTAAAATTAGTTTCAGCCACACCTTTGTTTCTACGGGAATAGATGATTGCTTAGCAGCTTTACGGCGGTTCTCATACTTCCTTTTAAGTTCATCAGCCTGAGGAGTACGCAAAAAGCATGCAGTTTCCAGTTCCCATGTTGCATGTTCATAGCCAAGATCCCTCCATTTCACTAACCATTCAACATTACAATGCTCAATGTTAGCACGACTTGAACAAAAAAAATCATCAGCTTCTTTTGGGGGCATAAGTGGCCTTTTCCTCAACAGGTGGTGTGGCTCAGTCCATTCCTTCTTCCAATTTGTCTGTGGAATTATGTAATTGAACATAAGCATAGATCTTTTGGCCAAAAAAAAAGTGTCATTCCTTAAAAAATATAAAGAAATCATATTCAACACACTAGTAGCCACCTTTTCTTTATGATCCCTCTTATTAAACAAGGACAGAAGATCACAACCTCCAGGGGTGTCATTGATAACACCTTCCGGAACCCAGCGATTATGGACATGTGCCAGATTCTTATACTTCACAAGGTACTGCTTGCCATTCTGCATTCCTACAAATATGGCAGAAATAGTAGTAAAGTTAGGATATAAATCACTATAAAAGATTATCTTTAATGCCATTGTTTTTTCTTCTTACCCTCCTTGACATTCCACAGAGACTCAATTCCATCAGCAACAGAGTGTATTCCAAACAGCAACCTCTTTTCCGTACAGACAGTACAGAACCACATACCAGGAGACAAATATTCCAGCCAATGATCCAGACAAGAAACATGGTAGCTTCTTTTGCAGCCTTCTCCATCACAGGACCTATAATCAATTGATGGTATGCATTATCATGTATGGTGATATTGTGTATCAGAAACCAAAAGTATATCTGGAAGACCAAAATCATATTCCCTCTGTCACAGAGTAGCCTCTAGCATTTGCCCCAAACTAAGTTCATTTCTGTCCCCTTAACTACCTTACCTACCCACCCACCAATACTACTTTTCTATTAATAAGGGACACTTTGATCTTTTTCCCACCATACTAATTTGAACCCCAATTGCTAGAAATGAACTTATTTTGGGACAGAGGGAGTAGTGCACAGGAGGAGATTTAAAACTTTAACAAACAGTGTTCCTTTTAGTGAAGGGTATTTCTTGTATTCCCACTTTAATACAAGGTTTTGTGGGTATCTCATGTGTGATGTATATATAGCCCCTTGAGGCTTAGCAATACAACAAGATAGCAGAGCCAATGGTTTAGTTCCTGCCGTCATCTTCCACTACGGAGGAGTGAACTCCACTAACCTGAATCACAAACCCGACTAAAGGACAAATACCATAAACAACTAACAGTTTTATCATGCTACACAAGTAGACAGTATAGAAGAAAGGAGATATACATGTACACTTGAGATGTCACGAAGAAAACAAGATGCCTATCAGACTATTGTAAATGTCTATGAACAAGCAAACATTTCATAGATATTCATGAATTTATGATTGCACAATTTTTATAAAATCTCAAATAAATGGGGAACTTGGATACTGGTTGAAGCCACCAGATTTAGGAATCAGCGTGAGAAGAACTTTGGCGATTTGTATTAATACGATGTCATGCCAAACAGCATTGTTCACTCTCTTGTACATATATATATGACGCATAATAAGTTATAACTAACTCTATATTCTTTCAGTTCAGAAATAAAATAGCACACTAAATTAAAACTTATCAGCACCACATTTTAGCATCTCAATGAAATTATCAGATAATTTAAAAGGCAAATTCTTCAAGATGAAAAATTAGTAGATTTAGTAATGTAGTTGCCAAAACAGAATATGGTACTCTCTCCGGTCATAAAATTTTGACGTTTGGACAAAATTTGGTCGAACATTTGAAAACTTTGACCATTAATAATTTTTCAAATGCTTAGTTTAAAAAAAATGTCGTGTATATTTGCCTTAAAAATTACTATCATTGTACCATATACTTATTAAAATTTATAAGTTATTCTAATATAAAATTGTTAGTTAAAGAAGTTCAACCGAATCTTGACTTAAATGTCAAATATTTATGACCGGACAGAGTATTAGGATGAGAAATTTACAACAGGAATACAGAGTATTAGGATGTGAAATTTACAGCAGGAAATGCAACCTCGAGCATAGTACAGAAACATATTCCTATCAGCAAATTATAGATGAACACAGGCACACATAACATGTACAGCCAGATTGCATAGTCGAATGTCAGAAACAGAAATAGATTGACCCACACCTAGAAGTCTAGAACCCATGGGGAACTGTAAGAAAGGGAATGAACATTGTATCTTCCATTTCAAGGGAGAAAAGGAAGCAACATTTCTACTTATTGTTTTGGGCATCAACATGGTCTCCAGTTCATGTGTTTTGCAGCTTTTGCTATTTTACTTATTTCATGCTCCGAAAAGGTACTACAAATACAGTGATATCCAAATACTTAGGAACCTATTAAGATCAGTTTTACGTGACAAATGACAAATCCATATAGTTTTGAATATATCAGTACTCAAAGTTCTAAAACAGTGAACATGCATGCTCTAGGGTTCTAGGATATTAAACAGATGTAGTAACATAAAAGCAGTTTGAATGTTTTATTTTAAAATTCGCAGTTCTGCTTTCTATCCTAAAGGCATAAGTCCATTTTCCCAAACTGATTGTCGTACAGAAGAGTAATAACAACTGATGTAAATCAAGTGTGAATCAACTTACTTAAGATCTCCTGGGGTACCACAAGCAACGCATATGTTGGAATTGCCCTCCATTTCATCAGATGCGGTCACCTTGAACTGACTTGAAGCTACTTCTTTTTGAATGCTAAGGGGTTCACCATCTCCATGTCCACTCTCGGGCTAGCACAACACCAAAATATTATAAGAGAACAATGTATAACCCTAATTCCACTGATTTGTAAAAATGCGAAAGCACATATATTCCAGCTATAGCTTGAGAGTACCTCCTCGTAATGAATAGGAGGGATTGGGGCACTTTGCAATGACGATATAGAATTTTGCCTGCAAAATGGAAATATTATAGCAGGACCAACATTAATTTGAAGTGCATGCCCAGTATAAAAGAAGTATCCATGACTAAGAAATAAAGCACCTTGAATGCCCAGTAGGCCGATCTCTACCTTCAACTTCAAGTCTACTCTCAGCAACTTTGTTTTGTGGGCATGTTTCGATAGATATATGTTGATGTACCTGCCATATTGATTGACGAGAAAAGGTTAGCCCTTTCCAAAGTGGATGGGAACTTCATCCATGGGTCCATCCACATGGTTGGAATGTGATATTGGGACATCCAAGAGAACCATAAGTGGATAAGTTGTCCAGCTAAGATGATTAAAGAAAAGTAATAGATGATAAAAATGAACTATTGCATTGGGTAATTAGAGTATCCAGCTTAAGTGGGTAGCTTGTCCAGCTACGATGATCACAGAAAATTACAAATGGCTTTATCAAATTCTAGACAGAACATACAAATATCATCAGAAAACTCCCATTCAGCAGACAGTCAAAAAATTAGCATCAATATTGATTGCGGTGAACTAGGAAAGCGAAAGGCAAACCTCCGAAAGCGGTCCGGCAGATTTGCCAACTCTTGGTTGAGAAGTTTCATGTAAACCAGAAATAGAACTTCTGGAAACTTTAGTATCGTTTGAGTGCTTCTTGTCTTTTCCAATCAATCCGCCAAATTCACATAACATACCAGTGTTGCTCTCTGCCACATTCCCATTGGAAGTATTTTCCTTGCCCGCTCTGTCAGAAGCAACAACAACTACATCGGAAAAGTTGGAAAATAGCTCAGATATGCGTGTTTGGGTGAAACAAATGCAGGTTAAATGGCCAATAGCATATCCAACGGAATGTCTAATAAACTAGTAGAATACAACTGTATGTTTCACTGGAACTTGATAGGAAACTTGCATGTTGATTTCATGCTAGATAAAGTGGTTTGGTGTGATTGTACGATGGTTTGCTTTAGAAATTCCACCTGATAGGCTTACTTTAAGAACCTAAAACGTCAACTGGTTTGTAGGTTGTAGCATAAAGTTTTGGTAAAATATCCCATCCATCTTGCAACGTAAGAAGCACCATGCAAAAAATTACACTTGCATTGCGTGTCGACCCGTTAATTTGTTCACGTTAAAACCTTCAGCTATTCCTAACCATCTGCTGCCACTTGGCGAAAAAAATACCGAACTCTGAATAATCAGATAAAGCATGAGCTGCAAGAAGTACCTGTGGAGCTTGCTTTTTTGGATCGCTTGAAAAGTGATCTGTAGGATTTTGCGGTCATTCTTTTCCGCTTCTTTGATAAACTGCTAGTGCTTCCAACCCCGCTGCTATGCTCTTCTGCAACATCCTTAGAACTAGCGGTGGTGGTGCTAGAAGATCTGGTGGGAGCTCTTGATGTTGAAGAATTTGAAGCATTGTTACTAGCCCTTTTTAACATTCCGACGCGTGCTACCTCGGCTACTTCGTCTTGTTGTGTGCCGGAAAGCCTTGGGGAACATCTCCTGGAGGTCGGCATGTCTGGCCCTCCACGCAGAGGAGAGCGGAGAGAGGCCATAGCCCTCTGGTTCGCGCCGTTTGTGGGTGCAGAGAATTGTGGATTTCCAGAAGTACGCGAACGGGTTGGGTACCCGGTGCCTGCGTTTGCCCTGGCCGTACTGCCTCCACCCCTTCCATCTCTGGATGTTCCTCCGGGCTGAGTCTTCCACATGTCACCTGTTTAGCACCATTCGTTGAACCAACTCTTGGTCAATCACAGTTTGCACAGCCCCGCAAAGTCAAAACCCGACGACGAACTGACGAACAAGCCAAAGGAAGAAGGAGAAGAAAAACAAAAATTGGTATAAAAAAAACAAGCGGTGGCGCCGATAAATGCAAGCACGGAGGAGACGCGCGCACCCAAAATCCGGCGCGGAGGGGTCCCCCGCGATCCAGGCCAAAAAGCACAAACCCTAACTCCTCATCAGCATTCCATTTCAGGAAAAGTGCAAGGCGGGCGGGAGAAAGACAAGGGGGGGATGGAGGGGTCGGGAAGGGGGGGCGGGAGAAAGCTGTACCTCTGGGGAGCGGGCGGGCGGCGACCGCGACCGGATTGCGGCGGCGGGGGACGGTGCGGGCAGGGGTTTGCGCGATCGAAGTCGAAGGTAGCCGTGGGCCGTGGGTTTTTTTTGGTTTTGGAGCTCCCCCAACCTCCCAAGTCTCAACTCCCGCAACTTCCTCCCAAAGGAGAAGAAGAAGAAGAAGACGCCTGCGGGCCCTCCTTTCCACTCTCGGCAATCCCCTCCGTCTGCGGCTATACTACCGCGCCAGTTGGGATAAACACGGAGTAGCTTCTTCTGTAAGCAGCGTCTCTCCCCCTATATACTACTCTACCTCATACTCCTTATAAAGGCGAAAATTTAATACTCATTTAAATCGCAGGATTAAAAAATATATAAATAAAAAACATAAGATTTTTGATAGGAATGTTCCTTTTGAATTGAAGGAAAAAACATAAAAATTCTAGGATTTTATTCTATAGAAAATAATCCTACAGAGTCCTTTGAAATAAAGGATTGTTTCCTATCAACTTCTTTGAAATTTCTATGGAATGAACCTTCCTAGAGCAATTTTGGAAGAAAATAGGCATGAGGTCTCACCTCATGTTTTCCTCTTTATATTTTTTCCTGTGTACTAATCAAACGATGGAGACTTTCATGTGTTTCAAAATTCCATAGGAATCCAATAAGTGCAGCATTCTATTCCTACGTTTTTCCTATTCCTCTGTTTTCTCAATTCTACGATTCAAAGAGGCTAAGTGTAAAATAGAGGATTACAAGATGTTGGAAAAACACAGGAATGATCATTTTATTGAACCGCAGGAATTGGATGAGAGAGATAGACTTAGGGCCCCTTTGAATTGCAAGATTGAAAAAAACGTAGGAATAGGAAAAACATAGGATTTTGATATGAATGTAAGTGTAAAATAGAGGATTGCAAAACGCAAGAAAAACACAGGAATGACAGTTTGATTGAACCGCGGGAATTGGATAAGAGAGATAGACTCAAAGGAAGGTTACCAAGAGGTTGAAGCTCTTGCTAAATTTCCTCTAAAATCTCTATAGGATTGTACATTTCATAGGAATTTCAAAGAATTGGATATGATTCAATCCTTTGTTTCAAATGGCTTCATAGGAAATTTTCTTATAGAATTGAAATTCTCCAAAATTCCTATATTTTTTCTCCAATTTAAAGGGGCCCTAAAGGAAAGTTACCAAGAGGTTGAAGTTCTTGGTAAATTTTCTCCAAAATCTCTATAGGATTGTCCATTCCATAGGAATTGTCTATCCAATCATTTGTTTTAAAGGGCTTCATAGGAAATTTTCTTATAGGATTGAAATCCTCCAAAATTCCTATATATTTCCTCCAAATCAAAGGGGCCCTTACAATGTGAGAACTGCAAAATATCTGAAATCCAAAGTAAAGATCTTCATGCTCCACCTTGGCTGGGGTGTTTGAGAGGAGAGGAAAAAAGAAGATTGAGAAGATACGCAAAACGAGGTGATCCATTAACGCATGATTAATTGAGTATTAACTATTTTAAATTTAAAAATGGATTAATATGATTTTTAAGCACCTTTCGTATAGAACTTTTTTGCAAAAAAACACACCGTTTAGTAGTTTGGAAAACATGCGCGCGGAAAACGAGAGAAATCTCTCTCTTTCACCTTTTTTTGACGCAAAAGGTATACAGGCTCTACCTTATAGGGCAAGGCCAATGCTTATGATTCCATCAGCCATATATGTGGGACCCGCTTTAGTAAGCATTAGCTATGTCCATATCCACAATGGACGTGCCTATGGGAGAAAATAAGCTGGGTCCCAATGGGTCCCACCGAAGAAAAAAAATATCACTTCTTATCCTCCTGTGAAACTCTTTGCACAATGAAAATTCCCCAAAAGTACTAGTATGAACAACACATCACAAAAGTATTATATTCTATAGTCTTGTTGCCGCACCATAAGGCTAATGCTCACTTTTGATGTCAGATTTTTATGGTCCACTTTCACAATGATTAAGGTGATGTACTGTGGAATTATTTATTGCTTAAGGTCAATTTTAGCACACATTGTGGTTGCCCTAACCATTGTATTAATGGTGAGTCAAAATGGAACAATGTCAAGAAACACACGTTGTTGTGTATGAAAGAAAAATTACAATACGTACAAATACACTTAGGGGTTGTTTAGATTGATGTCATTTCAACCATATTATTTTTTTTAAGTTATCAAAGATGTGCATAGATTTAGTTTTTTACCGAACTTTGGTAAATATATAAGGAATTTGGCAACTACATGATAGTGGCACAATAGTGGCTATCATGCCAAAACTTGGCAATATTGTCAACTACCAAAATTTGGCATTGTCAAATTTGGTAATGTTTATTTTGGCTATAATCTGAACAACCCCTTAGGCTACGTTTTGGAGGTGGAGTTTGTCCATTGGTGCACAATTAGTTAAGTATTATTGGAGCAGAAACTACCAGCATCGAGTCTGGACAAGAAGATTGAGAGTTGGTGTCTACCGCCGGAAGGAGTTGCTAAACTAAGGGTGCGCTCTTTTCAGCTTATAGGATTAGATTCTCCTCATTTTCCATTAGCACGTTTTTCAAACTGCTAAACGATATATTTCGTGCGAAAACTTTCTATAGAGAAGTTGTTTAAAAAAATCCAACAAATTTATTCATAAAAAAATATATTAATACTTAATTAATTATATGCTAATCTTATTTCTCGTTTTACGTGCGGCTAATCAGCCCACCGCACCTGCTGAAACAAGCGCACCCTAAATGTTGACGCTGGAAGAAACAGGGGAAGCCAGCGCCGGTTTATTTTCAGAGACTGCAGGGGTTTGGTGCTACTGGCCAGCCACAAAACCTTGCACTGTTGTGGGTCTGCTGCTCAAGCTGAAGCATTAGCATGTTTAGAGGGTCTCCAGGCAGCGGTTGAATGGATCCACATGCCAATTCTGATGGAGATGGATGATGTAGAAATTGTCATAGATTTACAACAATCCGGGCCATTAAAATCGTCTTGGTCGATGACGATAGCTGAGATTAAAGGTGTGATGCAGTGTCTTCAGAATGTGCAAGTGCACAAAATAAAGAGATAAGCAAATAGGATAGCGCATATACTAGCCTAAATGGCAATGAGTACTGTATCTTTTGCAGAGTGGAGGCTTAGAGCATCACCAACAGTCTATCTATTCCATCCCCAATCCTGATTTTTTAGGATTTTGGTTAAAAAAAATTGGTCCAACAGATTTCCAAAAGAGCTCCGGACGTTTTAGAGTTCCCATCTCCAGTTTTCTCGGTATGTGTATTTGAGGGTGAGAGACCGACTCCAAATCCTCTTTCCCGCGCGTTTCTCCTCTCCTTACCCCGCTCCTTCTGCGCACGGGAAATAAAAAAACTAGAATTTCTGTTGGTAGTTTAACAGAAGGGCCCACTTTTAGTTTTTGGGGAATTGAATTTAGGCTATCTCTTGGAGGGAGAGGTTTTTTCACCACCTATTTTCAGTTTAGGAAACCCAAAAATCAAATTTTGGGGATAGATTATTGGTGGACTGTTGGTGATGCTCTTAGATTTATTAGACCAGGAATGTAATCCCTTGTTCTGACAATAATAAAGTTTCTCTCTTTAGACTCAAAGAAAAACTTGAAAAATCGATTAATATGATTTTTTTAAAGAAAAATATGTTAGAATTTTTTTGAAAAAAAAAATTACCATTTAGTAGTTTGAAAAGCATGCGAGAGGGATAAGTTAGGAAAGTGAACAAAAGAACTCAGCCTTATAAGATACTCTCTTCATTCTATAATATTATATGTTATAAGATATGTTTAGATGGCATCCACACTTCGTCACACTTTACAAACTGTACCACAATGGATAATGTTTGGCTATGAAATGGATTTATGATATGGTTAATATGTGGGGTAAAAGTGTAGCATGAACCAAAATGCTTACTTAAAAACTGTGGCGTGACTAACGTTTGGCATTATAGAGTGCGGCACTAAACCAAATAGACCCTTAGCCTTTTTCACGGATATTATGGCCTGGTTTAGTTCCCAAATTTTTTTTCTAAAAACATCATATCGAATCTTTGGACACATGTATGGAGCATTAAATATAGATTAAAAAACTAATTGCACAGTTAGAGGGGGAATCGTGAGACGAATCTTTTGAGTCTAATTAGTCCATGATTAGCCATAAGTGCTACAGTAACCCACATGTGCTAATGACAGATTAATTAGGCTCAAAAGATTCGTCTTGCGGTTTCCAGGCGAGTTATGAAATTAGTTTTTTTATCCATGTCCAAAAACCCTTTCCGACATCTAGTCAAATATCCGATGTGACACCAGAAAATTCTCTTTTAGCGAACTAAACAGGCCCTATGAAGAAAAGGGAAAAAAGACTAGGCTGCCTACTCGGGATAGGTGAAGGGTTCGCTAGACTTGTTGGGTGCTATAATAAAGCTCATGGGTAGTTTCAAAAGTTAATCTAAACTTTATAAGTTGTGATTATATTTTGAGATGGAGAAAGTAAAGGTTATGGTTGAAAAAAATGAGTTGGAGGGTTGATAATTGAATATATCGGTGAGATAGAAACTCCAAAAATAAAATAGTGTTTAGGTCCTTCCTCCAAAATTTCAATAGGTTTTATAAGAGACTCCATCCCTGAAAAACAACTTGAATGACAGATATTCCAGTTTATTTGCTCCCTCAGCTTAATTACCTTTATTTTTTCCATGTTCAAAGCATATGTGTGTGTAGTACTCCTAGTAGTTTTCTTAACCAGTGACAAATAATCTGACCTCAAAGCTCAATTAACGGGTAGTTTTCTTAAGGAAAAAATACGAATTACCCCCCGAACTATCGCGGTCGTCCGAATTACCCCCCGAACCATAAAACAGGACATTCTTCACCCCCAACTATGAATACTGGACGAATTACCCCCCTCGACCCAATCCGCGGTGGTTTTTGGTCTACATGGCGTACACGTGGCAATCCAGTCAGCATTTTATTTATAAAAAATTGTGGGACCCACCTGTCATATACTACTCTCTTCTCTCTCTCACACACTCTCTCTCTCTCACTCTTCCTCTCTCTCTCTCACCATTTCACAGGGTCAGCGGCGGCGGGGCACACGGAGCGGGCAGCGGCCGCGGCGCGTGACGCAGAGGCGGCAGCGGCTTCCCCCTCCCTCTCGTCGGCGGCGGCGATGGCAGGGGACATGGAGCGGCGGCGTGTGACGTGGAGGCAGCGGCGACGGGGGATGAGGAGCTCGACGCGGCTTCCCCCCTCCCTCTCGGTGGCGTGCGCGCAGGCAGGACGAGGACGCGAGACGAGAAGGCGGTGGAGGAGGCGAGGCGAGGTAGCAGCGGCGGCGACGGCGGATGAGGCGAGCGGTGGCGGGAGCTCGCGCTGCTCGAGGCGGGGCGAGGCGGCGGCGGAGGAGGAGGCGAGCGGCGGCGGGGTGTGGTGGAGGAGGCGAGCGCGGTGGCAGAGGAGGCGAGCGCGGCGGCGGAGGAAGTGAGGCAGCGGCGGCGGCGAGGCGGTTGGCGGGGCGACGACGGCAGAGGAGGCGAGCGCGGTTGACGGCAGAGGCGACGTGGCGAGCGCGGCGGCGGAGGAAGCGAGGAGGCAGCGGCGGCGAGGCGGTTGGCGGGGGGACCACGTTGGCGGTGGGTGGGGCTTCGGCAACCTATGAGACGCGCTCCACGGCGGCCGCTGCCTCCTCGTCGTGGCCTCCGTCCGTCCGTCCCGCAATGCTGCCGCCTCCACGTCCGGCTGTCCCATGCGTCACCCGCCGCCGCCGCCTCCGTGTCCCCGCCACCGCCGCTTCCTCGTTCGGTCGCCGCCGCGTCACCCGTCGCCGCCACCTCCGCGTCCCTCGCCACCGCCACCTCCTCGTCCGGTTGTCCCGCGGTGCTGACCACCGTCGTTTACAGTGAGGGAGAGAGAGGGAGAGAGAGGAAGAGTAAGAGAGAGAAGTGAGAGAGAAAGAGAGTGAGAGAGAGAAGAGAGAGTAGTGTATGACAGGTGGGTCCCACATTTTTTTAAAAATAGAATGCTGACTTGACTGTCACGTGTACGCCACGTAGACCAAAACCACTACGGATTAGGTCAAGGGGGATTCATAGTTGGGGGTGAAGAATGTCCGGTTTTATGGTTCGGGGGGTAATTCGTACTTTTTCCTTTTCTTAACCAACACTGACTTCTAGTAGAAATAAAAAATAAAATAAAAAACTTCTTTTTTCCTCGGAGGTAGAAATATATATATTTAAAAAAAATCTCCTCTTAGTAGAGAAGAAAAGATACAATTATTCTAATTTACCCTTATCATATTAAATCTTTAGTTTTTGTGACCCACTACCAACAGTGAATCGACGATTCTCAGCCCAGAAAGCCTGCTACAGTACTACAGGACCTCACCCTTCATGCACCGTCCGGGACGATGTCCACGGGTTCATCGATCCATCCGTCTACGCCTCATAGCCGCATCACCCCGATCCCCTCCGTCATCGCTCCTAACCAATCAGCGCACCCATCGTCCCAAAATCCCCAAATCTTCATCGCCTCCTCGTGAGGTTCGTCGGCGCCGACACCGCCTTCTTGCGGAGCCTGCGGCCAGCGTCGCCGCTTTCTTGTCGAGCCAGCGAGGGAAATCGCGGCGCCATCTTCGCCGCCCTCGCCGGACCAGCGTCGCCACGGAGCTAGCCGGCGGCATCTGCCTGCTCACGGAGCCATCGGGCAAGCGCCGCAGCCGACCGCCGCCCTCGTCTCTTCGGCGATCCAGCAGCTGCCGCCGCCTTTCGTCTGGTACGCACTCCTTCTCCTCACGGACAGGGAATGCATGCAGGTTACTGCTGTCTCCAAATCCACATACTCTACTTAATTTTCTTACTGAACCGGCCAATTTCACTCAGCTAGCTGCTAACGGTTGTCCAACTAGCTCGATCCCTGTCCGTGCTGCTCCGTATCCTCTTTCATTCGTCAGTTTCAGGTATATATCCATATCACTTGTCACGCTCAGAAATTCACGGACTAGAATTTCTAAGCTGAATGTGCATTAAACCCCTGTCCAGGACCAGCCAGGGTACACAAACGACAATTGTTGACATACAGATCCACGTCTTACAAAAATATAAAAGATTACAAATGCGGCGGAAAAAGATAAAAGCGAGCTAAGCCTGAAGACTTGACTCCTGCAGCGAGCGACTCCATTCCACAGGCATCCTTGACGGCAGCGACGAAACCAACCTCTTCGAGACATCTTCAACTGAGAAGGACTTCAACTCTGGTGTGGGGGAAAAGAGAGCAAGACTGAGTACTACCCACTGTACTCAGCAAGTCATACCGGAAGAGGAGGTATGATGCAAGATATATCCAAGGGAGGATAAAGGTTCTTTTGCATAAAGCCGGCATTTCAAAGCAGTAGTTGAAAACAGTAAAACAGTTGTAGTAATTAATCCATATTAACCAATCACTGTCCAACGTTACACCACGTTGCAACAGGCCCAAACCACCACCTGAACTAATCAGTTCCAAAAGCTAACTAGGGTGAAACTAATCACGGTGAATCTGGTCGACCGCCCATAACCGCGGGCACGGCTATTCGAATAGTTTTACTCTGATCAGAGGTGTACAACTGTACCCACAAGACACAGCCCCACGACACGTTCCTGTGCGCCGACATGCCACCACGACATACCGGAAAGAGGCCGTGACAGGACCCTTCGCATAACCCCCTCTAACCGATCGCACCACACCTTAGGGTTCGCCCCCGTCCCCAGCAGGCAACGGGCAGCCCCCCTTTCGTGCCGCGGTGAATCCGGAAGCCGATCAACCGGACACCCCGGCCGACCCAACTCCATCACGCCCACCCTCGCCTAGGTACGTCGGCTAGAGAAAAGCTACACTACAAGCCCAGCCGTTGCCCACGCTGGCTTGTGGTAAGTACGATAAATTCTTTCAGGGCATCCCGCGAACCGGTCCTTAAATGCCATGGGTGCGACTAGCAAGACCATGCACCCACAGCCCACCATGACGTGTATTTTAATTAACCAACACCATTACGGTGGCACTAAATCAAAGCTATGCCAATAATCAAGTCTATGCTTTAATGTGATCCCCCTTTGTGCACTAGTTGAACTAAGCATGGCTAAGCATCTCCTAAACCAACATCTAGTCATTTTAATACCCACGTTATCAATGGCATAAGGTAAACAATATATGGCTGAGTAATAGGACCCATCCCACATGATATTGTAAAACAATGCAATATTTAATAGAAATGCGGGATATTTGTAAATTGGGTACAATATGATCAATTGTATTGCATGACTTGCCTTGCTCTCGCACTGATGAGACCACAGCAACGTCTTCGAGAAACCACGGATTGACGAACCGACCGAAATCTACGCGACAAACAAAGCACACAAGCAAAACATGCTATAAGACTACTGAAACAGAGAACAAAGCCATTTTTAATGGATTCTACACATTTTTATGAATTTACTGAGACTTGAATGGATTTAATCGGAGCTCGGATGAATTAGATATGATTTTTAGAAGATTCTCTGTGTTTTTACTATTAAAGAAAAGCCTTAATCAATTTATTGCGCAATAGTGCCCCAGGGCTGACGTCAGCAAGGGGTGGGGCGGCGCCGACATGCGGGCCTCACTGGACAGAGGCACAAGAGAGAGGGAGAGGGGGCGGCTGGCAGGCGGGACCCACCGGGCAGCGTCACAAGGGGGGGGAAGCGGCGAGGCGCCCGGTCGGTCCGGCTCGGCTTCAAGCCGGCCGGCCGGTTATGGCGAGGGCGGCGGCGGCAAGCGGCCACCGACGGCGGCGGCCGGCGATGCAGGCGACGGCACTTCACGGCGAAGCGCATGCGGGGAGCGGCAGCGCGCGCGAGAGGAAGAGAAGGGGAGGGAGTTCTCACCGGGGTTCGGCCGGCGTGGGAGGGTACGACGGCAAACGGTGACGGTGAGCGACCGGAGGGCGACGGTGAACGGCGGCCGAGCTCCAGGACACCCTAAGAGAGGAAGTGAGAGAGGTTAGATGGAGAGAAGGTGTCCACGGCGAGTGAGAGCTATGGCCGACGGCGGCAGCTATGGTGGAAGCTCACCGGAGTGCGAGGAGATGCGAGCTCCGGCGATGGAATTGGACGGGAGAACGGCGGACGAGGTGGACCTCGGGATGGCGGACGCGGCGGCGCCGATGGCGGGGTGCGGCGGCGACCCTAGCGGCTGCTAGAGGCGGCCGGAGCGGTGGAGATGGCGGCGGCGGGTGGGTGCACGGTGCTAGGGCGATAGGGAGCTCGGGGGCGGACGGCGAAAGAGGGAAAAAGGTGGAGAGAGGCGCGGTGGTCGGTTATATAGAGGTGGGGAGGCCGGACGTGGCCGGGAGCGGCGGTTCCGCGGCGACGACGTGGAGAGGTGGAGGAGGAGAGAGAGGGGGAGAGGATTCAAATCGAATCCCGTCCGTGCGGACGCGCGCGCGGACGGGAGAGGGCAGGGCGTGGGGCGGCGACGTGGGGACGTGTGGGCGCGGAGTAGGGCGCGGATGCGGAGGAAGCGGCGGCGTGGGCGGCGGTTTCGGCGGCGGATGGTGGCGGCTGCCGGAGGTTAGGGACGACCGACAGGTGGGCCCCACCTGTCGGCACCCGGGAGGAGAGGGGAGGTGGGATGGACTTCGGGGAGGGGAGGTGAAGCGGGCCGGCGCTGGAGGGAATGGGCCGGGCCCAAAAAAAAGGAAAAAGGAGGGAAAAGAAAAGATAAAAAGGAAAAAGGATTTTCCCAGGGATTTATATGTTGCACATGCTCATTTTTAATTGGTTAAAATTATTTCCAATGCTCTGAAAATTCCGCTAAAAATCCTGTTAGCGTATTTTGACATGTAGAATCCAAGAAAAATTCCACATGCCGATTCCGATTATTATTTGCATTTATTAATTAGGGATTCATCTCTAGGTTAAATTAAACAATTTCTTCGGACGATTTATTTTATGAATTTAGAGCAAGGGAGGGGAACTTCAGGGCGAGACAAACCTACCCCCCTTAAACGGAATCTCGACCCCGAGATTCGGAAGAGTTGGCAAAGAGGTGCGGATGAGCGGCTCTTTCCCAGGTGGCCTCTTCTTCCGAGTGGTGGCTCCACTGAACTTTGCAAAACCTGATCACCTTGTTTCTGGTCCTTCTCTCACTGGTCTCGAGGATACGAATCGGCTTCTCCACATAAGTCAGATCTTCCTGGATGTCAATGTGCTCTGAGCTAGCTTGTTCCTTAGGTACCCTCAAACACTTCTTCAATTGAGATACATGAAACACATCGTGGATACCAACCATATTAGATGGAAGCTCTAGCTGGTAAGCGACTTCACCTCTGCGTTCCAAAATCCTGTATGGTCCCACAAAGCGTGGTGCCAATTTGCCTTTCGTCTGGAACCGGTGTACTCCCCGGAGCGGAGTGACACGAAGGTACACATAATCCCCTGCTTCGAAAGTAAGCTCTCTTCGGCGGTTATCAGCATAACTCTTCTGCCGAGACTGGGCGATTCGCAGTCTTTCCCTGACGGTCCTGACTTTCTCCTCTGCTTCGGTTAACACTTCTGTCCCAAACAGTTGGCGCTCACCTGTTTGATCCCAGAAAAGTGGTGTGCAGCACTTTCGTCCGTACAATGCTTCAAACGGTGCCATTTGCAAACTGGACTGATAGCTGTTGTTGTAAGAGAATTCCGCATACGGTAGACTTTTATCCCAGGCTCCACCAAAGTCAAGTGCACAAGCTCTCAACATATCTTCCAAGATTTGATTTACTCGCTCGGTCTGACCATCTGTTTGCGGATGATAAGCCGTGCTGAAATTCAAACGAGTCCCCAATTCTTCTTGCAGTTTCTGCCAGAACTTTGAAGTGAATTGACTTCCTCGATCAGATACAATCTTCTTAGGTACCCCATGCAAACACATGATTCTTGAAAGATAAAGCTCTGCCAACCTTTTTCCAGTATAGGTAGTGTGTACTGGAATGAAATGAGCAACTTTGGTGAGTCGATCCACGACCACCCAGATTGAATCGTGCCCCGACGATGTCCTGGGCAAACCTGTTATGAAATCCATTCCGATTTCTTCCCATTTCCATTCCGGGATCTGAAGGGGTTGTAGCAGTCCTGCGGGCCTCTGATGTTCTGCTTTGACTCGCTGACAAACATCGCAAAGTGCGACGAATTCGGCTATCTCTCTTCTCATGCTGACCCACCAGAATTTCTCTTTGAGGTCCTGGTACATTTTAGTACTGCCGGGATGAATTGAATACTGAGTTTGATGAGCTTCTGTGAGTATGAGATCCTTCAGTTCTTTGTCGTCAGGCACACACAATCTTTCTCCCAACCAGATTGTGCCATGCTCATCCTCATGGAAATCTCGAGCTTTTCCAACCCTCATATTCTTTTTCAGCTCAGCTATTTCAGGATCATTTACTTGAGCTGCTCTGACTTGATCCACGAGCGTAGGCCGTGCCTCTAGGGCAGCTACGTACCCGTGTTCCACGATGCCCAAATTTAGGTGCTCAAGATCTTGCTGCAATTTGCCACACATGTCTTCAGTGCATAAGGCATTGCAATAGCTTTTCCTGCTCAAAGCATCTGCTACCACATTTGCTTTGCCTGGATGATAATGTATCCCCATGTCATAATCTTTAATTAACTCCAGCCATCTTCGCTGTCGGAGATTCAAGTCAGGCTGAGTGAAGATGTACTTCAGACTCTTGTGATCAGTGTATACTTCACAGCGGTTGCCAATAAGATAGTGCCGCCAGATTTTCAGAGCATGAACCACTGCTGCCAACTCAAGGTCATGAGTGGGGTAATTGGTCTCTTGTGGACGCAACTGTCGCGAAGCGTATGCGACCACTCTGCCTTCTTGCATCAACACACATCCCAACCCTTGGCGAGATGCATCACAGTAGACTTGGAAGTCTTTTGTCTGATCTGGCAAAATTAGAACTGGTGCAGAGACTAACCTCTTCTTGAGTTCTTCAAAACTTTGGTTGCACTCAGCTGACCACTTGAATTTTTCATCTTTCTTTAGCAACTGTGTCATGGGCCTGGCAATCTTGGAGAAATTTTCGATGAACCGACGGTAATAGCCCGCAAGTCCAAGAAAACTCCGGATTTGAGAAACTGTCTTTGGTGGGGTCCACTTTGTAACTGATTCCACATTTGATGGATCCACTGCCACGCCTTGAGCAGAAATGACGTGACCCAGAAATTTGACCTCCGATAACCAGAAGTCACACTTGCTAAACTTGGCATATAACTGGTGCTCCTTCAATTTCTCGAGTACCAGACGAAGATGATGCTCATGTTCCTCTTCTGATTTTGAATACACAAGTATGTCGTCAATGAATACCACGACAAACTTGTCAAGAAACTCCATAAACACTTTGTTCATCAAGTTCATGAAGAAAGCCGGTGCATTGGTGAGTCCAAATGACATAACCGTGCACTCAAACAACCCATACCGAGTGATGAAGGCTGTCTTGGGAATATCCTCTTCCCGAATTCTCAACTGATGATAGCCTAATCGCAGGTCTATCTTGGAAAACACCTTAGCTCCTTTTAGCTGATCAAACAGGTCATCAATTCTTGGCAACGGATATTTGTTCTTGATTGTGACCTCATTAAGGGCCCGATAATCAACGCACATCCTCTTAGTCTTGTCTTTCTTCTCCACAAAGATAACCGGAGCACCCCAAGGTGAAGTACTCGGTCGAATGTACCCTTTCTGCAGCTGTTCATCAACTTGCTTTTTGACCTCTGCTAGCTCATTAGCTGCCATTCTGTACGGCCTCTTGTAAATTGGAGCAGTTCCGGGTGCCAGATCAATTCGGAACTCGATTTCTCTCTTCGGTGGCATTGTAGTGAGGTCTTCAGGAAATACCTCAGGATATTCTTGTACTATAGGAATATCCTCCAACTTCCTGGGACTTTTCTCCACTGTTTCTGTCTGACCCTCAATAGCAGCCTGATTCAGACTCGCTACGGACTTCTGTGACACTGGAGAACGGAAGGTGATCTTCTCCCCTTTGTCGTTGGTTAGGGTGATGGTGCGGCCTGCGCAGTCAATCACCCCCTTGTGTCTGGTCAACCAATCCATTCCGAGAATGACATCCAGGTCTTTGGATTCGAGAAGGATGAGGTTGGATAGAAATTGTGACCTCTTGATCTCTATAGTCACTGAGGGGCAATAGTGTGATGTCTTCATGTCATTTCCAGAGGTATGAACCTGCATCGGTATTTTAAGTTCCATTACCGATAATCCATGTGTCCCAGCAAATCTCTTGGAAATGAAAGAATGCGAGGCACCCGAATCAAAAAGAACTGTTGCTGGATATGAGTTCACTGGAAACGTGCCCAGCACGACATCTGATGCTGCCTGTGCTTCCTCTGCAGACACATGATTGGCGCGGGCCTGGATGAACCTGGGTCTAGTGCGATTCAGCTTCGAACACTTGCTAGCAAAGTGGCCGTGCTTGCCACAGTTGAAGCAGGGTCCTGGCTTTCCTACAGCCCCCTTCTTGGGTTGTTCTGACTGAGCTGACACAGCTGGCGGATCTGACTGAGCTGGTGCCATTAGTGGGGGTGGAGTCGAGTTGTGGTTGTGCTGCTTACTGTTGTTGTGACTGCCACCGTTGTAATCGTTGTTGAAGTTACTCGGGTGATAGGGACGGTGCTGACAGACGATCAGGGTGGAAGGCCCACCTAGCTGTCCCGTCATGAAGCGAGGCTTCTGATTGTTCCCCTGAGGAAAGCTGATCTGAGCTGCCTTTCTTTTTCGGTCCATTTTGTTGCGTTGCTCTTCCTGGTGGATAGCCTTGTCCACAAGCTTCTCAAAGTCCTCATAGACTCCGGAGATTAGCTGGTTGGTCAATTCATCGTCGAGCCCAAACAAAAACTTCTCCTGCTTCTCAGCATCGGTGCGCACGTCCTCAGGAGCGTAGTGCGCGAGGCGGTTGAACTCGTGCAGGTACTCTGTAACCGTTCTGGTTCCTTGTTGCAATGCACGGAACTCCCTCTTCTGTTGTGCCATAATCCCTTCAGGAATCTGTGCCTTCCTAAAGTTTTGACAAAACTCTACCCAAGTAACCTTCGTTGCATCTGGACGGGTCACCACGTAGTTATCCCACCAGGCAGAAGCAGGACCTTGCAATTGATGTGTAGCAAAAGCAACCTTCTCTCGGTCGTTGCATTGCAAAAGGTTCAGCTTCTTCTCAACAACACGGAGCCAGTCGTTGGCCTCCATTGGGTTGGTGGTGCTTGAGAAAGTGGGTGGCTGGATACGAAGAAAGTCTAACAGTTTGGACAGGTGTGATGGTGGAGGAGCAAACCGCTGGTTCTGCTGCACCTGTTGCAACACCTGATGGTGATGTTGCTGCATCTGTTGCATCATCATTGTCATCATTTGAGTGACCGTTGGGTTCCCGAGCGGTGGAGATGAACTGCTGTCAGATGCACCACTGACATGAGCTCCATCGGTCTGCTCTTCGCTGCCCCTGGCGTCGCTGGAGTCACGGGGATCATTCCTTGTCTTCACCATCTGGACGAGGATAGGTAGAAATAAGAGAAAGGAAGAAAACAGATGGCTCGGAAGCTAATCTTTGTTATAAGTTTAAGGGCAATTATCTTAATCTTGATTAAAACACTGAAAAAGAGGCACGCAACTCCTAATAAAGGCAGCCATACCACTGACACATGATATCGACTGCTGACTAACCCACAAGCAACAAACCTAAGCACGGAAACTAGCAAGCAAACAAAACTAAGAAGACGATAAAGCTAAGGGCGGCGACTCTGAAGCTTGGAGCAGCGCTTGCGATCGGAGAATAGGTCTGACATCTAAAGAGTACAGAGGGATAGGAACCAACACATGCTCAAAACCAAATTAAATAAAGCAACAAATGACTCAAGTAACTCGCCGAGCATGATGATTTTTATGCATAGAACATTTTTCATGAACCCGGATAAAGACACTAATGCGACTGACTAAACCATAGCTTAATGCATAAACTAGTTGCATGGAAAATGATGCGCATAAAATTGCCCCATCGAACATAGACACGACCTAATGCATATCACCCGATAAATTCCCAACTGACTGTCAAATAAACTCCAAATAAAATTTTTCTAAAACCCTAGACCGAGCTAATTTTAAGGATCCGATCCGAACGAACGACCAAGATTTTTCCCACAAACCAAAGAGGCAAAACCCCAAATTTTTCCCGAAACAAATCCAAGTGCAAAAAGCATATGCAGATGAAAAGGTTTAAGAGAGCTCTTAGGGTTTCCATTTGGCTTGTCCTACGGTCAAGGTCGGCTCTGATACCAACTTGTCACGCCCAGAAATTCACGGACCAGAATTTCTAAGCTGAATGTGCATTAAACCCCTGTCCAGGACCAGCCAGGGTACACAAACGACAATTGTTGACATACAGATCCACGTCTTACAAAAATATAAAAGATTACAAATGCGGCGGAAAAAGATAAAAGCGAGCTAAGCCTGAAGACTTGACTCCTGCAGTGGGCGACTCCATTCCACAGGCATCCTTGACGGCAGCGACGAAACCAACCTCTTCGAGACATCTTCAACTGAGAAGGACTTCAACTCTGGTGTGGGGGAAAAGAGAGCAAGACTGAGTACTACCCACTGTACTCAGCAAGTCATACCGGAAGAGGAGGTATGATGCAAGATATATCCAAGGGAGGATAAAGGTTCTTTTGCATAAAGTCGGCATTTCAAAGCAGTAGTTGAAAACAGTAAAACAGTTGTAGTAATTAATCCATATTAACCAATCACTGTCCAACGTTACACCACGTTGCAACAGGCCCAAACCACCACCTGAACTAATCAGTTCCAAAAGCTAACTAGGGTGAAACTAATCACGGTGAATCTGGTCGACCGCCCATAACCGCGGGCACGGCTATTCGAATAGTTTTACTCTGATCAGAGGTGTACAACTGTACCCACAAGACACAGCCCCACGACACGTTCCCGTGCGCCGACATGCCACCACGACATACCGGAAAGAGGTCGTGACAGGACCCTTCGCATAACCCCCTCTAACCGATCGCACCACACCTTAGGGTTCGCCCCCGTCCCCAGCAGGCAACGGGCAGCCCCCCTTTCATGCCGCGGTGAATCCGGAAGCCGATCAACCGGACACCCCGGCCGACCCAACTCCATCACGCCCACCCTCGCCTGGGTACGTCGGCTAGAGAAAAGCTACACTACAAGCCCAGCCGTTGCCCACGCTGGCTTGTGGTAAGTACGATAAATTCTTCCAGGGCATCCCGCGAACCGGTCCTTAAATGCCATGGGTGCGACTAGCAAGACCATGCACCCACAGCCCACCATGACGTGTATTTTAATTAACCAACACCATTACGGTGGCACTAAATCAAAGCTATGCCAATAATCAAGTCTATGCTTTAATGTGATCCCCCTTTGTGCACTAGTTGAACTAAGCATGGCTAAGCATCTCCTAAACCAACATCTAGTCATTTTAATACTCACGTTATCAATGGCATAAGGTAAACAATATATGGCTGAGTAATAGGACCCATCCCACATGATATTGTAAAACAATGCAATATTTAATAGAAATGCGGGATATTTGTAAATTGGGTACAATATGATCAATTGTATTGCATGACTTGCCTTGCTCTCGCACTGATGAGACCACAGCAACGTCTTCGAGAAACCACGGATCGACGAACCGACCGAAATCTACGCGACAAACAAAGCACACAAGCAAAACATGCTATAAGACTACTGAAACAGAGAACAAAGCCATTTTTAATGGATTCTACACATTTTTATGAATTTACTGAGACTTGAATGGATTTAATCGGAGCTCGGATGAATTAGATATGATTTTTAGAAGATTCTCTATGTTTTTACTATTAAAGAAAAGCCTTAATCAATTTATTGCGCAATATTGCCCCAGGGCTGACGTCAGCAAGGGGTGGGGCGGCGCCGACATGCGGGCCCCACTGGACAGAGGCACAAGAGAGAGGGAGAGGGGGCGGCTGGCAGGCGGGACCCACCGGGCAGCGTCACAAGGGGGGGGGAAAGCGGCGAGGCGCCCGGTCGGTCCGGCTCGGCTTCAAGCCGGCCGGCCGGTTATGGTGAGGGCGGCGGCGGCAAGCGGCCACCGACGGCGGCGGCCGGCGATGCAGGCGACGGCGCTTCACGGCGAAGCGCATGCGGGGAGCGGCGGCGCGCGCGAGAGGAAGAGAAGGGGAGGGAGTTCTCACCGGGGTTCGGCCGGCGCGGGAGGATACGACGGCAAACGGCGACGGTGAGCGACCGGAGGGCGACGGTGAACGGCGGCCGAGCTCCGGGACACCCTAAGAGAGGAAGTGAGAGAGGTTAGATGGAGAGAAGGTGTCCACGGCGAGCGAGAGCCATGGCCGACGGCGGCAGCTATGGTGGAAGCTCACCGGAGTGCGAGGAGATGCGAGCTCCGGCGATGGAATTGGACGGGAGAACGGCGGACGAGGTGGACCTCGGGATGGCGGACGCGGCGGCGCCGATGGCGGGGTGCGGCGGCGACCCTAGCGGCTGCTAGAGGCGGCCGGAGCGGTGGAGATGGCGGCGGCGGGTGGGTGCACGGTGCTAGGGCGATAGGGAGCTCGGGGGCGGACGGCGAAAGAGGGAAAAAGGTGGAGAGAGGCGCGGTGGTCGGTTATATAGAGGTGGGGAGGCCGGACGTGGCCGGGAGCGGCGGTTCCGCGGCGACGACGTGGAGAGGTGGAGGAGGAGAGAGAGGGGGAGAGGATTCAAATCGAATCCCGTCCGTGCGGACGCGCGCGCGGACGGGAGAGGGCAGGGCGTGGGGCGGCGACGTGGGGACGTGTGGGCGCGGAGTGGGGCGCGGATGCGGAGGAAGCGGCGGCGTGGGCGGCGGTTTCGGCGGCGGATGGTGGCGGCTGCCGGAGGTTAGGGACGACCGACAGGTGGGCCCCACCTGTCGGCGCCCGGGAGGAGAGGGGAGGTGGGATGGACTTCGGGGAGGGGAGGTGAAGCGGGCCGGCGCTGGAGGGAATGGGCCGGGCCAAAAAAAAGGAAAAAGGAGGGAAAAGAAAAGATAAAAAGGAAAAAGGATTTTCCCAGGGATTTATATGTTGCACATGCTCATTTTTAATTGGTTAAAATTATTTCCAATGCTCTGAAAATTCCGCTAAAAATCCTGTTAGCGTATTTTGACATGTAGAATCCAAGAAAAATTCCACATGCCGATTCCGATTATTATTTGCATTTATTAATTAGGGATTCATCTCTAGGTTAAATTAAACAATTTCTTCGGACGATTTATTTTATGAATTTAGAGCAAGGGAGGGGAACTTCAGGGCGAGATATCCATATCACTCCTTGCATTTTTAACAAAAAAGTAATCTTGACGAAAGATAATCTCATAAAGAGAAATTGGAGGGAAAATAATCAATGTTGTTTTTTAATACACAAGAGACCATCCAACATCTTTTCTTTGACTGTCATGTTGCACGTTTTGCTTGGCGATGTGTCTTTTTGCCTTCAACATTCCCCCTTCCCACAATATAAAAGATATTTTTGTTACTGGCTAAGGGGAGTGCTTAGACAAAAAAAAATGATTTTGTTTGGAGCTAGTGCTTTATGTTGGTCAATTTGGTGTTGCCGTAATGATATAGTTTTTAACCATAAAAAAATGCCTAACATCATGCAGGTTATCTTCATATGTTTCAATTGGCTCCACTCTTGGTGTATGATGCTTTCACAAGAACAACAGGATACTATGCGCAATGGTGCTACACGCTTGGAATTAGCAGTCAAGTAACTTTTATTCCAGTTTGGATGGCGTAGTACCTATAGAATTTCGTGATAAAATCTACGTGATTTTGAAAAAAATATTATTTTAGTAGATCATATCATCGGCAGAAGTTGGGGGTTTGTCCCATCTCGCTTTTTTTAACTTTTCTGTGCACGTCTGAATTTTTTGGCTGTGTGCCTACGGGCAGAGGCCGGAGATGTAACCCATTTCCATTATCTAAAAAATTGTTACTTTCATTAATCATTTACTAGGCAGTGCCGATTGTTTGGATGATATGATGCTTTGGGTTTATTATTGCTCTTATTATATTTACCACTATCTACAGTTAAACAAAAAAAGGTGCTCTATTTTAGTTTGCCACTCTACAGGCTCTATGTTTCTTACATATTGATTTTCTGCTCTCCTTTTTTTTTAAAAAAAAAGAATTATTCAGTGTGGTAGTTTTATCTGTCATTTTACACAAAGAAGTGATAAATTCTACCTGTTATTTCAGTCTTCTATGAAATGTTGTGCTGAAGATATTTCTGTTTACCCAAAACACCAATCTCTCTAGGAACACGAAGGTGTTTGCCTTTTGCTAATGTCTTATTACCTCCGTTTTTTAAATAGATGACGCCGTTGACTTTTTCTCACATGTTTGACTATTCGTCTTATTAAAAAAAATTATGTAATTATAATTTATTTTATTATGAGTTGTTTTATTATTTATAGTACTTTAAGTGTGATTTATATGTATACAGTGTGATTTATATCTTATACATTTGTATAAAATTTTTGAATAAGACAAATAGTCAAACATGTAAGAAAAAGTCAACGGCATCATCTATTAAAAAACATAGAGAGTATTACAGTGCGTAGTGACAGTCAATATTACCTATGTTTACATGACCTCTAACTGCTGCCCTGTTTTTAACCTTTTACCCCTATCATGCTGCAATTCCAGGAGTTGTGCCGGTGTTAGCTATGCTTTCTCTATTATATACATCAGGCTAATTTATCATGTCATTCTACTCAGAAGAATGTACATAACAAATAGCAAATAGACTCGAAAATAATATATCATGAAAAGAATGGTCATGTTTGTGTGCATTGCAAAAGGACCAAGGCAAAATAATAGTGTACTGTACTCAGTTTCTTCCAGTTATATAATAATCCTGACCGTGTTACATTTTGAATTTTTACCCAACTTTCAATTATCATATAAGCTTCAGTGTCTACCGTCACTGTTTGAGTATAGAACAAAATGACTGACATCTAAAACCACCATACCATGTTCATCTGTGTCACAACTTTGGTTTGTTTTTCGGGAATCAGCTACTTCACCTTTGAATCTTGCAAACTTACGTACCAAGTCCTTTAATTTGTACACCATGAACAAAAGTTCCAGATCATATAAATTCGACTAACACAGTGGCACTTCATCCGCGGCAACGCGCGGGGTCCTAGCTAGTTCTTTTGGGGTTTTAAGGTAGAGAGGACAAAAGATATGATGTCTTCTAATTTTATTTTTTCTATGTGAATTGACATGTGGGTCCGACACGCAGACGCTATCGTGGCATGCCATGTTAGTGCACGGAGCGGGTTAGAGCCCGTTTGGATCTGTATGACATCCAAACAGGTTCAAAGACTCGAAAATAAATTTTGAGAGTTCATGTACCTAAATGACACACATACACGCATGTATTAGATAATATTCAACGGTATATATAGCCACACATACACGCATGTATATACCTAAACATTTAAAAAAGTTTCATACACATTTGAATTGGGTATATACTCAATTTCAATCGTGGTGCCCGGGCACCATGGAGCACCAAACAAACTTGGTATGACAACAATACTTTGACTCAACATATACATCCTCACAATCTATAGCATAGGTTAAATTTTTATTGGCGCTTGCTCCAGACATCGACGGCGGCGCGCCATGGAGGCCGCCACCGCTGCTCCTCCATATCCATCAAAGTCCGAGCTCGCCGCTGCGGAGGTCGCGTCGTGCGCATGGGGGCGGAGTGGCGGCCGGATCCGCCACCGCCTTGCCTCCTGCCCGCAGTTGCCCATCACGGCCGCGCCCGCCGTCACCCGTGCAAGATCCACGCCAGATTCGTGCGCGTGGGGCGCGGAGCGGCGGCCGCATGCGCCACCTCCTCGCCTCCCACCCGTAGTCGCCCGTCGCCGCAGCGCTCGCAGTCGTGCCGCGCCAGATCCGCCGACGTCGTGCCCACCGTCACGCCAGATCAGCGATAGAGGTCGAGCCGCTGCGTCTCCAGCCCGCAGTCGTCCGTCGTCGCCTCGGCCGCAACCGTGCTGTGCCGAATCCGCCAACGTTGCGCCCGCCGCCGCTCGGCTGTAGAGGTGGAGCCGCCGCACCTCCCGCCCGCCAACGCCACGCCCGCAGCCATGCCGTGCCGTGCCGGATCCGCCTCACGCCCGCCGATGCCGCACCCACCATGGATGTGACACCATCAGGCCTGGCGTGCCACCGCCGCTCCTCCTTGATGCCGGTTCTCCTCGTCCCCGAACCGCCGCCGCCGCTGCTCCTCCTCGTCGCCAAGCCGTCACCGGAACCGCCTCGCCGCCACTTCTCATCCCCTAACCGCCGTCGCCGTTCCTCTTCTCTCCACGAGGAACCACAATCCGTCGCTGATTCGTAAAACGTGGAGAGGGAGAGGAAAGAGTGGGTGGACGGTTTCTACAATGGGAATCCGTAATATATATACCAGATAAACTCAGTACGTCGAGTTAAAAAATAACTCAATGTGCAAAACACTGTTGGATCACAAGACACACATTGACTATCTCGCTAACAGTTAAAAAATAACTCAATGTGTAGCTTGCACCAGATCAGTTCGCGTGGGGTGTGCGTGGGGTGGTGGGTCGCTGAGTTAAAAATTAACTATGTGGTTTGTTTAAATTGAGTGTGCATGGGTGTAGTTTGTGTGTGTCAGGTGCCATATAGTACGTAGCACCAAGAGCGCCATATAGTAGCTCTCTCTCTCTCTCTAATATATATATATATATATATATATATATATATATATATATATATATATATATATATATATATATATATATATATATATATATATATATATAAAAGATAAATTAAAGACTGACACTTGTTGCGAATCCAATTATTATAGTGTGCTATATATGTTGTTTAAATGAGTTGTGACTTTCACTATTTGCACATGCATTATAATGAGATCTAGATATAGAAATATGATTTAGTTTGTTTTTATACTAATTTTTAGTGTGTGTTATATTTTTTTTTACATTTTAGAGAGGTTTTCTAGTGATAGTCTTTCAGAGGGGGTCAATTTTTCATGAAGAAATAGAACAAATTTACTATTGATTTTTTTTTTTTCCTTTTTCTCAAGGGGAAGAGTTTTTTTTCAAAAGGGGAAGGGAGTATAGTTTAGATAAATACAAATATCTTAGAGAAAATTCCATATATACCCTTAAAAACTAACTCAATCCCTTTTACACCCATGAAATTTACCCAATCCTTTATATAACCCATCAAATTTTAGGGGCATCTAAGGAAGTAAGCAAAATTCAGGGGCATAGAAGGGATTAGTTAAAATTGTAGGGGTATAAAAGGGATTTTCTCAATGTCTTATATTATGTTGTAGTGCTTAGATCTAACGATAACGGTGTTAGTGTTATATATTTTTTTAATTTATAACAATAAATAAATAATTTTATACAAAATTAGTTTATATATAATATAAATAATAAGAAAAGAAATATGTAGTTAAGTTTTATGTATATATAAAAGTAATACAATAACTAATAATATTATATTTTTTTACAATATTATATAATAATAAGATAATTTGTTGTTTTATAAATATATTAGTTCATCGAACATCAATTATAAAATCCTAAATATGCTACTGTACTGTACCACATCGACCCTCGCTTATCTCACCTCACCGGCGTCGGCGTTTGCAGTGCGTCATATATTATGTGATCATTAGGGTCTCATATCCACCCATGCATGATTTATAGAGTTACTCATTATTCAGTTTTATCTCGAGTTGCCACGACTGCTTGTTCGCACTCTACCTCAGCACCTACTGTCACCGGACCCTTTAGTTCGTCGAGGTGTTATTTACTGTTCAGCAGCACGTAAGCTAACTCGATCGCCATTATTGCAAACGAGATGGAGCTGTACGCGGACCTGGTCCCCCTCACCGCGGAGAACTTCCGCGCCCTCTACACCAAGAAGCCGCTCCACTACAAAGGGCTTTGTCTTTCACAGCATTATCCCAGGATACATGTGGAAGGGCGGCGACTTCGTCAAGGACCATGGCACCGGCGGCGAGTTCATTTGCGGCGACACCTTCCCAATGAGAATTTCCTACTTCCACACGACCGCCCGTGGTTACCCAACGGCTCCGCCGAAAACAACATCTCACAGTTCTTTACCCGCGTGCCCTGGTTCGATGGCAACTACGTCGTCTTCGGCTGTATCATCTCCGGCTTCCACAACCTCAAGGCCATCGAAGCGGAGGTGGAGGTCAAGATTGCCAACCGTGGCGAGGTCGTCATTGTCCCGCCGCCGTCGTTAACTACTAATTAATCTCCGGGTCCACATACCAGTAATTTTGAAGAATGTTTTTCAGTATGGATCGAGTAGCTACTTATTGGTACTAGTTAGTAATGTCTTGTATTGTGGATGGATGATTCATCATTGTCTCTCGCTATACAAGACTAATACATCTTTTCTTACTTAATACTACTATAATGGATGGAATTACTCACTACTCCTCTGGTAATGTGGAGACGGTGATGTTTTACTTCTTTAATGATGATATTATTGTTTATCTTTGGCGGTTTGTATTTGTTGATGATTATAAATGTCAATATATATTAATACATCATGATGATTCTCTTCATTTTAATTGGCACCTACTTCTAAACCGGTGTTATTATTTTAATCATTCATATATTCGTGTAGTGTATACTAGCAAAGTAGCCGTGTGTTGTATAGATTCAATCCTATAGTAAGTCTCATGTTACTACAAATAACGCTAATCACAAACATGTATAATAGTGGGTGAAGCTGTAATATCGATAAGGTCTATCTCCATCCTAAAAGCAAAGTGGACGATCCAATTGAATTGCAAATGAGTGAAATTTCTAACCTACCAACTTTAGCATGGACAATCGGCTATCGTATGGACCGAGGGATTCCATGATCCGTGAGTGATTTTGGATGTCAAATTACACATTTACACTGTCGATGTTACCAACATTCATAGAGTTTTTCAAATATTAAGTGTACATAATTTGTAAAAGGTTTCTATTTCCATTGCTCAACCAAAAAGCACAATTTGCACCCAAAACAAAAGACTCATAATGGCTTCCATATGAGGTGAGGTCAGTGGCTGCTCTACCAGCAGGCCACCGGCAATCAAATGTCGGATTGAGTGAAAGTCATTCGTGACCAATGGCTAAGAACTTCTTATCAAAATCATCTGGTGGAAATAAACATGTTTCAGAGAAAATTATAGTGGGATGTTATTGCGAGCCCAAAAACTCTGCTCCAGACAACTCAGATCAATGGCAACACAGGGTTCCAACTGCCAAACCAAGTCAGCTATTTGGAAACAATCAACGTGATCTGATTTTGCAATTAATTCTAAATGAAGACCTAGAAAGTTAAAAGCCAAATCAGATGAAAAGGTTGACGCTCTACCAATTAATTTAAACTTTCCCCTCAGTCACAATTTAGACCTCCACTTTACAAAGATCACACAAGCCTCAAAATCTGAAAGTTTGGTACAAGTTAGCCAATTTCAGGAGTGATAAGCACTAAAAAAAATCCATAGAACTTGATGCAATTTGCACGTTTCACTTTAATTGAGACTAGTAATCGTGCACGTACAATGCATATTTTGGAAAAACAAAATTTTGGCACAAAATCTACTATAATATGAGCTTACACAAAATATGAACTCTGTGGTGATTCAAATAATTAGCATTGTTATTATCTCAAACATCTATGCAGATTGGATAATCTCGGCATATCTATCAGCCCTCCACTAAAAGCAAGTTTATTAAGCAGACCCTATTTTACCAACAAAGAAAATATATATATAATTCACATGTACTGCTGAAATCCATAGTTATAAGTGACTAGGAACTATCGGGAAGAAATATATTGTACATCATGAAAGAACATGCACTAAAATCGTGCAATATTAGCCAAAACGTCATGAAAGTACTGCTGTATTTGTGTTGAACATGCAGTAAACTGTTGGTAAGAAGGTAGTAAGGTAGAATGTTTTTCTGCCAGCTAAGGATTTTCGTTTTTTTGGTATAAAGACAACAAACTATTTACCAGAGGTGACTCCCTTAGTAAATTGTCCTTCAAATTCTTAAGGGCCCTTTAAATCACAGGATTGAGAAAACGTAGGAATAGGAAAAACGTAGGATTTTGATAGAAATGTAAGTGTAAAATGGAGGATTATACACTTAATTTTGGAGAGTCATAATTAAGTAACGAGAAAAACCAAAAGCGCATGGGATAAAAAACTGGTGAAAAAAAATTGACGAAAAAACCAAAAGCTCTGGGAGGTGCGCGGTGAAAGATCGGATTTAAAAATCTGGAAAAAAAACCAATAGCACGTGCGTAGAAAAAAACTCTTTCGCGTGAAAAAAAACAAACTGACTTTTTTTTCCTTTTTTACCGGAGTCGGACGATTTTTTTTTCACGACAAGCTTTTTTTTATCGTTTTCTGAGTCGGACTTTATTTTTCCTTTTTTTCTACCTTTTTAGTCGATTTTTTTACTGACGACAGAAGCTTTTTTAAATCCTTTTTAGTCGGACTTTTTTTTTCTTTTTTACCGACTATGGAAATTTCTTGTTCTTTTTTAAGTAGAGATAGAGATTAAAACTAAAAACATAAAATTAAAACCGATTCAAATACGGATGACGTAACAAAGTACCGGTAAAAACATTTTTAATTTTTATAATAATAGAGATAGAGATATAAACCCCTGTAACTTTGCATATTACAACTATATCCATAGCAGTGATCTCTCACCGTAGATCCGTGATCGTACGGCTGCCGGAGGGGGGAGAAAGCTGGAACTGCATGGTGCCACGTGGTGGGGTTTTTTTTTTTGGACCCGAATCCTTCCAGCACTAGATGATACCCCGCGCGTTGCTGCGGGATATGTATGTATAAAATATAGTTGCAAATATATCAACGGAATCATAATATAATAACAACAAAATGCATGATTAATATATTTTAGGAATGTTATATGATAGTATGAAGCATTGATATATCATTCTAGGATGCGAACAAACAGTGACACTATGGTTGTAAGTATAGCAGATATAGGTTGTGTTCGGCAGCCCTATTTCAGCTGTGACACAGCCATATTACACAGTAATTTGTGTCACTGCAAGCAGCTGTGTGGCTGCGTTGCAGCGGCTGCAACATGCAGCCGAACACACCAATAGATGGTTTTGTTACAGTAGATTGTAAATACATTTTTAGTCTAGAATAATAGAATTCCTCGTCAGCTTGTTTGCTCTCTAAAAGACACTCATTTCTGATCATCTTCTTAAATCCGATCTATCTGAGTGGATTAATTACCCGATTAAACTGCATGCCTCTTTTGAGCTCTAGCCAGTCTCTAGAGCAACTGTACAGAGGACGTGACAAGCTCACAGAGTAAACACCATGGCAAGATGTCCCAAGAAATATGTGTCTGCAACCGTAGAGAATAGAGGCAACCAATATTTTGACAAAATAAAGTAAGATTCAATGAAAATATTTGAAGGGTTCAGTTTTATCTCATACCGCAGAACCATACTTGCACTTTTGTTCACCAACACATAGTTGATTTTTCCCCTAACACGTATACATATTTACTTTTAGAGCGAACTAAACAAAAATGTGATGTTTGATGGATACTTTTAGAAAAAAAAAGGAAGAATCCAATTTGTAGCATAATTAAACAGAAGTTAAGGAGAACAATATCAATAAACTTACCAGATGATGGTTAATTTGGAAATCTGATCATAAGAAGGTGAGTAGATCGAATTCCAGGCATAACTGCAAATGGCAAGCGGTAGACCAAATCAGTTGATATGCTATTTCATCCTAAAATCACTTGGTGGTATTACGGCGAGGAAAATGAGAAAACAATTATAGGCCAGAAATTATCAGAAACCACCTTCTTAATAGGGATAGGGAATGGAGACTGGATTCTTTTTTTTCTTAGATATTGAACCGAATCCTCATAGGATAAATCGAATGAAATTTGGAACTTGAAGATAAAAAACAGGATATAAAATAATCTTGTCATTAGGGAGGAGAAGCGGACATGTAGTTAGATCACTCGAGCCAGATATCTGTTTTCAAAATCAACAACAGGAAGAATGAGAAAAAAATAAAAGAGAGGAAAGAACTGCCCGCTTGCGAGAGGATAACGGTGACAGGCGAGAGACCCCAAACGGTGGCACCGACTCACCTGCATCTTCCGATTTTCGAGAGATGAATCAGCTATTTGAAGCTCTCCAACACATGCAACATCCATTGTTTGAGGTGACGAGGAGGTGCTGGTTAAAATAGATTTGGTTGGATTGAACGATCACGAAGAACTCCAAACAAGAGAAGCTCTGAATAGGATTCCCAGCGCATATAAGGCCCTATTTGGCACAGCTCCAGCTCCAGCTCCACCCCTCCTGGAGCTGGAGCTCAGCCAAACAGTTTCAGCTCCACCAAAACTGGGAGTAGAGTTGGGTGGAGCTCTCTCACAAAATGTACTAGAGTTGTGGAGCTGGGTTTAGGCAGCTTCACAACTCCACTCCAGACTCAACTCCTGGAGTTATATTTAGGAGTTGGAGTTGTACCAAACAGGCCCTAAGTGAATAAAGCCCGGGATAAGAGATTCAGAGGCTCTTCAATAGAGCCCGGGATAAGAGATTCAGAGGCTCTTCAATAGCATGCGTCGGTTTCTACTTTTGCATGCATTAGGCCAGTCACAATGGGGGTTTCACTGGTGTGTCATGCACATTTAATAGGGGTAAGACTGAATAAAAAATGATTATTTGCATGAAATGGGGATGAGAGAGAAGGAAAGAGTTTCATCCTGGTGAAACTCGTCAGCGTCGTTTCCAAGTCCTCGGTAACAGAGTGAAACCCCCGTTGAGGCCGATTCGTTTCATTCACCGGATCTCTTGCGTCCGCCTCCGCCGTGCGACCTCCGCATTCTCCCGCGCCGCGCCGGATTTTGGGTACAAATGATCCCAGCAACTTGTATCAATTAAATGCTTTGCTTAGTCTTGGAAACGTCAAAGTGAAACCCCTCCACTGTGGGGATTGTTTCATAAAAGATTTCATTTGAGAGAAGATGGTATAATATTTTGGGTAGCCGTGCAATGACACTAGCCATTGTGACTGGCCTTACATGAAGCAGGTGATCAGTCATGCATGTCAACGTGGGTGGGGACAGGGAACTCAATGGATGGGATATGTGTGGGACGCAGTCAATAGTGCGTGGTGAAGCCGAGAAGGCACATCTGATCATCCGTTGATTGGCCTTGTGCTGGTAAGAATCCAACGGACTCAACTGAAGGGATGAATCGATCTAATCTCCGTTCAACTCTGATCTAACGCTCTAAGATAATTCAGATGACGTGGCTTCACCACAAGACAGGAAAATATGATAGTGGGGATGATTCGTATAGTTATATAGGATTCGGTATTAGAGATTATGGCCCAACCGACGTATCTTCTTTTGCTCTTAGTTCTCTCCCGGTCCCACATGTCAGTTTCCCATGGCCCTTCTCCTGACCTTCCCCCTCGGAGGCCTTTGTTTGTCTGGACCGGATCCGGGCCCATGAGGTGGTTGTTCCATTGCAGGCCGAAAACGCAGTTTAAGGCCCCTTTGATTCAAAGAAAATTCATAGAAATTTTTAGAGGATTTCATTCCTATAGAATTTTTTTCTATATAGCCCTTTTAATTAAAGGAATAGATCTTATGGAATCATATGAAATTCCTATGGATTGTCTAATGCCATGCAAGTTTTGGAGGAATTCTAACATGAGGTAAAACCTCTTGGAAACTTTCCTTTGAGTCTTTATCTCTCCTCTAATTATTGCGTTTTTCCTGCGGTCCAATCAAACGACCATTTCTTTATTTTTCCTGTGTTTTGCAATCCTCTGTTTTACACTTACATTCCTATTAAAATTCTGCGTTTTTTCTATTCCTATGTTTTTACATTCCTGCTATTCAAAGGGGCCCTAAATAGGCCTGGAGAGAATTTCCCAGCCCAAAAGTCCCAAACCATAGGAAGAACATATGCCTCCTCGGCTCCTCCTTCGCGACTCCGGCGACGGCGACGGCGACGGCGACGGCGGCGCGCCTCCTCCTCCTCCTCCTCCTTTGTCAAGATCCGGGGCCAAACTTCCCAGAATCCTGCACGATTTCAGAGATTTTTGGGGCTAAGTAGCTACCTATCAGGGATCCCTACCGGAAAAACAGGAAGAACAAGATAATTCTGAAGAAAATTGCAAGAGAAAGTAGAGGTCGCCGCAAGACACAGGAAAGCTAGGGTTTAGATACTTTTTCTCTTGATGATTCTCATAACTGGATCGAGACGGCTTATAAGGAGTTCGCCGCCGCGAGGATACATGCCAGCTCACTAACCAAGGCTTTAAGCCGACAAAGACAATACAATTAGCAAAAAAAAACAGTAATTACTGGAAGCCACCCGCATCGTTGGATTTTCATTAGCGAAACGGTATCGGCTCATCAGCGCCGTTCATTTCCGCAACTCCCCTGTTTCTGTTCTGTTGTCACCACACATTCAGAATGTTCAGCAATTTCAGAGTAGCAGGATCTGACAAGACTCCCCCCTGAAAGACCCATGCCCTCATGGGGTGAAATTAGGAAACACTTTAGTGATGAAGGATGCATCTTCCCAGGTGGCAGCCTCAGATGGAAGATTTTCCCATTGAATTTTCCACTGAACAACAGGGGCGTTGTTGCGAGGAATCAATCGTCGTTCCAACACAGCAACAGGGGCAGTGAGTATATTACCATAAGAATCAATTAGGGGCAGTCCAGGTTCAGGGATAGCTTTGCGTCCTGCATGGCGCTTCAATTGGCTGACATGAAACACGGGATGGATTTGAGAATGTTATGGCAATAGTAATTTGTAAGCGACTGACCCAATTTTTTCAATCACACGGAATGGCCCATAATAGCGAGAGTGTAATTTGAGAGAGGAATGTAGACCCAAAGAATTGTGGCGATATGGTTGCATCTTGAGGTATGCCATATTACCCACTTCTAGAGTTCGTTCAGTGCGGTTAGCATCAGCATAGTGCTTCATCCGAGCTTGTGCCTTGTCTAGGCTAGCTTTGACTGTGTCTAATAAGGCATCTTTTGCTTGCTGGCGATTTCTGAAACCTTCTAACAAAGTGGATGGTAGTAGGGCTTCCCCTATCATTGGAGGTTTCTGGCCATAGAGAGCCTGATATGGTGTCATATTGAGCGAAGTGTGGAAATTGGTGTTGTACCACCATTCAGCTTGATCAAGTAATGAGCTCCACTTTCTGGGTTTGGTGAAGGTAAGACAGCGCAAGTAAGTCTCCAAGCATTGGTTTACTCGCTCCGATTGGCCATCAGTTTGAGGGTGGTATGCACTGCTAAAGTTTAACTTGACTCCAGCAGCATTGAAGACTTGTTTCCAAGTGTTGGAAGTAAAGAGGCGATCTCTATCACTAATAATAACAGTTGGTAATCCATGTAATCTGTAAAAGTGTGTCTTGAAGAGATCAACAATATGTTCAGAAGTGAAGGGGTGACTTAAGGCAATGAAATGGGCATATTTTGTCAATCTATCGACAATGACCCAGATTACATCCTTGTTGTCAGATTTTGGTAAGCCCTCTATGAAATCCATAGTAATATGTGTCCATGCTAGCTCAGGAATAGGCAAGGGTTGAAGGAGACCTGGGATGTGAACATGTTCAGTCTTGTTCTTTTGACACACAGGACATTCTTTAATGAAGTTAATCACAGCTGATTTCATTCCTGGCCAATAGAAAATCAATTTCAAACGGTGATAAGTGCCTCTTTCACCAGAATGGCCACCCAAAGGAGAAGCATGAAAGGTCTCCATTAACTGATGCTGCAGAACAAGATCTTTGCCAATGTATAATCTGTCCTTATAACGAAGTAAGCCTCCTTGTAATGAAAAAGGGGGTTGAGCTTGGGCATTCACACTGAGTTTGGTAAGGAGAAGTTTACACTTGTCATCGAGGTTGTAGCTGGCCAGTACTTGTGTTATCCATTCAGGAACAACAACATTGAGTGCCTGAATGTTGTGAGGTGGGGCCATTCGAGAGAGAGCATCTGCTGCCTTGTTTTCCTTACCTTTTCTGTATTCTATTTTGTAATCAAAACTCATTAATTTAATGAGTAATTTGTGCTGAATGCCATCTGTGATACGTTGTTCATTGATATATTTGAGGCTTGCTTGATCAGTTCGAATTAAGAGAGAAGAACCCAAAAAGTAATGTTTCCATTTCTTCAATGCTTCTAATATGGCTAAAGCTTCTTTGTCATATGTGGAAAAGGCAGCAGCTTTGATTCCCAGAGACTTGCTGAAGTAGGCTAAAGGCTGACCTCCTTGCATAAGAACAGCTCCAATGCCATACCCACTTGCATCAGTTTCCAACACAAAGGGTTGAGTAAAATCTGGGAGAGCTAAAACTGGGGCCTGCGAAAGTTTAAGTTTGAGAGCTTCAAAGGCTTGTTGCTGATCAGGCCCCCATTGGAACTCATTCTTCTTCAGGACATTAAACATGGGTCGACAAATAATGCCAAAGTGTTTGATAAAACGGCGATAATAGCCAGCCAGACCCAGAAAACCCCTCAACTGTGTAACCGTAGTAGGAATAGGCCAGTTTTGAACTGCTGCTATTTTTTCAGGATCTGTAGCCACCCCTTGTGCAGAGATAATATAGCCCAGGTATTCCACATGTTGTTGTCCAAAAACACACTTGGATGGTTTGGCAAACAAGTTGTTGTCTCGAAGTAACTGCAGCACGAGTTGCAAATGGAGAGCATGGTCGTCCAACGTTCGACTGAATATTAGAATGTCATCAAAAAATACTAGGACAAATTTGCGCAAGTATTTGGCCAAGATTTTGTTCATAAGAGCTTGGAAGGTGGCTGGTGCATTTGTTAATCCGAAGGGCATGACGATGTACTCAAAATGACCAAGATGAGTGCTAAAAGCAGTTTTATAAATATCTGAAGGATGCATGCGAATTTGATGGTATCCTGACCTTAAGTCAATCTTGGAAAAATAGGCAGCACCATGTAGTTCATCAAGCAAGTCCTCAATCACAGGAATAGGGTATTTGTTCTTAATTGTTTGAGCATTCAGTTGACGATAGTCAATACATAAGCGCCAAGAACCATCCTTCTTTTTGACAAGTATTGCTGGGGAAGAAAAAGGACTCACACTGGGTCTAATGGTGTTAGAAGAAAGCAACTGTTGGACCAGATCTTCAAGTGCATTCTTCTTATGATGTGGTAACCGATAAGGTCGCACATTGACAGGTTTAGCATCAGAAAGCAATGGAATAGTATGGTCACAGTCTCTGGATGGGGGTAAATCTTGAGGCTCAGCAAAGACATCTGCAAAATCTGCCAAGACCTTGGAAATTACAGGAGAGTGAGTGGAACTAAGTTCTGCAGCAGCACATGTGAGTGGCTGAACCATGAAAAGTGCTCCAACAGCCCCTTGTGATATTAACTTGGATAATTGGTGAGTGTCAACCAAGAGTTTGCCATGAGAGAGAGAGACATCTGACAGGGTAACTTCTTGGGTACCATTAAGAAGTAGAGATAGCTGCCTGTTTTTCAAATCAAGGGAGAGGGGGCTGTGTTGGAGAATCCAGTCACAACCAAAGATTACATCATAACCTTTAATGTCCAGTACTTTGAAAGTAGATACAAACTGAACACCTTGGATCTCATATGGCTGATCAACACATTGAGCTTCAGTAAATAAGGTACCCCCATTAGCTATGGTGACTGGAATTGGTTCATGATTAGAAATGTCCAGGTGTGCTTTGTGGACCACTTTAGGAGACAAGAAGGTGGTTGTGCTGCCACTGTCTATGAGCCTTGTGCTAAGCAAGCCTGGAAGGGGCTGGCTGCCTCGCCGTCGCCGCCGCGATGAGCCACCGGAGGCGATCTAATGCCACCGGCCCGCCGCCTCCTGAGGGCGTCGGCGACTCATCCACCGCACAAGCCTCGTCGACGGAGAAGGAGAGGCCGGATCCGCCGTCCGTGTTGGGATCGGAGCGAAGGGTGCTTGCGCTGGCGCTGGCCTTCCGCGCGGCGAACGCGCTGCTGGTGCGCACCTACTTCAACCCCGACGAGCACTGGCAGTGCCTCGAGGTCGCCCACCGCATCGTCTTCGGGTAAAACTCGCCGCCGCCGCCGCCGCCGCCGCCGCTGGCTGTTGTGCGCCGGCTTTTAGTCTGCTTGTAAGTCGCTTGAAATCGAAATAGAATCCAGCTGACACTCTCAAAGGGAGTGGGATACTTGAACTGCCGCATTTTCTGTTCACTGCAGGTATGACCACCTTACTTGGGAGTGGAAGAGGGGTCTCCGAAGTTACCTCCATCCGTTGGTCTTTGCTGCGCTTTACAAGATTCTGGCCCTGCTCCACTTGGATACCCCATGGTTTATGGTAATTACTCTAGCAAATCATGCCAAAAACTCATTAGGTATTTCTCTGGGCGAAGATTGCAAGTGATAATTCTGGTCAATGTCATGTGGTGCTTCAACTTTCTATTAACACAAGTTCAGTTATATGAAAGGGGATCACAAGTGCTCAGTATCAACAATTTCTCCTGTAGCTAGATTCTTTGTTGGGATAGCTTACAAATGGGTTCTTAATTCTAACCATGCAGAATGTGTACCCTGTTCTATGTTCAGTCTCAATTCTAAGCAAATAAACCTATATGTTAATCAGATATCACTCCACTCTGCATGGCCTTATTTTTTCCACGCACTGAGAAGCAACATTTTCTTATTATTTCTTTGTTTTCCCCCACAGGTTATGGCTCCACGTCTTCTACAAGCAGTCTTTGCATCTTTTGGGCATCTCTACTTATATAAACTTTCGAAACTCATTTTCAATAATCATGTTGCCCAGTGGGCCGTATCCTTGAGCTCATTTCTGTATATACGATTTTCTTTTTCATGAATAAAGGAAGTCCATTTTCCTGGTGAATGGTGACCTTAACAACTCATTTCCAGTTATTTTCGCAGCTGGTTAACTGGTTCATGCTCTTCTGTATCACGTGTACTCTCTCAAACAGCATGGAGACAGTTTTGACTATTACTGGACTTTACTATTGGTTTGTTGCAATAGAGTCTTCGAAAGGAACTTTGGTTGTTCCAAGGCAGAAGCCTGCTAGCAAGCAAAGCCCTCCATCAAGAAAAATGGCTCTACTCATAGCTGCCTTAGCTTGTGCTATTCGGCCAACAAGTGCCATAACATGGCTATATGTTGGTCTTTTGGATTTTATTCAGACGAAATCGAAATCCCGGTTTCTCTTTCTCGAGGTTATTCCACTAGGGTAAGAAATTATTTTAAAATTTGCATCGAACTTATGGTTTCAGTATATTTCTTTCTTGGATTTGTGCACTGGATGTGTATAAATTGGATGAATTTAGGATGTTGTTTATGGTAAATTTTCATAATGTCTTTTCTCTGTTATTTCTTGAATTTTTGCATCATAATGCTGATGGATTTTGTCTTTTATTTCTTAATTTTTTTTGTATCGCATATATATTATGCTGATGTATATATAGGATGTTTCCCATGGGAAGAATGCTCGCTGGTCGGTCTTCTGAAAAAAACAAACTGAACATATGGAAGTCATTCACATTGTTCAGGAGGGATCGGCATTACTGTCCACCATGCTAAATGGTAGCAAAACAAAGGTTGCATGGTCGATTACTATATAGTTGTGGGTAAGATAAGTTATGCACAAACACCAGCTTTAGGGCATGTGGGCTAGATTGTTACAATCCTATGTGCGATATGCAATTGTCTGTCGTGTCATCAGCATTATGTATATCATTTCTGAGATCAGATCTCTTGACCCCTTCAGTTTCTTTTGTTAAAATTGCGATCGCCTTATTGTCCAAAAAAATGATGATTTAAGGATTGCTTTTCTTGTAAGGTCATTTGTTCTCTTTGTCAAAATTGAGGAATACCTCTATAAACCTTATGCCTTTTAATTTTTCTGCAGGGTCTTTGTCCTTGCTGTGACAACATTTCTTGATTGTTGGATGTATGGTTCCCAGGTCATAGTGCCGCCACTTAATTTTTTGAAATTTAATCTCTTCTCTTCGGGAGGCGACTACTATGGAACACATGTGTTCCATTGGTACTTCAGCCAAGGTTTTCCATCGATGATTTGGACTTTCTTACCGTTTTCAATTTCTGGAATTATGAAGTCTCGAGAATGGAGGCTTGCAGGTCTTATTGTCTGGGTATTAGCAGTTTATAGCATACTTGGACATAAAGAATTCAGGTACTTATCTCTTCTCACAAGTTTGTAATGTTCAATCTCTTCTCACTACACAAGTGCACATGCCCTGATATAAATGGATCGAATACAACAGGTTTGTTCTCCCGGTGCTTCCTTTGATGTTTATGTTCTCAGGATACAACTTAGCTGCAATGGCACAATTCAAGGGAAAAGGTCGCAGTGAGAAAGGCCACCTTTCAAGGTTTCAGCTTTCTGTCATTCTGCTTATCTTAACAAATGTTCCAATGGCTTTATATATGTCCTTGTACCATCAGGTAAGTTCTACTTTTAAGTAAACATATTCTTTATCTATGTTGTTCCTTAGGTAAATTTTGTTGTTTTCTATTTGCGCCTAGTTAGCTTTTCTTTTCAAAATTCCTTAACTGCTCTTATGTGTACATTTTCACTTTGTCAGAGAGGAACTGAAGATGTTATGTTTTACCTGTCACGAGAAGCCCAAGATGGAAGAGTAAAGAGTGTCCTCTTCCTTATGCCTTGCCATTCAACACCTTATTACTCTACATTACATTACAACCTGCCTATGCGCTTTTTGGACTGTACTCCTAGGTGATTATGCCTTCACTTTTTTCTAGTGCAGTAGATATAGCATTTCATTTTACTATGTTGTACCTGATTTAGCCAATTATCCTGACTTAGCGTGCTTGTTACCAGCGAAAAACAAAGGGACCTTGGATGAGTCAGATCGTTTCCTCATGAACCCATCAGATTTTGTGGGCAAGGTTTTTGGAAATTTATCTTCTTTCAGTCACATTGTATTATTTGAGTCTGAAGAAAGGCATCTCAAGTTGCTTCTGCACAATTCTTTTAGAGAGGTAAAACCATGTTGAATCTTAAAATCTCTTCTTCCCTCAGTTTAATAGGCATATGCATATACCTTTTTTCTGTTTGGTAGTTTAGATTTCCCTTTTGTAAGACCTTGTCAGTTTGTTTTAGGCTTTCTTTCGAAAGCCGGGTAATGAAGTTTACCTGCAGTCTAAAAAAAATGCATATACTTAGTAGTCTTTATTTATATGATGTTTTAGAAACTTGTGCTTAAACTTTTCTTACTCAATGCCTTGTAAATTGGTCATGTTGAAATTTTTATCATTAGATTTGCAATATAATTTTGCACTAGCATATGCATATAAATTGATATTGAAGTCAGACATTGCAGCTGATGTCCAAATGGAACTGATTACTTCTAAAAAGAAAAAAAAATCAAAGGTATTGTTCAAGTTGGTTCATAAAGAAATGTCTAAAACACAAAGGATGGGCCACATTTTTAAGTTTGTGCCCCCCCCCCTTCTCTCTCTCGCGTGGATGCACGCCTCCTCTCATGTTGTAGTATTGGCTATGCACGATCAGATGACTATGATAATGACATATTTTGCGGTAACATTGTGGGTGTACCAACCCTAGTGTCCTAATATCAAGAACTACGTGTCCTAGAAACCAGTATAATTAAATTCCCTTTTGTGAGTAGTCCTCCTAGCAAGAATTGCCATCAGTTTGTAAGGTGAGCATCTGACACAAGCTCTGCATTGCTTGCAATCGATGGCAAAATAAAATCAGGTTATTGTTTGTTGCACTCAGGTAGTTAATAGTTTTATTGTAGTTACAATTTGTGAACTAGCTGTCTTAAAACATGATGGATAGGTTGCATTACATTGCATGATTGGCTGTGTATGACGTGATAATTAATATATTATCTCTTGTATTCTTAATCTTTCCTGTCCATTAACATCATGACATGTGTCCTGGTTGGCAGGCTAGGAGATTTTTTCACTCCCACTTCAAGGTTGATAGAGACCTTCAGTCATCAGTTGTAGTTTATTCACGGATGAATGTATTGTGATTGCTGTGGCAGAAAAGGCCTGTTACTTCGTTAGTCTACTATCTTGTCTAACAATTTCTAATCATGTTTTGGCCTTCTTTAATTTGTCATTCAATAAATGATCTGTAACTTGGGCCTTTATTTTGAGAGAGAGAATTTTTCCCATCCTTTATGATGCGATTCTATGTCGATGTATTGGCGGCAACTTCCATGGTGAAAGTAGGACAAACCACCTGGTAAAAAACAAAGAAGGTAGGACAGACCATTCCATGGCACATTGTTGTTGCTGACATACTGAACCTCATAAAATCATGTCACATATAAGTTTTCATTGATTTCCTGCAGTTTTTATTCTTGAACACAAATATTTTTACAAGATATTTATGTCAGGAGATGCTAATCGAAACTCTGCTAAAACCATTTATTGATACTTGCATACTCATCATCTACCAGTTTCTATATCTAGCGCCATCAAGCTTCCGTGTCGTCCAGTGGTAGAAGGGTCATACTGTGATGAATTTTCAAGCAAACATACAGTTTCTTCATTAGCACCCTCAATCAATTGCTCACGCCAGGTGCTTCTTATTGCTTTTAACCTTTCAGCTACTTCTGTCATTAATGGCCGTTCTTCCCCCTTTGTACTCAAGCAGCATTTTGCCAGTTGAGCAACATCTTGGAACAGCTCTGTTCCAACACCTAATATGTTCCTGTCCAAGATGGACTCAAGTCTGTTCTCTTTCAGTGCCAGAAGGAAGGATGATGCAAGGCTTTTCTTTTCTTCAGTATTTTCAGAATAAATTGCAGTCTTTCCTGTTATTAGTTCTAGAAGCACAACTCCAAAGCTATAAACATCACTTTTCTGTGTTAGCTGGCGCTCTTGTAAGTATTCTGGGTCTAGGTAGCCTAGAGTCCCCTGTACCATTGTCATAAACTGTATTTCATCTTTTGGAAGCATCCTTGATGCTCCAAAGTCAGTCACTTTTGTTATGTAGTTGTCACCTAGGAGAATGTTGGGAGATTTGACATCACCATGAACTATTGGAGGGGATGCTGATGAATGTAGATATGCTAGTGCTTCTGCAGATTCCTGAGCAATCCGTAGACGAGCATCCAGTGAAATGGAGGTTGTTCTGTATTTACCATGTATATGCTCGAACAAAGTGCCATTTGGGATGAATTCATAGACCAGCATTGGAACTTCCACTTCTAAGCAACAACCTAGAAGCCTTACCACATTCCTGTGGTTGATCTGTGAAAGTATAATCATCTCTTGCACAAATTCATCTTTCTGAACCATATTCATAATCTTTGAGCGCTTTATGGCTACTATTCTGTTGTCTTTGAGGATCCCCTTGTATACAGTGCCATGACCGCCTCTTCCTAGTTCTTTGCTTGAGTCAAAATTGTCTGTTGCATTCTCTAGTTCTTCTTTTGTGAATATTCTCACAGTATCAACTTGCTTTGACCGGATTTGCTCATACAGCAGCATACCCCCATTTTGTTGAAAGAACCTTTCTTTTTCTTTCATCAGCTTTCTTTTCTGGCATTCGATCAGTAGTGCAAAAGTGCAACTAAGCAGTATAATAGCGCATACCGAAATGCCTGTGAAGAAAAACCTTTTTTTAGTTACCAGAAGTCGAGGAGAAATTTTCTGTGGGTATTTATTGCTGAATTAGCATTATAATACTGTATCCTTGTGTAAGATTGCTATATAATTGAACCTATGGCTGGAGATAATTCTCCTATAATATTTCTCAAGTTAGTTACAGATAGTGAAACATTTTGCAATAGAATGCTTACTGTAATATATGTATTTTGCCTATCTGTCTGGCTTCTAGCTAAGGGGAATGAAGTAGACAATTCTACCAAGCGGGAAATGTCAGGAGTCTACTGCACAGTACCTTTTATATGTTATTCCTTCATGAAATATTAGGACTTTGGAGTATTGGGAATTACCTATAAACGTTTTTGTTAGTCTAGCTCTTTCTGAAGCTGTTATTGGATTGCAGGGCTCTCTCTTTGGATCTGTACTTTGAGTCCCAGGCCCGCAGTAGCAATGGTAGCCCCCAATTGTGTTGTCGCAGATTCCATGGCAGTACTGACCCGGAGATTCGCACTCGTTGATATCTGTTGACGCCATGGAAAAGTAGCAAAACAACTGAAGATCAATGCACAGATGGACATAAGGTGAACTTGAAAAATAGAAGTGAATTGCAGTGAGTTGGTTACCTTGGCACCCTCCTTCCAGGTACGGGTTGCCTGCAAACCCATTGTTGCAGGCACAGAGATACCCGGTAGCATTTGGTGAGTTGATGCAGCTGCTGTTCGTGCTAACACAGGCATATGATGTCCTGTTCTTGGGCGCTTGGGCACATGATTCTCTTCCAGCAACCCAATCAAGCACAGTGGGAACCCCTTTGTACTTGTCTGTGAACTTGTGACCTTCTAGGTAATCAGGCTCAAACCTGAACCAGTCTTGCTCGGCAACGAAGGCATAACTGCATGGGTTGAAGCTGTTCACCTCAGAATTGTTGAACCTGCTGTCGAATGTCACGTTTAAGGAGGTGAGATTTGGTGCAATAGATGTCTGGCAACAGCCCATGCCGGAGCACTGGCCGCTACTGTCCACACTCTGCTTGTCGGGGCACATCGAGAAGCACCCAGCCCCAACGTTCTGTTCTTCCTCGTTGTAGCCCCCCAGGAATGCAAGGGTATTGCATCCAACCACCGTTAACTTGTTAGCCCTGCTGGATAATGTGAAAAAAGGAGCAGTAGATGTTGATACCCAACCATCTGTTGAAGTGCCATCTGTGTTGTTGGAGCACTTGTCGGCGATGAAGGTGCTGACTTGAGCCTGCCCTCCAATCAGATTGAGGCTGTAGATCTCCATGTTGCTGCTTGAGTTATGCATGTAGGTGCGGTTCTCCTCGCATGAAACGTCGAACCCATCAGTGTAGAAGCAACCAGCACCGATGCCGAAGGGGTAGGGAATGGTGAGGTTGCCGCATGTTCCTCTGCATCTAGGCTTAGCCATCCTGGATGCTGCACTGAAGCTGATGGTTGCTAGCAGTAGGGTGGTTGCAAGGATCATCCATGGTACTACTCCAGTCATCTCTCTGTATGTCTTGTATTATGATTCTCCTATAGGTTCTAGTTCTCTTCTAACTGAGCTATGCTTATATAATGAAGCAAGCCTCTGGAGGTCCAGTCCTTAGACCCTATTTAGATGGGACTAAAAGTTTTAAATCCCTATCACATCAGATGTTTAGACACTAATTATAAATATTAAACGTAGGCTATTAATAAAAATCCATCCATAATCTTGGACTAATTCGCGAGACGAATCTATTGAGCCTAATTAATCCATGATTAGCCTATGTGATGCTACAATAAACATACTCTAATTATAAATTAATTAGGCTTAAAAAATTTATCTCGCAAATTAGCTTTCATTTATGTAATTAGTTTTGTAAGTAGTTTATATTTAATACTCTAAATTAGTGTCTAAATATTAAGACTAAAATTAAGTTCATGGATCCAAACACCACCCTACTGGTGCTTTTAATATGGACGTATGGTGCTATTGCTTGATTGCATCCATTCAGAGCAGACTCGGTCAGAACAACTAGTGGTTTCCAGGTACATTAATTATTAATATCTCAAATTATTTCCTGGCAAAAAGAGAAGAAGAGAAAAGCTAAAATTATTGTGGGCCGACCTATTCACTTCATTGCCACATTGATATTACTAAATTTTGGTCGGAAAACAAATTAAATATAATATTACCAATTCCATCATACAAAAATTTGGTAGTTCTTGATTTTTGCTCTTAGAAAAACACTACCAAATTTTGGATAGGCATCAAACTAAATACATTTAACGCTACCAAAATTTAGAAATGTCAAAACTTATCCAAATTTTGAATTGCCAAAATTTTGTAAGATTGAAATTGGCAACACATGATTTTCCCTGTCTGTCACGTACCATTGGTCAATTTGCATGTTTTGCCCCGTCGGCTACAAGGACGGCTTCTATAGTATCGTTTACTTCGTCAACTTTAATCGGTTAACCCGTTCCGTTTGGTCTATCTATAGTATCGTTTACTTCATCAACTTTAGTTGGTCAACCCGTTCCATTTAGTCTATCGTTAGCATATTTTTCGAACTGCTAAAGAGTATTGTGAAAAAAATAGTGTAGGAGTTTGTTAAAAAATCAAATAAATCTATTTTTCAAATTTATAACAATTAATAGTATTCAATTAATTGTGCTAATGACTCCACTCTAACCTCAAGGCTCAAGCCTTAAATTTGTGACTTGCCATGTCTACTCCCTGAGAATCACATTTACAGAACTGAATGTTATGAAATGAAGATCATGCGAAGCCAATACGCCGCATCGATGTTATGAAATGATCACACACAATACTAGTACTGGCAAATCTCAAACAGAAAAGCCACCGAGATACAGCAGTACTGCAGTATATCAGTGTGCCTCCCTAACGCTTGGGCCCTTTTTCAGTTTCTGAAACACCGAAACTATTTTACTACCAGTTTTCTACAGAAAAATATAGAGAGAGCTGTTTACCGTAAAAATCACGTGTTGGGTCAAGCCATTGAGCTTGAGCTGCGGGTGCGAAACAGGATGGTGAGACGAGCAGTCTTATGTTTTCACTTATCCTTATTGGTCAAAATTTAAATTTTCAACCTTAAACTTAGAGTTGATTATAAGATTTTCACCATAATTTATTTTTCAACATTTGTATTTAGCTCGTTAAGAAAAGTATATAAAAATTTTATTCATAAATTATTTTTAATTTGCAAATATATCGTTCCGTTCTTTCGTCCAATATGCTAAACAGGGCCGGAGAGATTTGCCGGACCCAATGGTATCCATGTTGCCTTCGATTGGGTCAAGTCATGGGAAGAAGAATCCAAAAGAGGGAGACTGATGACCATTGGCATCGATGATTAAAGAGAGGGCTCGTACTAAGTGCTAGTGATAGACATTGACGCCAATTGATAGAGCAACTTTTGACCACAAGTTGATCCCGCTTGCCGATTGTAAAGAAATTGAGCATAGTGTGCTCTCTCTGTCCTATAAGTACAACCTAATATAAATGTGATCACATCTATATTATATTGTATTTATATTAGAGCGGAAGGAGTACTCCCTCCATTCCATTTTAAACATAACCATGAGTTTCCGTGTCCTAGCGATCAAGGTGCTAACTCGAGCCTACCCTTCAAGCAGACTGATGTTGTAGATCTCCACTCGGCTTGTGGAGTTATGCATAAAAGTGCGGTTATACTCACATGAAACGTCGAAACCTTCTTTGTAGAAGCAACCAGTATCAATGCCGAACGGGTAGGGACGAGCTAACAATAATGCTGAACTGGTCTTGAGATTCATGCTATTTCCACGCGTTGCGTGATGCTATTTGGCATCTACGCGGATACAAACAAACTGAATTTTGGAAGACTCGTAGACTTGCGTTTTGCCGTGAAGTACTTGAAGGCGGATCGCTATTGAAGGACGACGGCAAGACGCGCTTCGCGAAGGTTACGAGTCAATTTTCAGGACTTTAGTACTGTAGGTCTAATTGGGTCAAGTCGTTGCCTTTGTGTGATATCTTTCGTCCGAAAGAGCGTCGTTGTTTTACTTATGTTTATAGGTAGGATTTAAATTTTAAAATTTAATTTTAAAGTTGACTTAGGGAGTTTTTTTCTAATTTATTTTACACCATTTGCTTTTGAATATCCGAAAACATATATATAGAAGTTTTATATACAAATTAAGTTTTAGTTGCTAATAAGATAAACATAAGAGAATGCTATGAATGTAACATCTCCTATCAGGCTATCACTCCAAAAATAATGAACAACAAATTGTAGATAGCTTGTTTGTGCATAATCCTTTTGTTTTGTTTACGGTGAATCTGGATTTAAAATTACTAAAACAATGTGATCATCATATGCAGGCTTCGGCCATTCGGAGCGACCCAACTTTCGTTGACGGGCCGACGTCGCTGGCTGAAGGTGAATGGAACAGCCCATGTTCCATTATATTGGCCCAGAACGGAATCGTAACTATTGGTTCCTAATATCGGCCCAATCAATTGCGTTGGTTATGAATGGCCCATGGAAGCCCACTATTGCTGCTCCCGTGCTCCCTATAAATAGCTAGGGTTTTACGCCACTTCCCCCATCTCCGCCGCCGCCGCCCCACTCTCCAACCCTAGCCGAGAGGAGCAGACCAAGCAATGGTAACCTTCGCGCCGCCGCCGCCTCATTGCTTCTTCCTCGTCTACTCCTAGCTCTAACATGGTGATCTTCTTGTGGCTCGCAGGGGAAGGGTACGGGCAGCTTCGGCAAGCGCCGGAACAAGACGCACACGCTCTGCGTCCGCTGCGGCCGCCGCAGCTTCCACCTCCAGAAGAGCACCTGCTCCTCCTGCGGCTACCCCGCCGCCCGCATCCGCAAGTGTAAGCCTCCTCTAGATTTGTACATGTGCTTCTCGGTTTCATGTAGATTTGATGATTATATTGCGCCTAGATTAACCAAGTAATGTTTAGAAACTGGGGTGTTAGTGGTTCATCTTTTCTTGATTAGCTGAGATGCGTTGTCCTGCACGAACCTTCTCTTTGTAGAACCTGATGTTTTGATGGAAATGATGAAGAAAACATTGGTCCGTGTTTCTGATAACCCGTGACTGATAGCCATGTTTTCTAAACTGATCCCTGTCATGTTTATTGTCTCGGACATTATCCAATCTCGTTCTATCTGTGGTCCTGAGAACTGATTTACCTGCTCAGCTGCGTTGATCTTAACCGAATAAAAATTAATGTGTTGTTTGTACATATGTTTTTTTTCCACAAATGATTATAAGCTAAAATGCTTTCTTGGAAAACATAAGGATGACCAGTTTCATATGAAAACTTAATTCTGTTTGTGAGGTTCAAGCGATGAGGTTTTAACTGCAACAATATGATGGGAGCTTTGCTCCTGTGATTCCTATGTATTTAAGTCTCTGATGATCCTTCCAACATATTTTCCCTTTGAAAGGCTAATGAAAACTGTCAGTATTAACGTACAAAATTCAAGCACTGATAGTTCTCATGTCGTGATTGATCACAAATATATTTTTTTCTTTGCATTTGATTTTCCAAATGGTTTTGCTGTCCTACAAAAAAAAGCAATTAGGAATCATGAAAACGTTCGCATGTCAGACTTCAGAGATGCCATGGCATTAATGAGAAGATGTTTTCATTTTCTGAGCTTATATTTTATTCTGGCTATCACATTTGATTAGATGATTTGTGCAGTGATTATTTAGATTTTTGAACATTTGTAACACTTTGAAGTTTTGTACCTTCATTGTGTTTATTATATATTTCTGTGTTGCCTGCTTCTGTTGTGAGGCAGGCTCAAGTGATGAGTGAAAAACTGCAACAATATGATGGGAGCTATACTCCTGTGATTCCTAAGTATTTAAGTCTCTGATGTACCCAATGCACACAGTTTTTTCTATAAGTACTCAATTTTCCCTTGTCTTATGTTTTCTTTCGACTGATCCTCTAACCTGAGATTTTATTTATTCTGTTTCTTTTCTTTTCTCAGATCAGGCAATTTTATTATATTTGCTCTTTTTCAACCTTCAGTTCAAACATATGGCAATTCTATTTGTCACTCTGTTCACCGTTATGTCTACCTGCTCCTGCTGCTGCCTTGTTTAATGTATGGTAGCAGTACTTAGTTGAGTTGTTTGGTTTGTAATAATGTAACCATTTAAATTCGTATCATTGCACATCTGTTTCCTCGCATTGTTCATTTAATGCCAAATACACATTAAATGAAAACATACCTGATTTGAGTTATATTGTTTGTGGTTAGCCTTTAAATCTCTAGTTAGATTCTGTGGTTGAATTTCTTTTTTTTTGGATTTGCTTAGTTTTAATTTCTGCGATGTCATTTCAGACAACTGGAGCGTGAAGGCCATTAGGCGCAAGACCACAGGAACTGGAAGGATGAGGTACATGCGACATGTGCCTAGGAGGTTCAAGAGCAACTTCAGAGAAGGTGCCTGGAACTTTTCTTATGTTTTAAATCTCATGGGAAATGTTAATTGCGTTCAAAATAGTAAAGCTGTTTGGATTCATTATGTTCCTTTTGCTCTATCGATTCAGGTACTGAGGCTACCCCAAGGAAGAGAGCTGCCGCAGCCAACTAGATCCTGTTTTGCTGTCAAAGCAGCTATGAAACTAGAATTTAAGAACTTTTGCCTGGATTGAGCCATCTTTCCTATAGTATGATGTACTTATCTTGTTTTATTTGTTATGATGCTTTAAAACTTGACCTCTGAAATTTCAGTCAGTTGAACCTCTCGTATTTTTGTTTCATACAATGTTCATGATTCTCTTAGCGTCCATGGTAACGGTGGTGTTTTATTTTGTTCCGTGGTGTCTCCGCTTGTTTCGTGCTGCCATTCAACCAGTTTTGGGAAATGCTTCTGTTTGGTCGAAATGAGCTGCCACCGGGGTTCACAATTGCGATCAGTTTGAAAGTCATTTATTTATTTATTTTTGTTAAAAGCCGACGTTTACTGGTTTTCATCTCGAAACGGTATGTAAAACCTGGCTACCATCCTCAATTTGCACTTGAACTGGACCCAATTGTACTAGTTTTATAATGTAATTTACCTAATAAAGTTGCTTTGGTAAGTGTCGGGTTCATTAGTTGAATGTGTATTCGGAAGTACTTAGAACTTACCTAAGGACTCAACTACATCTAGCATGTGAAATACAGTTATCAGCTAAAACTGACTTGGAGTAAAATACAGTTTGGCTGAAGCTAAAAAAGTCATACGATAAACTGTTTTCACATATGTGGAAGGTTGTTCAGCGTGACAACATTTCGGAATCTTCGAGCAAACAAATGCATATGTTTGTTACAATCAAGTTAGTCGAAGGAAACATGAAACAGAGGTCGAAGGCGCATAAAATGCAAGCAATTTGGTTAGGCACGCAGCTTCAGCCAGGCTTTGCTTCACTGCTCAGTCGAGTGATATATTCAGATGGATGGATGCCTGTCTGGACGGCGGATCCATCACTGGCTACCGGTGGTGGTAGTGCCGGCACCGGCCACCGCGTTCTGTCTTCTCACAAGAAAAGATTAGGCACTCCCCTGATTGATGGTTACTACTAGCACTTAGCACACGGCCCACGGGCCTAGCCTGTCACTGCCAAGAAATTCGGTCTATAAACCAATGGGCCGTGTTGTAGTGTACTAGGCGGCGCGGTGCTGCTGCTGCTAGTAGTGTAGATCCAGATGAAAAACAATCTTCTTGCCGCGCGCTGTTATATCCTGATTCGATTTGTCAGGATTTGGGTGGCGATCTAGCTAGCTATTCATGGCCATCAAGCTGCTTAAGTTAGATGGCCCAGAAATAGGAGCTGCAATATTGGATAGGAGAATGCATATTCACATGGAAAGCTTGATTTTAATCTTGTTCATCTTTCTCATTCTGATTATTTCTACTCGGATAAATAACAAGAGTAATTAACCGAGTGGGTTTATAATTATTCACCTGCTTTCAATTGCTTACATTAAGCTACATGATCTATGTCTAATCCTTACAGAAAATGGTTGTTGGTTTGTTACAAGCTCAAAATTCTTACAATTTTTTTAGAATAATCTACATACATGAACAAATCATTAACATGCACCGAAGAAAAAAAAAAGGAAGAAAGAAAATGGACACAGCTAAGCGTAGTCGGAGTCCGGCGTCGTGGTGAACACCGGCTTGTCCTTGTCCACCACCGCCGCCACCGCCGGCGGCGCCGGAGTGGGGGCTTTGGCGCTGGCGCTGCCGGTGGAGCTGCCGCTCTTGCGGCGCGGCTTGGCCTCGCCGAGCATGGTGATGACGTCGCGCATGGACGGCCTGTCGCGCGGCAACCTGGCGGTGCAGAGCACGGCGATGCGGAGCACCAGCAGCATCTCCTCCCTGACGTGCGGGCAGCCGGCGCCGACGAGCTGGCCGTCGAGGTGGTCCTCCACCGTGTTGCTCCGGATCTTGTTGCGCACCCAGCCGACGATGTCCTGCCCCTCGCCGAACGCCGCCTCCACCGCCCTCCTCCCGGTGATGAGCTCCATCAGCACCACGCCGTAGCTGTACGTGTCGCTCTTCTGGTCCACCTTCATCGTGTACCCGTACTCCGGCGCGATGTACCCGTACGACCCGGCCACCACCGACACCGACTCGCCGGCGCGCCCCAGCGCACGCGCCAGCCCGAAGTCGGCGATGCGCGCCTCCATGTTGGCGTCGAGGAGGATGTTGTTGGACTTGATGTCGCGGTGGATCACCGGAGGGTGGCAGTCGTGGTGGAGGTAGGCGAGCCCCTGCGCCACGCCGGCGGCCACGTCGTAGCGCGACACCCAGTCCACCAGCGTGCGCCGCTCCGGCGGCCCGTGCAGCGCCTCCCATAGGCTGCCATTGGGCATGAACTCGTACAGCATCATGGCGTCGGCCTCGTTGTGCATGTAGCCGAGGAGGCGCACGATGTTCCGGTGCCGGAGCCGGCCGAGGAGGCCCACCTCCTTCAGCACCTCCGCCGTCAGCTCCGGCGCGGCGGCGGCGGCCTCGGCGGCGGCGGCTGGTCGCCATAGCTTCTTCACGGCGATCACGGCGCGCGCGCGGGGGAGCTCGGCCTTGTAGACGACGCCGGTGGCGCCCATGCCCACCACGTTCGCCTCCTTCACGCACGCGAGCACCTCGGCGCACGTGAACCCCAGCCGCTGGAACGCCGTCAGTCGCCACGGCCACGCCCCCGACTCGCCGCCGAGGTTCTCGTCGTCGCAGCAACCCGCGCCGTCCACGTACCACCGCCGGTACGCGTAGTGCCCGCCGAACAGCGCCGCGAACGCGGCCACGACGGCGACCATGCCGACCAGCCACCCCACCGCGATGTGCCTGAGCCGGGCGCTGCCGCGAGAGCGCGGCCCGGCGGCGGTGGAACGGCTGCCGGAGCACGGCGGGAGCACGCCGCCGCACAGCCCGGCATTGCCGGCCAGCTCGTCGGGGTTGATCGAGCGCAGCACGCCGTTGCCCGGCACGGGCCCGGTTAGGTTGTTGTACGCCAGGTTGAGCGTCTCGAGCGCCGGCGAGCTCCCGAAATTCTCCGGTATGCCGCCGGTGAGAACGTTGCTCGATAGATCAAGAATGGCGAGCGCCGGCATGTTGGCGAGCGAGCGAGGTATCTCGCCGGCGAGCTTGTTCCGCCGCAGGTTGAGCTTGACCAGCCTCTGGCACGAGGCCAGGCTGGACGGGATCGCGCCGGCGAGCCGGTTGTTGGACAGGTCCAGCGCGGCGAGCGCCGGGCAGTCCTGGAACTGGTCGGGGAGCTCGCCGGAGATCATGTTGTCCGACGCGAGGAAGCTCTGCAAGGTCGGGATGGTGAAGAGGCTCGAGGGGATGGAGTACTGGAGGTGGTTGCGCGACACGTCGATGAACGACAGCGACGCCGACGACGCGAGGTCGCCGGGGATCTCGCCGGATAGGTCGTTGCCGGCGAGCTCGAGCCGCTGCAGCAGCGGCAGCTTCCCGAACCCGACGGGGATCGTGCCGTTGAGCCGGTTGCCGTGCACGCGCACCCGCACCAGCGACGCGCACGACGCGAGCCCGGCCGGGATGCCGCCGGTGAAGCCGTTGTTGAACATGATCAGCTTGATGAGCGCCTTGCCGTCGCAGATCCCGGCCGGGATGCCGCCGGTGAATCCGTTCGACGACACGTCCACCCACTGCAGCGGCGAGCTCCGGCCGAGCGACGCCGGGAGCGACCCCGTCAACGAGTTGTTCCACAGCTCGAGCACCTCCAGCTTCGGCATGTCTCCGATGGCCGCCGGCACGACGCCGTCGAGGTGGTTGCACATGAGGTTGAGCAGCCGGAGGTGGCTCAGCTGCGCCACCTCGTCGGGTATCGCGCCGGTGAACGCGTTGTCGGAGAGGTCGAGGAAGACCAGCGTCGAGATGTTGCCGAGCTCCGGTGGTATCTTGCCCTCGAGGTTGTTCTTGTAGAGGTAGAGGGAGGTGAGCGCCGGAAGCTTCCCTAGCTCCGGCGGGATGGGCCCGTCGAGGTTGCCGACGGCGAGGTCGAGGTACTGGAGATTGGCGAGGTTACCGAGCTCCGGCGGGATGCCACCCTCGAGCTCATTGTACCCAATGATGAGGCTCTCGAGGGACTCCATCTCGCCGATCTCCGGCGGGATCTTGCCGGTGATGTTGTTGCCGGAGAGTCCCAAGAACTTGAGCTTGGTGAGGCTCCGGTAAGCCGCGGGGATGGCGCCGCCGAAGAAGCTCCCACGCATGTCGATGGTCTCCAGGGACGTGGCATTGGCGAGGTCCTCGGGGAGGGGACCGGCGAAGTTGTTGCCGGAGGCGTTGACGGCGACGAGGTCAGCGCAGCCGCCGAGGCCGGCGGGGAAGCCGCCCTCGAAGGAGTTCTGGCTCACGTCGAACACCTTGAGACTGGGCAGCGACGGCAGGGACTTGGGCAGCGTGGTGGCGAAGGCGTTGTTGGAGATGTTGAGCACCGCGAGCGCCGGCAGCCGGAACACGTCGTCGGCGACCTTGCCGCTCAGGTTCTTGCCGGAGAGCTCGAGCCGATCGACGAGGCCGGCGGCGTTGCACCCGACGCCGGTCCACTTGCAATGCGGCGACGCCTTGCCGCCGTCGGTCCAGTCGGCGAGCGCGCTCACCGTGTCGACGAAGCCCGCCTTCAAGGCGAGAAGCGCCGACCGCTCGTCGCCGGCGGCGGCGGCGCCAATGCCGGAGGGCAAGATCAAAGACAGCACTGTCACTAGCAGCAGCACTGGCACTGTAGCTTCCATTGGAAATTGGAACAAAAATGGAAGCACCTTTGCTGAGCTTGGAGAGCACTAGCTCTGCTTCCTCTGCTTGCTCTGCCTCTGCTGCTTCTAGTGCTGTGCCATGTCAGTGCAGTGTCTGCTCTGCTTAATTTAGTTTACTGCACTGATTGCATCTGCAGGAAGAGCAGAGGCTGCAGCAGCTAGCAAGCTAGAGATCACAACAAGGCAGAAAAGTCATATATATGATGGTGATGAGAAGATTGGTTAGAGAAGGAGCATATACTAATATAAATCTTCTTGGCATTTTTTAACATGCAACTTTGATCTAGATTAGTACTAGCTCTACTCTACACCTCAACATAGTGAGCAAATGTGAGGTGTTAATCAGGATTAGATTAAGGGTTTAACAGGCTGGGGTTGGGGAGCTGGAGGAGAGGAGGAAGAAACAAGGAGAAGGGGGAGGCATGAGAACATGGAACATGGAGGGAATGTGTTTTAAAGTCATGGCTTTTCTAATCTGCTTTTGAGCAATATACCATTCTTTATTATTTTACTTTATCCCACCCAACGTTAGATTGGACTAATTAATACATGTTTATTTTACATTCCCTATCTGTGCAGAGTTGCAGACAGTAGATTAGCTCTAGCTTTTAGACCCCCAAATACTAGTAGTAGTACCACTATACAGAGACCTACTGTAATTGGGAGTTCGTACGGTTTATTCTTTGGAACCTTCTGCTTTCGTCAGATTTACTCCTACCATCTTATTTTCTACAAAGAGAACTAATTTACTCATACAGTTTGTGTAGGTGTGAGTCCAACAATTGAATTGATCTGATAATAAACTAAGTACTAGAAGCTAGCTGAATTTCTCCATGTAGGAAGCTAGAAGAGTAGAAGGATGTGAAGAGCTGCTCCTAATTTTGAGGGAAGAAATACTGCTAATATGTTTTTTAAGTGTCTGTAAAACAGGACATACCTTAGCACTTTGCAGGTGAAAATGAATATAAATTAACCCAAAGAGAGACAATAGGGTATGTTCTTGCCTCTTGGTGTTGTCCTGATGCAACTAGCACCCTAAGATCTGTACACATGTCCTGCATAAAAATTAAAGAAAGTTTACCCTGAGTGAGGCATATGTACAGTGGTTGCATGTGTTGAGCCCTGCCTAAGTTGACCTCGTTAAAATAAAATTTGTGCTAATCATTCCTGTGACAGTGGGCAGTAGCTGCTGCTGTTACTGCTCTGTTCTGACAAGGGGATTATTGGTTCTTTGCTTGGCACATGTCCCCAGTAGAATGTCACAGCTAGTACCACATCAGATTAAGACAACAAAAGCAAGTAATTAAATGGGTTAACTAGCAGAGCTGACACAACTAAGGCTGACAAAACTATCAAGAGCAGTAATAAATTTGGACTGCTGGGTTGCCCCATGCATTCTTCCATGCCTGATCAAATGCTTACAAGCTACAACAGGTGCATTAGGGAAAGAAGCACTTCATTCTATATTCTAGAATTAGACTCAGGCATTAGAAGAATTTCAAGGAATGATTCCTTGTTCTTTTTTTACAGAGATGATCCTTGCTCCTAAAAAGGGAAAAATTTGTACAGCAAATAAGTGGTAGTAAGGGAGTGCCCAGTAGCAACTAAAGCTTCTTGACAGTCTGCAGAACCTTCTAACAGAGTAGGACTATGAACATATAGAGGAGATGTTTAGTGGTGCATATTATGAATGCTGAAAAGTGCAGATGGATATTTCTTACAATAAACTGTAGGAATACCAAAACAAATCAAATTCTTAATCCTCACAAAATTTTCTACCAAGTTGATGTATTGTCTTTATACCAATAACGATATTACACCATCCTCCTTAATAGTTCTTTCCTAATTTGCTGTACTTCACATTGCCATCTAGCAACATTCATAATCTCTCATTATAGTAGGTTTACATATGTACATAGGGTATAAAACTCTAGAACATATTGAAGTATGTTGCATTCTATAGTTTTCTGAAATTGACGGAGACTATACAAAATGATTGACATATTCAGCGGCAACTAAGTTAGACAAATCACGATGATAAACACAAGAAAATAACCAAAATGTCAAGATAACTCATAGCATGCAGCCAAAATGTGAAGCAAAAGTTTGGTCAGGAAATGGGAAAATGAGAACAATCAAGAGCACTTTCATGCAACAACAATAATACATACTGGTTCTTGCATATATAGTTGCATTGTACTCACTAACCTCCTGTTTCTCAGTGAAGAATGAATTCAAGACAACCAATAACAGAAGTTGCATTTTGGACATAACTGAGATGCTCTTGTAAAAGGTCTTACCCTCAATCTTAATACAAAGCTACGCGCTTTGCGTATTCCCCAAAAAAAATAACATAAGTTGCATCAAAGCATCAAATGATGTTCATATGTGCTTACAGTCCAATTTGATGTATCTGGCACAAATCAGAACGGCAAGCTCCAAATGTGCCACAAACAACAAAATGGATACAAACACATGCATCTCAATTAATACCTGAAAATTCCATCTATCTAGCCTAATCTAGTTCGTAGGAGCCTAAGCAGAGTTTCGAAATTTGTGCAGAGAAACTTTGCAGGCTGCGAACTGACGTACTCAAGAGATGATCAAATGTTGGGCGTGTGGTGCTATTTAAGCAAATGTTTGCACCAACCAAACTTAATCATGCAACCATGAGTTTGGTGTAGGAAATATAAAGATAGAGAAAAAAGACACAAAGTTAGCTATGCTAGCCTGTGACATTCTCTTGATGATTATTAGCCTTTTCTTCGCTTCCACAATCATTCTGTTCCAGCTTGTTGTGGAATCATAAAGCATCAAGCTTAGCTTGCTGAACTAATGGCATGCAGCATAGCTTCAGTGTTCAGATTACGATAAGTTGCCATGTCGTGTTACTACCTATCCTGCTAAAAGAACTTCAGGTAAGCTGCACCGTTAGGGCAACTACGTGCACTGCTATCTACAACTAGATGGAATAATTTTGACAGACACGTCAACTTGTTGTTTAACCGACAAGATGACAATAAACAATGTCTACCATTGAGATGTCACTGTCTTTAGCGGTTTATCTCAACTTGAGTGACAGAGTCTTCTACAGTACAAATAAAGCTAACATGCACGACCCCTGTCCTAGCATAGGAAAAAAAATCACAAACAAAGAACAAGTAGAAGAATTCCTTAACCTTGCTTACTTTCTATCCCCTCTTGTCGTCTATCTCTCCTATCATACCATTCATAAGCTCCAGGCCGGCAGATCCACCGGACCTAACGTAACGAAGATAAAGAAATAAATTCCGATGAACAATTGGTGAGGTTACATTGCGTTGCATGTTGCAAATGGGTCAATTGGGTGGCATTTTCCCAGCCTTGCCTTGCCCTGAGAATCTTCCCATGTTATGTTTTGTTGCTCAATACTGGAGAAGGGAAGGATGGAACCTAACATCCCATCCCTGGTGTCTACTTTATCAGGTTCAGGTTACTTCATACCAAAGTTGAAATTGGGTACATGAAGTTGAATAAATAATAGTTGGGTATATATCAAATTATTGTTAAATTGGTATTTTAAAACTTACAAATACCTTGAATAGTGTATATATAGTGCATTTTAAGTGAAAAAAAAGAGAGTAATGATGAATAAGTAAAAGTAAGATAAAATTACAGCATACAGGATTACAGGATCAGATCATAAGCTTGATTTTGAAGAAACATTTCCTAAACATCAAGGAAAATAATTTGTGAGATTTAGGTTTACTTCTTGCCACCTATAAATCTTAAAGAAAATCTAAAAGAAACTGAGTGGATTAGAGGGCAGTATAAGTGTACAGACCAATTGAAAATAATTACGGAGTATAGGAAATCAAGAAAATGATATTTTATAACATATAATAAAAGAATCATTTAACATGCAAAACTAATCATGGAGAAACATGCAGATTAATCATGGATAGGGGAATATGTTTAGTTGGCTAAACAGCCTCACCACCCTAGCTAAGCAGGCACATGCACACATGTGGCCCATTGATAGACGGACTCCATTAAACTGAGGCTGGCCATGTGAAGCCCTCTTACTAAGCAGCTTCCAAAGTATATGTTAACCCTTTTGTTATCAGTATTCTTTCACATGACATTCCAGTGCCTCTTATGACACCCACTTCCATGTGGGACCAAACGGGTTGGACCCAGGCGTCAGTGAGGGGTTCCTAGAGTGTCAGGGTAGACAGGTAGAGGATAATGGAGATGATTTCACCATTATTGAGCATGAACTGCAGAGGGTGAGCTCAACTAATAATAATGCAAATGAGGGTACTAATATATAATTTTCTCTCCAATGAATCTAATCTAATCTTATGAAGTAATTTTCTTTTGCATCCTTTTTCTCTTCTTCTAGTGATGCATTCGGTGAGAGCATGTGAGGGCCATTTTGATGTACCTTTTGGAAGTTGGGGATCGAGTTGGAAGCTAATCATTCATGAGAGGCAGGTGGCGGCTGCAGCATTTTGGTTAGTTCTGCTGCGGTGGCCGGCAACATGCAAACACGCAATGGTAACCATAACGGATGGAAGAATAAAAGTATATATGGTCTGTCCATCAAGTGTTGTTATTCTTCTCAAATGATGTACTCCTTTACAATGTTAAGCACACTACCAAAGGGAAATTAGTAGTCTAGAAGCTAGCTAGGATCGATATTAGTGAATATAATTTTTTAGAAAACAATGCAGAATATAAGTTTTCTGGACTACTGAGCCATAGATCCTAAGTCCGAAAACAGATGAAAAAAAAATTTGACATGAAAAACAAAAGAGGAATTAAATGACTGAGCCCAGTATTCTGAACAAATTTCAGACCGCAAACTGAACTTATGTACATAGCCTAAGAACAAAAAAGCTAAACACACTTTTTTTTTTCACATTGAAGCACATAGAAGAAAATCAAAACAATTCTGGAATTTTCTGTCAGAGTAAAGCGCACAATCCGTTGGAACTAAACCAATATTCACAGGTGTGTGTAGAGACCAGATATTAATCGTAGTGAAGAAAGAAATTGCAGTGGGGGCGTGCTGAACTCACGTACATGTACATCGACGTCCTCGTAGCCACAGGCAGCGTCGTTGGCAAGACAAGGTAACGTACGACCGTTGTCATCGTAGACGCTTCCCGGATTGGAACCGCCACGTCGTGGATTGCCGGCGAGGCGAGCTCCTCCGGAGACGAGAATAGATATCAGTGTGCATCAAGATGATGCCGCCGCTTCTGGCCACTCCGGGGCAAACCCACGATCGAACACCTTGAGTGCAGCCGTCGTTCGTTGTTGGTGGTGGTGGCGGGCGGAAGATGCGGTTGCAGGGAACCAGGCGCAGGCGGCGGGTTCCTGAGAATGGCGGCAGTAGGCACTAGCGTCGACTCGGTCTCGGTGGGTGCTCTCCCTCTCCTGCGGCGGCCGGCGGGCTCCTGAGACTGGCGGCGCCCCGCGCCCCCGCCGGACGGGGAGACGACAACCCGTTCTGGGCCGTAGAGCTCACATGGCCGTTTCCTTCTCAGTTTGGACCACATATGGGCCGACACTTACCGTAATGGCCCAATAACGGGATTGGGTTTTTACGTTCGCAGCCCATGTTAGGCCGGGACGAGATTCTGACTTTTGTGCAGCCCACACAAATTGGGCCAAATTATACGTGCGGCCTATTTATGCGTATGGGCCTTTCTCTCGAGCATGAAAACGGGCCAAAATTTACCAGGTTTACCGTGCGGGAATAAATTGGAATGGGCCTCAAATTCTCAATCTCATCGACGCAGCCGGCGTGGTAAAGTCAGCCCAAGCCCCATGGAGGAGTGATGAGTGCGCGGCGCCGGCTAAACGGCGGCAGCACGCCACCGGCGATGTCGGCCACGTTCAAACTTCACAGCATCGGAGTTGGTTTCTATGTGGAGTATCGCAGCAGATCCGATTCCGATGCGGCATTGCGCGTAATTTGGCTATAAATCCGCCGCGGATTTCCTTCCTCCGCAACGGCGACGGCAATGGCGCAGCCGAGAGTCATCCGGGTGCGCGCCCACGACGGGCGCTCCACCACCGTCACGATCGCCGCCTCCGCCACCGTCAGCGACCTCAGGACGGCGCTCCGTTCCTCCTTCGCTCCCGCGCTGGTTTCCCCCGACTTCCACCTCTTCCTCAAGGGCACCAAGCTCATCGCCGACGCCAAGGTCGGCAACCTCCCCGTCGGCCCCGGCGAGTCCATCTCTTTCATCCCGGTCAACGCCAAGTCAGCGCCGCCGCACCCTCCGTCGTCGAGCGCGCCGAATCCATGGAGGAAACGCAAGTTTTCTTGGCACGACGGCGGCGGCGAAGACATCTACGCCAAGAAGCCGACGAACCCAGCGCCGCCGAGGCCGCTCTCCTGCCATGGCACCCAACCTCTCGACCCTACCCAAATGGTGGAGCATCTCAGGCAAGGGCTCGGGAAGGCCGGACAGATCACCCATGTCGAGGAGATCCCGGGAAGGGAGGCGACGTTCGCCGAACTCCCCGGCCACCTCTCGTCCTCCATGAGGGACGCGCTGAGAAGCATCGGCGTCACCAAGCTGTACGCCCACCAGGCGCAGGCCGTGCAATCCGCCGTCTCCGGCGAGCACGTCGTGGTGTCCACCTCGACGTCGAGCGGCAAGTCGCTGTGCTACAACATCCCCGTCCTCGAGTCCATCTCCCAGAGCTCCGCGCCATGCGCGCTCTACATCTTCCCCACCAAGGCTCTGGCCCAAGACCAGCTCAAGACACTGCTCGAGATGAAGCCGGCGTTCCGCTCAGACTTCGACGTCAGCATCTACGACGGCGACACCGCCATGAAAGACCGGACAAGGATCAGGAACACCGCGAGGCTGCTGATCACCAACCCTGACATGCTCCACATGTCGATCTTGCCATGCCATGCTCAGTTCAAGAGGGTCCTCTTCAACCTCAAGTACATTGTCATCGACGAGGCGCATTCCTACAAGGGCGCATTTGGCTGCCACGCTGCGTTGATTCTGAGAAGATTAAAGCGCATCTGTTCATATGTTTATGGAAGCAATCCAACATTCATATTCTGCACCGCGACATTGGCCAATCCGAGGGAGCATGTCATGGAGCTGGCAAATCTTGATCGAGTCGTGCTGGTTGATAATGACACGAGTCCTTGCGGCTCAAAGAACTTCCTCCTGTGGAATCCGCCATTGCAATTGGCGAAAGCAGAAGACAGAAGACCAAACCCAGTACTAGAGGTTTCCTATCTGTTCGCCGAGATGGTTCAGCATGGGCTTCGTGCCATCGCCTTCTGCAAGACGAGGAAGATGTGTGAGCAGGTGCTAATGCAGACGCGTCAGATTCTTAAGGAGACAGCTGCAGAATTGGTGAATTCTATCTGTGTCTACCGTGGTGGCTATGTTGCGAGTGACAGGAGGAAGATCGAGGCTGATCTCTTCGGTGGAATTCTTCGCGGCGTCGCGGCTACCAATGCTCTTGAGCTGGGGATCGATGTCGGGCACATCGATGCGACGCTGCACCTGGGATTTCCTGGAAGCATGGCTAGCTTCTGGCAGCAGGCAGGGAGATCAGGGAGAAGAGCAAAGCAGTCCATAGCTGTTTATGTAGCCTTTGAGGGTGCTCTTGACCAGTACTTCATGAGATCACCACACAAGCTGTTTGGCAAGCCCATTGAGCACTGCCAGGTTGATTCACAAAACCGCAAGGTTCTTGAACAGCATCTCGCTTGCGCCGCTTCTGAATATCCACTGCGTCAGGAACATGACGAGAGCTACTTTGGTTTTAGCATGAACAGTGTTTTGATGACACTGAAAGATAAGGGCTGTCTCATGAACAATCCATCTGGAGGAGATTCAGGCGTGTGGAAGTATATTGGACCTGATAAAAAACCTTCTCATAGTGTAAGCATACGGGCAATTGAGCATCACAGGTACAAGGTGATCGACAGGAGAAGCAATCGAGTTCTTGAAGAGATTGAGGAAAGCAAGGCTTTCTTTCAGGTGTATGATGGTGCTGTCTACATGCACCAAGGTGTCAGCTACTTGGTTGATAAGCTTGATCTGACATCAAGGATAGCTTACTGCAAGGTGTTTGATCTGAACTACTACACCAAAGTTCAGGACTACACTGAAATCAGTTTCATTGGAGGTGATGTTGATGAACATCCTGCGAGTGAGTGTAAACCTGACATCAGGAGGACAACAGCTCAAGCAAATGACTGCAGGGTGACAACCAAATGGGTTGGCTTTGATCGGATATTGAAGTCAAACAACCAGAAATCCGACAGCATTAACCTTGATCATCTACCTCCATACTCCTTTGAAACTCAAGCCGTTTGGGTACAGATTCCTGTGTCAGTAAGGACGACTATGGAGCAGATGGAATATCAGCTCTGTGGTGGTGTACACGCTGCTTCTCATGCGCTTCTAAGTATAATACCTCTGCACATGATGTGCAGTGGTTCTGATCTAGGAACACAATGTGCAGAGCCTCAAGAAAATTCTGAAACTGCAGACAGAATTCTGTTGTACGACAAACATCCCGGTGGCATCGGCTTAGCATCACAGGCCAAGCTGCTCTTTGGTGAGCTTCTGGTTGCTGCTTTAGAGCTTGTTTCATCATGCAGCTGCACCAACTCTGATGGGTGTCCAAATTGCATCCAATCATTTGCATGCAGTGATTACAATAGGGATTTGGACAAGGAAGCTTCAATTTTTCTTCTCAAGGGCGTAATTCAGTATGAAAAGTTGTATTTTGAAGCCATAGATGGTTGTTACCAGAGCTGAAGTGCAAATGACCTAGTACAAGATATATTTGGATGTAGCACCAACTAACGTGTTTGTTATAGGTGCCAATAGAACTTGAGTGGAAAATAATGTTAGCGAATATTTGGTTGTAGTGTAGGACACTGCAAAATGCAAATGGTAGTACCGAACAAAATTTGCGTATCCTTTTATCGCTATGATGTATTTTAGTATTTTTACACTAGTCGTTAATATTTTTGCAGTCAGTCTGATACTCCGATGCTGCAGTGATGCTTATATTTTTATCTTCTGTTTTTAGTAGACTCATCATTATTTTTGGGCCTATTATTACTTGAGGCTTCTCTAATCCTACTAGTATTACAAATTTTTTTCTTTGATAGGAGTATTACAACTATAGTCTATTGCTAGTGCATACTTGTAGTTGTGGCCTTGGTGAGCTCCTGTTTCAGTTAACTCTTGTTCAGTGGCCGCAAGGCCCTCAAGTAGCAGTGGCTGTGTGTTCTGTACGAATTCAGTGTACTGCTTTACAAATTTAGATGGAGTTGTTTTTTGTGTACAATAACAAGAAATATTTTATTGGTCAGGCCTAGTTTCTGTGATGTCCTAGAACAGATAGCTAGTGTGTCTGAATTCTGAAACTAATTTCCTTGATCATTCAGCTCGTCAGAAAAGTGGCCTGTTTATGCCTAATGGCTGATAATTTGGTGAAGAGGGGATGGCCACATGAGGAGAGCTGTGCTCTCTGTCAGTGAGAACAGGAGGACTGCCAGCACCTATTTGTCTCATGTCAGTTTACAGGGCGAGTTTGGAAGCTAGACAGCATTTTCGGACGGGCTACAGGGAGCTCTTCGACACTGTTTTCATGCTCACATGCTGGTTCATCTGGAAAGAGCGTAACGGGAGGATTTTCGAGCACAGATCAAGAGCACCTGAACAGCTAGTGCATGACATAAAGGAGGAACTAATGATCTGGAAGATGGCGGGAGTTTTCTCGCTTGTTAGTAGGGAGGCTCTACCTCACTGCCGCTGCGACAGGGTTCTGTCGTTGTAAGCAAACAATTTTCGTTTATTTTACTCCTAATCTTAATGAAATTGGTCGACCGAACCTTTCGGCCTACCCGGCACAAAAGAAGAGTGGCATGTTCTCTTTCTTTGCCTGAAACTGAAGGCTCTCTCTCTCTGAAGCGTTAATTTCAACGTATGGGGAGAACTGGAGAACATTTGGCACCAAAAATATCATCTGGGTTTGCCAATGGAAGAGATGTAACTGCAGTGCTAAACTCTCAGACACACAGACACACATGTACACAGACAATGAGACAGCTCTGAAGCTCGCATGATAACGTTGGCCTCATCTCTGAATTTCTCCGATGAACAGGACTTTCAGAATTCAGATTACTGGGCTGCTTTCCTTCCATTTCAGCCCACATCTCTGACCGGTTTCCACCAAAGAACTCGCGCCATCTCAACTTCTACAGCTCCAAAACCACAACTGCAAAATTGATCCGTTCATCAGCAACCTGAATTAATTGTCTTATGCGTGAACGCGAGATCGAGATGATGAGCAATCACTTACAGTCAGAATCCGTGGTGATCCACTGACACAGCCTGCTGCTGCCGCCATAGTCGTCGTCATCCGGGCTGCCACTGCACGACATGCTGCTCATCCTGTCATCGTCAGCTGCTGACCCCGAGCTGTCTCGCCGGAGCCTCATGCCGTGCTTCGTCGCCGGCGACGGTGAGAACTGACGCAGCGCCGCCGGCCACAGCGGCGACTGCGCTGGCGAGGACGAGCAGCTCTCTGCTGTGGCGATGTCCCAGCTGAAGCTGTCGCTCTTGCTGGAGACCGGCGACGAGCTCATGCCGCCGTCGCTCTGCCGGCTCGTCGTCGTCAGTTGCTGCTGCTGCTGCTCCTGCTTCCTCCTGCTGTTCTGCAGGCTCACCACCACCCTCTGACAACATCAATTAGCACAAAAACAAGTTAAATTTCAGAGGTTCAACACAGAAATGCAACTGAATTCATATGCATAAATTAGTCAGAGATCGAATGGATTTTGGCTTACCTTCCATTTCTTGGCACTGACAAGCACGGTGGACCGGAGCTTGGACTGCGCCGACGACTGAGCGGCCGCTCGCCGGAGCAGCTCCCTCATCCTGGACACGATGGCCTTCCGGCGGTCGTCGACGACCTTCCTCTCCGGCGACCCCTCGTCCATTTCCGACTCCGACTCCTCGTCGATGATGGGTAGCACTCTGCACGCAGCCTCAACGCCACCACTGTGCCCCATATCAACTGCAATTAATCACTCCTCACTTAAGGCCTTAATTACTATAGCTCGCTCACTCGATCACTGAACTGAAACTAGCAAACATATGCTGGATAGCTACTCGTTAGCTGAAATGGTTGGTCATATATATACATGCAATGCATGATCTGTCCAGTGCTGCCGATTTGTTTCAGGGATCGGAGAATCTAGCTAGCTAAGATGGAATCCATCAGCTGCATACTAATTGTTGTTAATTTACTCATTTTAATTACGCCAGTTGATCCACATACTGGTATACATACATACGCATGTGAAGGAGGAGGAGGAATAATTATAGATTCACAGATCGACCATGTTCGATCTGCAAGCTCAGATGAATCTTAAGTTTGGTACGTGGCAGTGTCCATTCGAGGGCGAGGAATCGAACACGTCACGCAGTTAAGAAAGAAAATTGCAGGCACATCTGGATGGTTTTGTCCGTGTTAGGGCTTGGTGAAATATACGGAGGATTTCGGCTAATTGCAGCTTGTGTCGTTTACTGGGTATACACCTGGAAGAGAGGAGTATTAATTAATTAATTAATTAATTAATTAATTAGTGTAACTAATCCAAGGGGGCTGGACTGACCACGTTGTTGTTTTTACTGATCACGATCGCTGCTCGTATTAGTAATGTACAATACAAAGATGCTCAGCGATGACGATTGACGACGACGACGACCAAGATGGTGATTAACAAACGCCAATGCAACACATGATTAGTGTAGTGTATCAGTATTAGATTGATTAGCATCGCGCCGCTCGATGAGTTGGCCATGTGATCGATGTGGCGATCTTTTCAGATAAGAACAAGATATCATCAGAGTTCAGTTCAGGACTGCCTAGTGGGCCAAGGCCCAGGAGAGAGGATTGAATGCGTGGGCCGTATGTCTCCAGGCCCATGATAGAGTTCAGCACGTGTCAGCCAGGTCGAAAGCTTTCGGCCCAACAAAAAATGAAGCGTTTGGAGATTCATGGCATGATGAACAATCGGTATTGATTGATCTGATGATTAAAGATTACGAGGAAAATAGATCAATTCAGCATGATTATAAAAGATAACCTTTTGGGGGGGGGGTTAATTAAGAAGAGTCTGTATAGATCGTGGGCCCTTGTACGGCTGCTGTACCAGCTCCTACAAAGTCAAATGCCTCTGAAATTTACAAGCAATTCTTTTTTTTTCCCTCAAGACTCAATGATGCATCACTTGATGTCACTTAACTGGCTTGATCATAACTTATCATGCATATAGCACGGCGCGCAGCCCTGATAAGTCCAAAAGGCCAGATTTCATGTGCACGTCTCTTTGAGCTTTTTTCAATTGAGAAAAACTGATGAAGGTAATCAAACAACACATTGAAAAGGAAAAGAAAGCCTTACAGAAACGGGTGGAGATTCCCTAATTTTACACATTAAATGTATTCTTCTTCATTACATTAAATGCACATATTTATGGATGAAAAATATCGAGCGGTCGATCTCAAGTAACATACAACGTAGTAGGACGCAAGTGTAAGTGGAGTACACAGGTACACATATTTGTACTAGAACCGGCCACATGGCAGCTTTCATGATTGATTTCCCAATAGTTAGATTCTACAAGGCAGGAGACCATGTCACCGTAACCGAGAAATTGCCCTAAATTGAGAAATGAGAATATATGGATGACGGTGTAGAACAATGAACTGGATGCTATTTGTCCCGCCGAGACGTCAATAGCTCATTTCACTTGTCCCCTTCGATCAGTTGTAGCATTGATTCTAGACTGCCTTTCTGTCCCCTGTCGTCACAGTGTTGGAGCAAGCAAGAATTCAGCAATCGAAATATCGAATTAGTTAGGCAAGTGTTAATTGTAAGTTGTAACAACCGATTTGCAGAGTCGCAGCAATAATATCCAAGTCCAAAGTCGTATTTGCAGAATTAAATTTGGTGGAAAAAAAATATGCCTTTGGTACAAGTGTAAAAGGCAGCAAAGACCTGAAGGAAGAACACTAGAGGTCATTTGTCCCTTGCTGTCAGTGTCAGCGGTTGACAAAATTACATGATTTGCATAGTCAGAGCAAATGATGCAATGCGATGGCCGTTCGATTGCTGCAAAAGATGCGATTTACTACTAGGACGAAGCCGTGTTCATGGTTACTACTCGACGTCGCTGTTGTCTGTCACTACTGATGTTTACTGCTCGATCTACTTCAGCTGGCCGACTCGGGGTTTTGATGATTTGAAATTAAAGTCGGCATCGAAATTTGTATCGATCAGGAAATGATTTGAAAGTCAAATTGGTGCATGTAACAGATATGCTGTAAATGATTTTCTATTGGCATTTCTAGGAAAAGCATATATTCACAAAGATATCAAAATTTCAGGTAGAAAAATTAGCTGAAGTTGAAAATGCTACTAGCTGGGCGCCTAAACCGAATCCAAAGGCTAATTTTTATTTCTTTCGAATCATATGAAAAAGAACTGCAAAGTGCACATTAACACAAAATAATTTTACTCACCTCCCTCCAAGAAAAAGAACTACAATAGGCCTCAACTATAGACCAGTGGCTGCTCGATCTGGACCTTCCTCCAGCCTTAGGCTGGACAACGGAGCTGGTCAGCCAGCTAATCAATGTCTGGAGTGCGGTACACAACGTACATTTCACAGAAAATGAGGAGGACAAGATAGTGTGGAAGCTCACTGGCCATGGTGAATATACGGTGACGTCGGCCTACAAAGCGCAGCTCTTAGGTACTACAGCCACCAACTTCAACATCATAATATGGAAGCCGTGGGCACCACGCAAGTGCAAGACCTTTGCCTAGTTGATTATCCAAAATAGAGTTTGGACCTCCGACAGACTGGCAACCAGAGGTTGGCAGAACGATTATTTCTGCCCCTTATGTAGACACACCCAAGAAACTGCTCTCCACCTTCTTGCAGAATGCAGATACACCAAGAAAATCTGGGCGGCGTTATCTGATTGGACTGGGTGTGGTCAACTAAATCCCGGTCAATGGCAACTAGCTCAATCGGTGTTAGAGTGGTGGGAGGCCACCGCCAACTTGAAGGAAGCCCCAAAGAAAGCACTTCACACGTTAACACTTCTGGTCAACTGGGAAATCTGGAATGAGAGAAATCGTAGAATTTTTCAGCACAAAGAGTTATCTACCGGAAGTCTGTTGGCCAAAATTAAAAAGGAGGCCAAAACATGGTCTCGGGCGGGGGCGAGGCATCTTGGTAGCTGGCTTGCTTCTTATTTTTAGCTCAGTAGGACCGAAGGTCCTGGGCCTGGTTTTTCTTACTTGTAAAGTTTACTCTTTCTCTATTCAATGAAATTGGCAGCTTACCGATTCGTTCAAAATTTTTTTTTTACTCACCTCTGGCTACGTCTATGCATACTTGCATTTACAGCTATATCTGTTATTTTTTTCTGTGTGAAATTGTGAAGTGGCAACCAGCTGAGGAACAACAGATGAACAGATCGATTCTGCGCATGCATCAGGTGGGTCCCATATTGGCGTTGCATATTCTGATCCTTGGAGGATTCCATGGGATAAAGGCCACTCTGCTCCGGAGATGCGGCGCCGAGGTTATCTCCTTAATTAATCTCACATGACTTCCTCTTATATCATGCTACTAGTAGTACTATATTTTCAGAGTTCACAGCTGATATTGTCAACGCTTGCTGCCCCCTTATCGCTCGTAACGTAATAATCGTATAATCACATAATTAAAAATCCACTCTTGTTAATTCAGCAATAAACTTCAGAGTTCAGAGAACGTGTCCAGGTCTGTCGATATTATCAGGTGAGAGAACGGAGACGATGAGGCCATTTTGCACCAGCACGAATCTTAAGGCAAATGCCATAAGGATGGCGCCAACGAGAGCGTGCCAATTCCCGCGCACCTGAAGCTCTATAAATAGCTGGGCGATGCGTGATCCCAACTCCCAAGCCACCAGCAAAGCCAGCAATTGCATCCGAGCTCACCTAGCTTCTCTCTTGCAACCAGCGATTCGATCGATTCCATCTCCAAGAAGCAGCGGCTAGCAGCAGCTAGTAGTTGCCATGGACTCGTCGACGGTGGGCGCTCCGGGGAGCTCGCTGCACGGCGTGACGGGGCGCGAGCCGGCGTTCGCGTTCTCGACGGAGGTGGGCGGCGAGGACGCGGCGGCGGCGAGCAAGTTCGACTTGCCGGTGGACTCGGAGCACAAGGCGAAGACGATCAGGTTGCTGTCGTTCGCGAACCCGCATATGAGGACGTTCCACCTATCATGGATCTCCTTCTTCTCCTGCTTCGTCTCCACCTTCGCCGCCGCCCCTCTCGTCCCCATCATCCGCGACAACCTCAACCTCACCAAGGCCGACATCGGCAACGCCGGCGTCGCCTCCGTCTCCGGCTCCATCTTCTCCAGGCTCGCCATGGGCGCCATCTGCGACATGCTCGGCCCGCGCTACGGCTGCGCCTTCCTCATCATGCTCGCCGCGCCCACCGTCTTCTGCATGTCGCTCATCGACTCCGCCGCGGGGTACATCGCCGTGCGCTTCCTCATCGGCTTCTCCCTCGCCACCTTCGTGTCATGCCAGTACTGGATGAGCACCATGTTCAACAGCAAGATCATCGGCCTCGTCAACGGCCTCGCCGCCGGGTGGGGAAACATGGGCGGCGGCGCGACGCAGCTCATCATGCCGCTCGTCTACGACGTGATCCGCAAGTGCGGCGCGACGCCGTTCACGGCGTGGAGGCTGGCCTACTTCGTGCCGGGGACGCTGCACGTGGTGATGGGCGTGCTGGTGCTGACGCTGGGGCAGGACCTCCCCGACGGCAACCTGCGCAGCCTGCAGAAGAAGGGTGACGTCAACAGGGACAGCTTCTCCAGGGTGCTCTGGTACGCCGTCACCAACTACCGCACCTGGATCTTCGTCCTCCTCTACGGCTACTCCATGGGCGTCGAGCTCACCACCGACAACGTCATCGCCGAGTACTTCTACGATCGCTTCGACCTCGACCTCCGCGTCGCCGGCATCATCGCCGCATCCTTCGGCATGGCCAACATCGTCGCGCGCCCCACCGGCGGCCTCCTCTCGGACCTCGGCGCGCGCTACTTCGGCATGCGCGCCCGCCTCTGGAACATTTGGATCCTCCAGACCGCCGGCGGCGCGTTCTGCCTCCTGCTCGGCCGCGCATCCACCCTCCCCACCTCCGTCGTCTGCATGGTCCTCTTCTCCTTCTGCGCGCAGGCCGCCTGCGGCGCCATCTTCGGCGTCATC